TTATATTATTCGATTATTTATTAAATTCGTAAATATCTCCAAGTATATTTTCTACAATACAAAACAAGCAATCGCTCAACGTCATTCAGCTTGACCACCCGGTCTAAACCATGGATTATTACAAAATAACCCCACCACTCTCACGGGATTACGAGTACGCATGGAGTCGAACAACGAATACGTAAAATGAGTGAGTTTAGTTTTACGCCGGTCTTAGCAATATTCCAGAAATATCACAGCGGGGGAAACCAGAAATAGTCTTCACGCAATATATCCATGTGGGAAATCGAACCCGGGTCTTCGGAGTATCGAATGAAAGCTTTAACCATTAGGCTATTCCAAAGCCTATGGAACTCTCGAAGATACATATTCCACAGAAACCATTATGAATGTTCCTTAATTAATGATGTAAATAATGGACTGGCAAGGTGTCCGTGTTTCGTAGTCATTATAATATTATTATAATATAATGCTTATGATGCACTCATCCACCAAGCCCAATCTACTGTATAAACTCTGCTGTATAATTGTACATCATTGGCTTCCACGCCTGTCCTTTGTCTACTCTCTGGCTTCATCAGCTTTCTGCCTAGCCAATTATGTTAATTATGTTGTTTTCTTTGTTACATTGTTACATCCAGTATTTATATACTTCCCCCTTCTTCATGTTCCATTATGCTTGACAACGGTACAAGAATCTGTATCGAAACGTCGCACGCACGAATAAAAGGAAGTTGTTATCCATAAAGTTTGTTCTATATTGTACTTCCCAACTTCTAAAATGCCACTCAAAGAAGTTTTTCGTAGTCATGCTTACACGATAAAAGTATGCTGTAATCAACTTAGGATTCATACTCTCAAGTTAAACAAGAACCCTCTTGCTTTGCAATAACAACAGCGTAATGCTGCAATATGCAAATGATAATACTAGCCCAATATATGCAAATCTTGCTTTAACCACAAAGCCGCTGTGACGACCCAACAGTTAAGCAGTGATTAAGGAAAACACCACAAATCATGTTATTATCTTTCTGCATTAAAAACTGTATAACATCAAATAATGCACAGTTACTTTATTCCAGTAGTATATATTTGAAGTTCCACTTTTTGCATTAAAAAATGTATAACATCAAATAATGCACAGTTACTTTATTCCAGTAGTATATATTTGAAGTTCGACTTCAATTTGAAGGTTGATTAGGTGCGCCATGTATGTCCCTCTGACTGACTGACTGACTGAATTTGGTTTTACGCCGCTTTTAGCAATATTCCAGCAACATCACGGCGGGGGACACCAGAAATGGGCTTCACACATTGTGCCCATGTGGGGATTCGAACCCGGGTCTTCGGCGTGACGAGCCAACGCTTCAACCACTAGGCTACCCGACCGCCCCTGTATGTCCCTCTGGCATGCATGGGTTATCTATCAGTTCACAGTGTAAATAATTAATGCCATCTGTATCAGCATTATGTATCACTTATCACCTGTCAGATAACACTGCACAAGACATATATATACATCCTAACCATGTTATAAAGTGATGTTACGTACATGTCGCAATCGGCCGATTTACTCAACCCAACCACATATATTACTACACCTTGTATATGCCCGTACAAACACAGCATTTCAACATGGCGTCTTTGTGTCAATGTGTGCTGTTCGTGTTTCTCTGTTTGTTCCACGTTAACGGATTCACGCCTCGTGTTTGTAGGTATGAAAAACTAGGATATTGTCATAACGCTACAATATTTACAGATGTTCCCATAATGGTTATCTTTGGTGGATAGAAAACGATTAACGTGTCTCGAAGAAAAACATTGTTAAATCCTTATGTTATATGAAACCTTAAATCCATTCAGATTTATGTCTACGTATGACAGATTTTCTTTAATTAAAAATAATTAACATAATTATTGTTTTGATGCTTTGCGTAACTTTATATTTATAAACACACGCGATATAAGACAATGCGTGCGTGTACCCAGTTACAACTGGTCCGGGTAACCTGTGATGGATGCTGGTTGGTATGTTGTTTTACGCCGCACTCGGCAATACATGTATTCCAGCTATATGGCGGCGGTCTGTCAATTTTCGAGTCTGGACCTAACAATCCAGTGATCACCATCATGATCATCGACCTACGTAACTGGGAACCGATGACATGTGTCAACCAAGTCAGCGAGCCTGACCACCCGATCCCGTTAGTCGCCTATTACGACAAGCATGGGTTACTGAAGATCAATTCTAACCCGGATCTTCACGGGCCTGTGATGGATGTAATCAGCCAACGAAATGGATTGGGTGGTCAGGCTCTGTGACTGGCTGATGACCTATCATTTAACCCGGAATACGTGGCATTGCTCATAATATCAATCTCTGGGTCATCTGATCCTGACTCGATTTTCTACAAACAACACACCTTAATAGTACTGCCAATTTTCAAGGATGAATATAGTAAGCCTCAAATTAGATCAGGATCATGATCAAGTACCAAACGCCTCATTTCCTGTAATATGTATAGCTGTGGGGTAGCCTAGTGGTTGAAGCGTTTTCGATCATCCGGATTCGATCATCCACATGGGTACAATGCTTGCAGCCGATTCCTGGCGTCCCCCCGTCGTGATATTGCTGGAATATTGCTAAAAGGGCCGTAAAATAACACTCACTCACTCAATCACTCCTGTAATATGTACACAAAATAACGACATTGTGTCCACCTGATCCCCTTTCGGCTGTTAACCTGAAAAATACCCATGGACAATACACAGCTGAGAAATGATACTCTGCACTATGCTTTGCATAAGCAGCCTTAGCATTGGCTAAAGTGAGTGAGTGAGTTTAGTTTTAGGCCACTTTTAGCAGTATTCCAGCAATATCACGGCGGGGGACACCAGAAATGGGCTTCACACATTAAAACGCTTGGCTAGACAGTTTGTCCTGGGGGTGGAAGACTGACGGTAGGACCCCGTTCACGAAACATATACAAAGACGTTAAAATGGTGTTTGTTGTTCCCCAGACTGAAACTCCACTTTAGGGATGATAAACAAGGATTGATGGGTTTATACTATGACATGTCTATCCATGTTAGACTGCGGAATGGTAAAAAATTAGCAGTCAGGCCTAGTGAATGCATGCACGCACACGCGCAGATACGCACACACACACACCTCGTTATAGGAGTGACCTACAGTCAGTGGCCAAAAGTCTGTTCGCACCGGTGACGTCACGGCTATCTCTAGCGGAGTCGGGTCCCCTTTTAAAATTCGCGTATCTATGTAAATAATAAAGGTACTCACCTCAAATTTTCAGAATTTAGAGATATGACCCTGTGCTCTTAGGACATCTCGGAGTCGTCTTGGTAAACTGTCATATAGACGACGAATGTAAACGGGACTAAGCCCAGTCCAAATGTCATTCACCACACGGATGAGATCTTGTCTGGAGTTAATGTCACCTAATCTGGCTTTGAGTTGATATTTAACAGTTTTCCATACATTTTCAATGATATTGAGATCTGGACTTTGTGGGGGACACGGCAAATTCGGAATATGATTTTCCTGTTTCCAACGGTTAGCCCGAATGGACACATGACAAGGGGCATTGTCTTCTTGGAAAATCCAATTGCGGTTGACAAAATGCCTGGCAACTACAGGCCACAAGTGGTTATCAAGAATGGCAATGTACTTATCAGTGTTCATGTTGCCATCAACGACAGTTAAAGTTCCCACTCCATACGCAGACACACACCCCAAAACATCACTGAAAACTTCGAATTTCGTTCATGATCGGTACGAACCCCCAAACAATCGGGTCGTAACCGCTCATGCGACTTTCTCCACACATAAACTTTTCTGTCTATCCCGATCTGGACTTGTGTCTCATCACTGAAAATGACATTATCCCACTCATTTCTTCCTCAATGCAATTTTGTCCGACAAAATCAGAGTCTCTCTCTCTGTTAACACGAGAAATGGTGATTTTCTTGCTTACCACATGTCTACGGTACCCCTCAATGAACAATCTTCTTCTGACAGTGCGAGAAGACAGAGTAGTCGGTCCCTGATTGTTATATTTTGCTGTCAAATCCCCCAAGTGTTTGCCGGCGATTTCTTTTCACAAGACGAAAAGCCGTCGTTCGCTTCTTGGTGACGATTTTCGGGGCCGCCCACTTCTCGGCAACGATTTAACTGAACCTCGCTCCCGAAAACGTTTTAAAATTTTCTGAATTGTTCTTGGGTTTATACCTGTCAAATCAGCAATTTTGTAGCTTGATTGGCCTTGCTGTTTCAAGTCAACAATTAAATTTCTTTGGTCAGGTGTCAATTCTCGGTTGACAGGCGGCATGATAGCAGACGACAAAAAATATAAACAAAGCAAGGGAGATAATCGCATATTATCGGTGCTAAACATATTTTGTGACATGTGAAATTTGTACCCCAAATCACATTACGATTGGTGGCTTATCAGCACGGCGAAACGCTCTCAAAGTCAACCTACCCCTCAAGACATGGGCAACGTAACATGTTTTGCGAACAGACTTTTGGCCACTGACTGTATGTTGACCAATCCCATTTTTAATTACCAATTTTACCATTCATTATCATTTAGCCCCTTCACTTTTAGGGGCTGTGGGGTAGCATAGTGGTTAAAGCGTTGGCTCGTCACGCCAAAGACCCGGCTTCGATTCCCCACATGGGTGCAATGTGTGTCCCTCGCCGTGATATTGCTGGAAAATTGCTGAAAGCGGCGTAAAACCATACTCACTTACTCACTCACTCACTCACTCACCCTTCACTTTTAGTTCAGTGGTACAGCTATATAAACAAATTGTTGACAGATTACATGGACCAGCAATGTACAACGTCCCTGACGGTCCGCAAGGACCTCAGACTGAAACTGACCAAGTTCACCAACACCAAACTGGACATGGACATGAACTGTTTCTTGATGCTCGACGCCAAGGTTCCAGGAGGCAGGCTGAAGATAACGGTCAGATCTTTCCACACAAAGTGGACACCGTATTGCACCAAAAACAGCCTCCAGATTGATGATGAAAATGTCAACCCACTGAATGGTAAAAAGGACATTTTTATGGACACTTTTATAGGTATCAGTTGATGAACATTAGGGACCGTTCATAATTTATGGCTAGGGGGGATGATGATGATTTTAAGGGATGGTCAACCATTTTGTTCTGGGGAGCTACGGGGGGTCAGCAATTTTGTACAAACGTACTTGGGGGGTCAGCAATTTTGTACATAAAAATATGTTTAAAACTATGCTCAGAAATTATGAGAAGTGGACGGGGGTGTCATTGATTTTGTACATGACATGCAAGGGGGGTCACTTGTTTTGTGCATAAATTTTAGTGGGGGTCATTTACATTGTACATGCTTCTCCATAAAAATCATCATATCACACACACACACACACACACACACACACACACACACACACACCCTAGCAATAAATTGTTAACGTTCCATTAAATGCCCTTTTAGGTATCAGTTGAGGAACATTAAATATATTGTAGGTATCAGTTGAGGAACAATAAATATATTTAGGTTTCAGTTGAGTAACATTGTACGTGTATATATTTTATGTATCAGTTGAGGATCATTAAATATATTTTATGTATCAGTTGAGGAACATTAAATATACTTAGGTATGAGTTGAGGAACATTAGATATTTTAAGGTATCAGTTGAGAAAAATTACATATATTTTAGGCATCAGTCGAGGAACATTAAATATATTTAGGTATCAGTTGTGAGGAACATAATAAGTATTTTTGGTATCAGTTGAGGAACAATACATATAATTTAGGCATCAGTTGAGGAACATTAAATATATTAATGTGTCAGTTGAGGAACATTACATATATTTTAGGTTTCAGTTGAGGAACATTATATACATTTTAGGTACAGTTGAAGAACATTAAATATTTAAAGGTATCAGTTGAGGAACATTAAATATATTTTAGGCATCAGTTGAGGAACATTAATTATAGTTTAGGTACAGTTGAGTAACATTACATATATTATAGACATCAGTTGAGGAACCTAAAATATATTTAGGTATCAGTTGAGGAACATTAAATATATTTAGGTATCGGTTGAGGGACATTAAATACATTTTAGGTATCAGTTGAGGAACATTATTATTTTTAGGTATGTTTTCATAATGTTTGATGGATGTGGAAGACATTTACAAACTGGATGCATATGGGACAACAATTCAGTCAAGCAAAAACTTTCTGTGTCACAGTCCCAGAACCATATGATTTTCCCTTCCGCCTAGTCCTTTCTGCAAAGCTAAAGCTCTTAATGAAGCAAGTCTAGATTTCCTCCGGTCCATCTCACTGGAGCTATTTTAGAAAGAATTATTTGTTTCCATAAAAATCATATGTATATATACATATATATTCAGAGACAAAGCGAGTGATCCGTTAACATATGCTTTACTACAGTACAATGTATATTGCCCTTTACGCCCAGTTCGGGGGATGATCATTCCCCGACACTTATGCTTGTGATTATTATTTATGACTATGGAAAATATATTTTATTTCTAAGATATTGTATTTCAGGAGACAGCGGTGACTGTGGTGTGGTGACAGACAAAGTGTATACAGCACCAACTGGCTCTGTGACCTTTACATTTAAGACTGATTTTATTACCCAGACTGGCCAATTCGACATCCTTCTGACGGCATTCTGTGAGTAAATGGTATTATATTTCATTTATTAATAATAAGATAGTTTAACATTCATGCACATGCACCTCTGTTACATGACGTGAAGAAGGAACAACAGCCCATGGAATCTTCAATCTCATTAAAGTCAGATCTTTTACTACGATGTGATACCCCTGGACACCTCAGGTGAGGTGAGGTGAGGTGAAATTGGGTTTAACGTCATACTTGAGAATATTAACGTCATATTTCGCTCATATGACGTGCATGCATGTGTATGTGTATGTGTATGTGTATGTGTGGCTGCTTGTACTAGCCCAGACTGAAGCTGGTTTTATAGTGCTAGCCCACTGAGATACCATGCCGCAGTGAAGCATGAATACCCCACTCAGACACATTATACTGACTCCAAGCCGACCAGTCCTTGTTGTACCCATTAATGCCGAGCGCCAGGCGGGGACCAGCAAGTACCATATTTTAACGTATTTTGGTATGACGCGGTCGGGGTTCGAACCCGCGACCTTCCGCTCTCCGGGCGGACGTTCTAACCACTACACCACGGAAGCGGTCTCTGGACACCTCAGTAAAAAGTCGTAAGAGACGACAAATATGATCGGGTGGTCGGGCTCCCTGACTTGGTTGACACATGTCATCGTATCCCAATTGCGTAGATCGATGCTCATGATGTTGATCACTAGATTGTCTGGTCAAGTTTCGATTATTTACAAACCGCCGCCATATAGCTTGGATTTTGCTGAGTGCGGCGTAAAACTAAACTTACTCACTCTGCCGTGACTACATGAGATACAGACTGCCGCTTTATCCATTGATATTTTTAATGAGGCGTCAACAAACAACAAACAAACACGAACACTCCTAGCACTATTGACTTGTTATCAAACAATATTTTTTTACATTTAACTGTTAACAAAATGAAGTAGAAATGATGGTAAAATCACAGACCCCGTGCTTATTCTATAATAAATTTTCCATTCAAATTTGATACCTGATCGTTAAGTTTGTTTCTATTTTTTCATTAGTTATGAATGTCTGTATATTTACAGCCGATAGTCCGTGCGAATACGGCCGATTCAAGTGTAACAACGACCACTGTGTCAGCCCGGACCTCAAATGTAACGGCTACAACGACTGCGGTGACAACTCGGACGAGAACACTGACTGTGGTTCACTGGGAACAGGCCCTATAGCCGGCATTGCTGTAGGCGCCATAGTTTTCATCGTGATCGTGGTGGTCCTGGTTCTCGTCGTCAGACACAGGAGAAGGCACTGCGTTACTGATGTGAGTATGGACAGGGAAGATATGACCGTGACGTCCGTTTGTAGCGCAATGATGTTACTTCGTTATTTGACACGCGTGAAGATCCGGGTTAGAACTGATCTTCAGCAACCATGCTTGTCGTAACAGGTGACTAACGGGATCGGTTGACTTGGGTGACACATGACATCGTTTCCGAATTGCGTAGATCAATGTTCATGTTGTTGATAACTGGATTGTCTGGTCCAGACTCGATTACTTACAGACCGCCGCCATATAGCTGGAATATTGTTGAGTGCGGCGTAAAACAATAACATCTAGGATGAAGGACAGGAAATAAGGAATTGGACCGTTTGTTTGAACGTCATTTCCTACGTGCGCGTGGTTCTCAGTTACCATGCTTCTCGTAAGAGTTTGGGCAATGGGGTAGTCAGTGTGTAAAACTTTAGATTTCATACAGAAGAGTGGTATTCGCTTTCCTGTTTAGCAGTAAGCAAGTCAAACATAACCAAATTTCAAAGTTAGGGATCGACTTTCTTATCAGGGTTATTTTTTATATTTTATAATATAAAACCCAAACTTTTTCACAAGAAATCTAAACGTTTTTCCCATTTTAATGATGCAGGGGCGGTGGTGAAGCCTAGTGGTTAAAGCGTTCGCTCATCGCACCGAAGACCTGGGTTCGATTCCCCACTTGGGTACAACTAGTCTGTCTCACAGTCCCTGAACCACGTTATTTTCCCTACTGCCAAGCTCTCTCTCTGCAGTGCTAAAGCCCTAACTAAAGCAGGTCTAGAATCTCTGGTCTCCCTAGGGCTCCTTTTCAATTTAAATGGGCTTGTTTGTTACTATCAAAATTATATATATTCAGAGACTAAGCATTAGTCTAGGGTACAACATGCGAGGCCCATTTCTGGTGTACCCAGTCGGGATAAAGCTGGAATATTGCTAAAAGCGGCGAAGAATTAAACTCACTCACTCATTTAATTATGCAGATCGTGTGGACCAAAATGTGTTCTTGTCATTGCCATTACCGTTAAACAGGAAATAGTGCATCTTCAACATTAACACCACCTTAAATTAGAAACGTCCATCCTTCAGGAGAAACCATTTTTGCAGATAAACTCTGATTGAAATTTACAGGCGCAAATAGCTTCTTAAGATTGGCGTGTTGTCGGAAATGTTGTTTGGTTGGGGTTTTTTGTATTTTATTATAATTAATATTTATTTATTTAATACGTGTTTGTTTCACAGACCCACTGTCACTCCGGCCCACCAGCGTGTGCTCCAGCAAGCTACCCTTCTCACTTGCAATATGGGTACTGAGTCACAGCAATCTACCCTTCCACCATGTGCTATAGACAGACATTCATACTCGCATCAGTGCACACATGGATCAGTCGATTTCGGTCATGAGATTCCAGTTTTAATTTCCTGTGTTCTTGCTCAAAAAACTCAACAATGACCACAATGTGCATTGCTGTGTCATCCATAATCTTCACCGAGGAATATATAAAGTTGGGATCTGTTGTAACCATAACTTTAGTTTTTGTTGTCATTAAATCCAAATTGGTGGTGTTGATTAATGAGTAGTTGTTTTATAGTGATAAGAACTGACTTTAGTTTCGGTGTAGCAAATACATTTGAATTGATATGTACACGAGTAAAGCATATTTTATAATCACACAGACAAGTATTGACCATATTAGACAACAGCATCATGTTACACTGGCGGTGTAGACCACTCCGAGGATTAAGTATTCGCGCGTGTGTACTTACATGCGTTTGTGTGCCTTGCGAGGGAGTTATTTATAATGTAGTAATTCTTATCTGTAACCACACTGAAGACAAATATATATTTACAACTTGTTGGAATCTGACGTTAGATAACATATGAAAAGAAACTGCTTTGTTATTGTATTGCGTGTCATGGTTACGTACTGCTCCATCATAAGATGAATCATCGTCGTCGTCGTTGTTGTCGTCATCGTCATCATAATCATCGTCGTCGTTGTTGTCGTCATCGTCATCATAATCATCGTCGTCGTTGTTGTTGTCATCATAATCATCGTCGTCGTCGTCATCATCATCATCGTCATCATTATTCATTGATTCAGTTAAAGGCAAGAAATAACCATAATCATTAAACTAAAACAGCGTACTAATTGACAAACTGTCCTCGGTTTCCATACAATTGTTCAATTGTTTTCATCATGTACTCACTGGATCCGTAATCATTCCTACAAAATACAACGAATCAGGATCGGGGACTGGTGAGGTGAGGTGAAATTGGGTTTAACGTCGCGCCTGAGAATATTTCGTTCAGATGACGACGTGCATGCGTGTGTATGTGTTTGTGCGGCTGCTTGTACTAGCCCAGAGATACCATGCCGCATGAGTGAAACATGAATACCCCACTCAGACACATAATACTGACTCCGAGCCGACCAGTCCTTGTTGTACCCAGTAATGCCGAGCGCCATGCAAGACCCAACAAGTACCATATTTAAACGTCTTTTGGTATGACGCGGTAGGGGATCGAACCCGCGACCTTCCGCTCTCCGGGCGGACGCTCTAACCACTACACCACGGAGGCGGTCCGGATCGGGAACTGAATGAGTGATGTCATATCTCCTCGCAACCGGCTATTGTGGCACGATAATGCCAGGCACTATATACAGCAACGCACTACAACTGTCAACCTTTCTTGCACTCAATTGGGGCGGTGGGGTGGCCTAATGGTTAAAGCGTCCGCTCGTCACGCTGAAGACCCGGGTTTGATTCCCCACATGGGTACAATGTGTGAAGCCATTTTAATGATAACAGATGACTTTTGTTAAAACAAGGTGTTTCATCTGTAACGCGGACGGCGGGTGACCCAGTTGTGCATTTCGCAGAGTAACGTCCCTTGGACACGCCAGGAACCTACAATGTTATGTTTCTTGTTTTGTTTAGCATCACGCCCCTAGGTTTCATCACAAACACCTGCATTGCTTCGGGACTTCCTCCCACTGTAACCTAATGAGCTACGACTTGTGTCTTGTCCAAGCGGCCTTAAACCTTATTTAGTATCTCACGAGGGGATAAGTTCCCGAGTTCACCTGATTTATAATAGTGAGATCAAAAGGATGAAACCGGATGTTCGAAATCTAACGCCATAATCGTACATAAACGATCATTACACAACTCAGATCATAATTTTATACTGATAAATACCCGTATGTAAGATTGCAGCACAAACATCATAAGCAGGCATTTTCACCAAAACCATATGGTATTTCATTTATATCGCAATGGACAGCAACGGAATGCACTGGACAGAATTAGGCTTTGAAATAATGAACCGAATTCAATCTACATCACGGGGCCTTAAAAAACGTGAGCGAAATCTAACTTAGATTGAGGAGGGGTGGTTACGTCGTTACATCCCTTTCCTTTATGTAGTTTAGGGTGGGAGGAAGGCCCGAAGTGACGCTGCAAGTCACGAGGCGTGGAAGCCATGAGTGGCTGTTTATTACAAAACTACAAACATACTGTGGGCGAATCTACATTCTAACCCACGCTCATGTGTTTCGGGAGTGTCCAAGGGACGCAATTCTGCATAACGAATAACGGTGCTTGGGCCACTCTTGCCGCGATCATTATAATAACGGGTATAATTTCAAGCGGGTTCAAATAATTGTGATACTATTTTGTATTCTTCTGATTTGCTCTTGCGTTGACATTTTATATTTAACGGGCATTAAACATAAAGTTGAAATAATCATTTAAGTTTTCAGAAACAGACGCCACTGTGTAGAGTAAGGTGACGCCTGGTTAAGAGATAACCAGATTCTAACATACGGGCCAAGTACGCGATAAAATTGACATCTCAGTCTACATCTATCTATGCGTGATAAGGTTTGTAGGTACATGATACAGTGTAACCACGAGCTTTATCGATATCCATGTCATAAAAAGCATATAATAGTTATACTGTTTGTATTTTGACGAACTTAATCCATATTCGTTTATTATTTACATTTAATATTCACGATACACAGTTTCAATTTCTTTGTAATATAAGTCATTCTTGCAATTATAAACGTTAAGATGTAATTTCTTTGAGTGAAGTAAATGATTAAAATGATTAAAATACATTGTAAGAGTAAACAGACCAATTGATAATGCAGTTGCAGATGATATCATTGATATGAAGACCTTTAGAAACGGATTAAATTATATTGTTGGAGTGAACAGCTGGCTTTATGATATAGGTACATATTTGTAGCCTTTAGTCCCTGTTAGTTGGGATCATCTCTATAATTATTCCTGAATACATGTTTATCGAAATGGTTTAAATATTATCCATTGTAGTTGATAAACAGTGTCAAAGATAGCCCCATAACACTCATGTAAGTCCCATCATCATGGACGTCGAAATCAGCGTTTCCGTTGAACCCTGTTTGAGCGATATCTTACACATGGAGCATTGTCATGGTAGTACTTCTGGGGTATTCGACAGCAAATCGGTATATCGACCGAATTCTTCAACGTCACCTTCTTCCGATTATCGATCGACTGAGGGAATTGGTTCAACGTTACAACGCTACACACATCTTATTTCACCGTTGAATTCCTTCATAATTCAAAAGTCCATATCTTGACGTTGCCGTTGAGATCTCCAGTACGGAGTCACCATATGCAAAAGACACAGACAAAATGGCCAAGGTGTTGCAGGAAGAAAGGAAAAACAATTCCACAGGGTACAATCTGCTGATGTATTCAGCTATATCACGGTGTACCACCTCTGTGAACTGTTGTTCGTGAGGTGTATCATGAAGTGTTTTTAAATTACCAGAAAACAAAGAATTACAATGGATAATACAGGCTTGTTTCAGTATGCAGAAAGTCAGACAGAGTAACACTTAATCCTAAAGAATCTGAAATCATATTAAAAAGGAACAGACGTCATCAGGCTATGACTGGTGCAACTGGGAAATAGAGTTTTGGCACTCTTAACAGTAAATAAAAGATTTAGCAGACAGTTAACTCGAAACCACACGATCAAATAGATTTTACTTAACGAATAAATATAGCCTTTATAAACAAAGTGTAAGTTGCGCCTTAATCACCTCCATGTCTAGTTCAGTGAAGAAACTCAAACTGCAATATATTTTAAAATATCACAAATCATCAAAAGGCACTAGTTGCACAAGAAATATAGCCTTCATTTTCAGCAGAATCCCTACTTATTGTCAAAAAAACACACAAGACAAAAATTCAAAATGATCAAATGGCGCCAGTTCACCAAAGGACTGATCCTTCTAGTTTCATAAACAAATATTCAGCAGCTTCTAAGCTCTGCTCAGCAATAGGAAAACAGATATAGGACAAGACGTACGGGCGGACATGTTGTGGTATGTTTGCTCAATTTTATAAACCGGGGGATAATATATGTTATCATGATACCAGGGTACTGACTTGACATGAGTAGTCTTAAGGTAACAGTACAATATTACGCTGCAAATAAGAATCTATAGATATTCAACCACAAGCCTAAATAATGCTTTCCTCGCCGTCAAATGACGTTACATATTCTTTAAATGTGTTAAACAAAAATAACTACAACGATTTACGTTATATGCGTGTTATTATTAGGTTTTATGTTTTGATCTTTAATGAGCACGTTTGACTGTTTTGACGCCAGGTGTTTACGTACAGCAAATACAAGAACATAACATATTAAGACACCCCAGGACTGGCTGACTGACTGAGTATGGTTTTTACGCCGCTTTTAGCAATATTCCAGCAACATCACGGCAGGGGACACCAGAATTGGGCTTCACACATTGTACCCATGTGGGGATTCGAACCCGGGTCTTCGGCGTGACGAGCGAACGCTTTAACCACTAGGCTACCCCACCGCCCCAGACACTCCAGGAAGAATCGAAACACTATCTATGGATTTTTAAAGGAGAGACTGGATTGAATTGTTTACTATATTTATTTTGTTTGATTTTGTTCTGGTTGAGGCTTTTTGGCTTCACTTATCATCTCGTCATTTATAATGGACATTTATCTACATCAGTATACCATCAGTACACATGTAGTATCTACACTAATCTACACTAATCTAGTGTCAACAATTGGTGTGGCAGACAAAGGCGGTAACGAACTCGATCAACTCTCGATTACACAATGTATCGAACAGCTCAATGTACAACTAATATAGCATGAATATCGACTTTAATGTGTGTGGCAAATTTGTGTAGTTTAGCAAATCGTTGTAAGTGTGTTTCGGGGATACCATCAGTACCATCTCGAGGTTATAAGCAGTTGTCAATACAAATGGCGGCCGTTACTGAATGAAAAAATTACTTCCGGTGTCACCGAGGTCACGGTCATCCAATCAAAACGAATAACACCCTTGTGACGTACGGATTTTAGAAATACTATCTCACCGGTATCTTCACCGCGTGGGCAATAAATGTATTTAGCAACCGAATCATGAAATTTCATAACTGCAAACCTTCACTCCTTAAAGCGTAATATTTTTTCTACAATTCTGAGGTGAAGACTTTGGATCCCGACCAGTATGTTATGGACTTGATAACGTTGTACGTGAGTCTGTGTTATCATGTGTCTCTGAACCCAAGGCTAAGTCACGTGGCGTGTCGCTGTGATATATATCATGGTTATGCGGCAACGATTATTGATGTGAACTTATGAACATCTACATCTACATCCTGGGCATATGAAAATGGTTCCACTCTATCTATGTTTCGCTGTTGCAACGCTCTGGTTGACCACCTCTGACGCTCATTCTCCCCACGTCTGTGAGTACTCAGGAGTTTCCTAATAGCTAAGTACATAGTACAGATACAATCTGGTCCAGCAGTCTGTGGTTTGTTTAAATCATTTATAGAGTGCACAACAAAGTTTACACTTTTTGTAGGCAAGACAAGCTTATCTTTTTTGCCAACATTTGTGACTTTTATTCATTCATTCATTCATTCATTCATTCATTTGATCATTCAACCCGTGAAGATCCGGGTAAAAATTTATCTTCAGTAACCCATGCTTGTCGTAAGAGGCGACTAGCGGAATCGGGTGGTCAGGCTCGCTGACTTGGTTGACACATGTCATCGTATCCCAATTGCATAGATCGACGCTCATGCTGTTGAATGTCACTGGATTGTCTGGTCCAGATCATTTATTCATTATATATATATATATATATATATATATATATATATATATATATATATATATATATATATATATATACGCACAAAATGTCCAAAATAGTATAGGTGTTCAATCATAAAATTACGTAGATAATAAAACAGAATGCCTTTTTTTCTCCAACATGTTTCGTTCTTTACTGAAGAACCTGAAGAGTTCTCCCTGAAGAGTAAAGAACGAAGCGTGTTGGAGAAATAGGCATTCTGTTTTTATTTATCTACGTAATATATATATATTAAGTAACACCAAACATTGCCGTCGAGTGCGAGCTCATCTATGATCTAACAAGGGAAAGAATAACATTGATTTTTTTTAAAAACTGTACCATTATGTTTGTCATAACATACCGAGGGTATTCCTAGTTAGAACTGGTCCCGAGAAACTTTACCCCAAGCGACATAACGGGTAGGGAAGTCAGACAATGTGATTTGTTTGACAGCATTTTAACGACGTGCTCATTATATCAACCACTGGATTGTCTGGCCAAGACTCGATTTTTGCACGCTGGACTGTTGCTGAATGCGGTTTTAAAGAACAAGCGTATTCATTTAAGGGGTCTAGAGAATGGGTCATTCCATCCCGTTAGTCGCACGGGTTGCTGAAAAACAACTCTCAACCCGATCTTCATGGTTCTGATAATCAGTGCTTCATAAACGTGATAATTAGTGATTCATAAACACATGATTACGACGTACAGTGGAGATAGCTATATATATGCACCTTTTTTACAGTGATCGGTAGCCAATATTACCGTTATCAAGCAGGTGATATAGATATAGAGAGGTTATGGGGATAATTGACGTATGATGGCAGATTGGTGTTCAGACAACACATGAGGTTGTAACAAAGACCTTCTTGATCCATAGGGGGGCGGTGGGATAGACTAGTGGTCACGCCGAAGACCCGGGTTCGATTCCCCACATGGGCAAAATGTGTGAAGCCCATTTTGGTGTCCCCCCGCCTTGATATTGCTGGAATATTGCTAAAAGCGGCGTAAAATCAAACTCACTCAATCACTCTAGATCCATAGAGTTGTCTCTCTTGTACACCATGCCAACTTCTAAATGTTCAAGAACTTAATCAGGATATATCGGAATAGTGTAAGATTCTCAGCTATTAGTCGGGGGTTTCTCATGGTTATTAAGATGGTGTCGTATTTCGTCTTGCGTTGAGTGTAGTCAGCTATCGTGGAACAAAGGGTATTAAAATATATAAGGTATGTATTTCAAAGTTCTTTTCCAAATAACTTCGGGCGAACATTGTAACTCAGTATTGCAGTATGGTTACAGAGTGAGTGAGTAAGTGAGTGAGTGAGTGAGTTGGGTTTTACGCCGTTATTAGCAATATACTAGCAATATCACGGACGAGTGAACGCTTTAACCACTGAGCTACCCCGCCTCCCCTACGAGCCCGCCTCCGCGGTGTAGTAGTGGTTAAACGAGACCGCCTCCGCGGTGTAGTGGTTAGAGCGTCCGCTAGTACAAGCAGCCGCACATACACATACACACGCATGCACGTCGTCATATGAGCGAAATATTCTCAAGCACGACGTAAAACCCAATTTCACCTCACCTCACCTCCCATACGATTACAGATATAGCATCACCACATTTGTATGTATATGTTACCAGATTATATGGACGCAGAGTGCGGGTCCAGTATAAGTGTCACGAATGATGTGAGAGTGCAGCTGGCGACCAACACCCACCTTCTCCCCAACTGGACATGCTCCACAAGTCTGGAGGCGCATACAGACGGTGACCAGTTGCTGGTCCGGATCAGAAATCTAAACACATCACCGTCTGTTGACTGCAGTGAAAACAGTTTGAAGATAATCGATACTGACGAACACATAGATATAAACGGTTAGTCCTACATTAAGCCCATATTTAAGCCATGTTTGCGACGTTGGTGTAGTTGAACTACAATTGATTACATTGGCTATAATCACAGCAAAATCTAATTGTACTTGTTTCTTCTTTAACGCCAAATTTAACAATCCAGTGATTGACATCATGAGCATCGATCTACGCAACTGGGACACGATGACATGCGTCAACAAAGTCAGCAAGCCTGGCCATCCCATGACGTTAGTCACCTCATGCGACAAGCAGAGGTTGCTGAAGGTCTGTTTCCAACCGGATCTCCATCGGTGCCTATTCGTATGGAATTAGGTGAACAGTATAATGGCCTGATCTGGGTCAACTTAGGGTGGTGTTACTTTGTCGATAATTTGAAATAATCCACTTCTGTACAATTAAACATCTTCCGCTTTTTAAATATTAAATCACTGCAAGTGGCTACTCTATTCTCGTCCATGCGGGAGTTTTACTGCACGGTGTCAAACTAAACATCCAATAATTCCTATTACACACTAATTATGTGGTTGCCGGTTGCATCAATACTGGAGGTTGAAAAAACAGTCCACTTTCTGTGACCCTGTTGTAATTATCGTAGCAAAATGATTACTTCCAGATTAACAAACTTATTCGCTTGAAATTGCCATTGAATAATTATCACGTCTATTTTTGGACAAATGCATGGTTTTATTGGATTGCCATTTGACTGAAATTTATTTACCGCTCTTCGAGAATTTCATACATCGACTGACGCCACGACAGATCTGCAGTAAACATGCACTTCCTGTTGATTTGTGAAAGGGAGATAACCGTGAGAAACGGAGATAACCGTGAAAAACGGAGATAACCATGAAATTCGTTTATAGATACGATTCCTGAACACACTAAAGTCCTAATTATGTTAAAACAGTGGTGGGTTTGGAAGATATGGGTGAGACCTTACACCCCTTCGTGTATCCCACGAATACCTGGGGTTTTGAAAAGCCTCAATTCTCTCTGAAGGCATGAAAGAAATCTTTGATCGGGATTTCGAATCCATGTTTGTCCTGATTATGTTTCCAGGCCTGTCAACAACAAACACTATTGGTTTCACCCTGTTGGGTGCCGTTGTACAAAGCGATCTTAACGCTAATGTGATCGTAACTCCCGTACCTAAACATAGACTTACGACTGTCGCTAAGGCTGCTTGTACAACAGCACCCTGCTTTATTTAGATCGTTCCTCTCTCCACATATCATCCCCTTTACAGGGCGATGGGGTAGCCTAGTGGTTAAAGCGTGCGCTCGTCACGCCGAAGACCCGGGTTCGAATCCCCACATGGGTACAATGTGTGAAGCCCATTTCTGGTGTTCCCCGCCGTGATGTTGCTGGAATATTGCTAAAAGCGGCGTCAAACTAAACTCAGTCAGTCAGTCAGTCCCCTTTACACTACACCTCCGTTGTTCCAGGAGAGCACGGGGACTGTGGTTCCACACCACCAGTAAGGACTTTTGTCACCAATGGAAGTTCAGTGACGTTTGTGTTCAACACAGATGGCGCGAACCAGGATGGCCAGTTCGACATCCTCGTGACATCCTTCAGTCTATCTATCAATGGTACGTGCATGTTTGGATATCAATAAAATTTCAACTAGATAAGATGATACGTTATGGCCAGTTTGGTGTGTTCCCGTTTTCTCATATCCCAAACCAATCAAATTCAACAAACAAACATATATATGAAACATTTCAAGTTTCTCTTAAGGACTCATCTGTTCCGTTTGTACTTTAAAAGTGACCTTGTACTGCCACCAAGTTTTTACTTTTCCTTGACTCTTGCATGCTCTGTGAGCACGCCTCATTTGAGTTTAGCGCAATATAAATGGACATTACATTACTTACATATATTCAATGATATTTTTCTTTGAAACTGAAGGTGTCATCACTGTTTTTCTTAGATCCATTCATATAATTTTAAACACTATTTTGTCGTTTAGGACTAAGAACTATGTTTCAAAAGATAATTGAGGAAGATTACATTCTGGCATTAACACTCTGGCATTAACAATTTATCGGTCTGCCGTGGGGATGCTAACTGACCATTTCAACAAAAACTGACGTACAAATGAAAGTACACACCTGATGCTTTGGTGACATGTTTTCCTTAATACAGCGTAATATTTAGAAAAGTGTTTTGATTGTGACTCAAACATTGTGTACGTGTTGCAATAACACCATAGATATCGTACCCAATTGGAACATTGCCAACAAAATATCGACGTTTTTTAAGAGTCTCAAACCACCAGGTGTGTACTTTCTTTTGTACTTCAGTATATTTATGTGTTATAATTCATTTGCCCGAAAAAGATTGAAATAGTCTCTGATAACAGTGTGTAAGATTATATCATAATTATTCAAATATCAAATGAATTACGTTAGTTCAGGTACGCTGTATATGTATGTATTGCACGATTATCTAGAAATGAAGCCAGGGTTCGGATATTTCTATTTGAATATCTTATGTAAATATGCTATGATAAAAGATGAGTTCTTCAAATCTACATTAACGTATTCAACCTTTATTCGTGGTACTGAATCATCAGAAATGTCTATACAGGTACGTGCTCCAGTGATCGCTTCCTGTGCGATAACAGCCGGTGTGTGAGCTGGAGCGTCGCCTGTAACGGCTTCAACGACTGTGGCGACAACAGTGATGAACTCGACGTTTGTGGTATTGGGGTGGCCGCCATAAGTGGAATAGCCGTGGGATCGTTTGTGTGCTTCGTCATATTGCTGCTTATCATCATCAGTAGAGTAAGACGGAAGCGCTTCAGAAGACGTCAGGTAAATGTCTGGAACTGTCTTGGAGTGGTCGGATGAGTGAGTGGATGCGTGGGAGGGGGAATATGTGGGTAAGGGAGTGAGTAACTCGTTGAATAGATGAAATGGTGGACGGTTGAACGAATGGCTGAGTGGCTGAACGAGTGGGTGAGTGGTAGGATGGGTTGATGGGTGGTAGGATTGGTGGGTGAGTAGTCGGGTGGGTGAGTGGGTGAGTACTCAGATTGGGTGGTAGGGTGAGTGAGTGAGTGGCTGAATGAGTAGGTGAGTGGTAGGATGGGTTGGTGGGTGGTAGGATTGGTGGGTGAGTGGTCGGATGGGTGAGTGGATGAGTACTTAGATTGGGTCGTAGGGTGAGTGAGTGAGTGGCTAGATGGGTGGGTGAGTGGTAGGATGGGTTGGTGGGTGGTAGGATTGGGGGGTGAGTGGTCGGATGGGTGAGTGGGTGAGTACTTAGACTGGGTGGTAGGGTGAGTGAGTGAGTGGCTAGATAGGTCGGTAAGGGAGTGAGTGACTGGTTGGATAGGTGAATGGGCGGGTGGGTGGGTTGTAGGATGGGTGGGGAGTGAATGGGTGGGCATAATGGCAAGTAGGTTCATACTATTCTTCTCTGCAATCAACATTACTCTAGCTATTTCCCCGTCGTAGCAAGGGAAACAGGTGGTTAATGTCATGAGCACAGAACCATACTGTCCGGGTACATGACAGTTTGTCCAGGGGACAAATGTTCTGGACCACAATCTGACCAGTTAATGGAAGGGACTTGGCAAACATACATACGTTTGAAGATTTCAGCCATGGGGTTTTTCACATGTTCCACGACGACGTACGACCGGCAGGGCATGTCATGTTACCCTTTGAGCGAACACCTGGTGTCATAACTGATATCCAGAGATCCACTCATATAAACTACGTCCAATGCAATCTGTTTCGATAGGTGTTCGATACTGGTCATTTTCCAGCGTTTAAGTTTTATATACATGTAAAAGTATTTAACTTCATACTACGAGGGCCGGTGGGGTAGCCCATTTCTGGTGTTCTTCGCCGTGATATTGCTGGAATATTGCTAAAGGGGGCGTAAAACCTCACTCACTCACTCACTCACTCTCACTCACTCACTCTCACTCACTCACTCACTCACTCACTCACTCACTCACTCACTCACTCACTCACTCACTCACTCACTCACTCACTCACTCACTCACTCACTCACTCACTCACTCACTCACTCACTCACTCACACTGATACTACCATTTGACCGAACTGTTGCAGGCCAGAAGATCAACGGATGTCCAGACCAAGCCTGGATACGGAACCTTATTTAACGGATAAAATCAGCCCACTGACCAGAATACAGACTGAATACATGAACAGACACCAAGTTGAACTAGTTATGGAAATGACCAACGGCTGCCTGTGTACTGAGAAGAACATCGAACAGTGGGCAGGTTCCTTGCAGATCCTACATATGCAGCTGTCATCACAGGATTAGACTGCTGATTGAGAATAGGAACTGACCTTATTATGTCCATACATTGTGTGTGTGTATGTGTGTGTGTGTGTGTGTGTGTGTGAGAGAGAGAGAGAGAGAGAGAGGGAGGTGTGTCTGTATGTGTGTCGTTGTGTCTGCATGTGTGTTCTTGCGTGTGAGTGCGTGTGCCTTTGTGTGTGATGTTTACCTGTACATATCAACCTGTATACAGTAAAAATGTGATACCGAATGCAACTCGTTGGTGTCGACTATTCAAACAAAGAATCGTACACAGGTCATATGTACATGAATATATAACTATACTCCAAAAGTATATCCCCGTGTTTGTCAACGTGAAGTCTTGACGTGCCTTTGCATGTGTTTGTGACAAGTGGGGGGAGGGGGGGGATAAGTAAACACCTGGTATCATCACTATTTGATAGTGAATTATAAAGCATGCAAATGATACAGAAGTAAAAGGAGAATTGTGATATGTCTGTAGTTATATTACCAATATTGGTGGAAGATTGCTGAAATCAACAAACAAGGACCCAAGTCAATAATACAAGAACAAATCTTAAAGTTTGCAAATACTTAAGGATGTCTCCAGCTAGCTGTTTGTCATAAAAGGATGTTATTTATCTTTACGACCTTCAACAATATTTGTGGTCGCTACATATCTCCAAATCAAAAATGTACAAAATCAAGAAATTAAGACCTGGTTGTGTCGAACTCGCGGTGACCAAGGTAAAGGATGTCTGGGCTGACAACCAAGGTGATTTTCGGAAAATCAAGTTATCTTTGGTTAACTAAACTAGTGTCCAAAAGAAACGATACCACGTGTTGCAAAGATCACTAAATTAAAACAAAACAACAGACATTTCAAATTGATATCTTTCATTAGATAAATGATTTTACGGCATGTGTACAAAAAGTCATGGCAATCAAAGATTTACAATCATTAACACAGGGCTTTAAACGAAGTGTGGTGCCCAAAATTGAAATTTCATTTTAGCACAGTGGAGGAGGCTAGTGAGGGTAGTCTCTGAAAACAGTCTTAACGCCACTTTAGTACCGGGTATGTCCACCAGCAGCTTACACCCCTGGCTGCCGAGCTTTTTGCCAGTTTTTTTTCGCACATTTTCATACGGTTTGAAAAGTGAACGTTGTGCGAGAATTGCGCTCGCGTGGTCCTGGATCTACGTACGGCTATAAAATTACACAGAAATGTAGAATATTAAATTTCCTATCCGTTGGTATAAATATAAGTGCAACTACCTTGGCAGTTTGAGAAATAGACACTGCTAAATGTTGTCCAAATGTTTGTTATGCGTTAAAAAACAGTAAATTTATCCGCTTTTTATCGCGCACCGATAAAAGCACTGTGCTACGAATTTATTAATGTGGCATCTTTACGGAAAGTGTGAGCGAAGAAAATACAGCCTGATATCTGAACGACATAAGTGTATATGAATTGGGTTTATTTGCTTGTGCATAACGTTATACGCTCAACATTAAAAATGACTCACAATAAGTGTCAAAAAATGGATTTTCTTCTATGACGTCAAACGACGACAGAGAGGTCATACACGTATAATGATAAGGGGGCATAACTCCGTTATTCGTAACACTAGGTCAATGTAACTCAGGTCAATTGGAGAAAATTTGTTGTGAATACGGACGCTATATTTTCGTTATTTTATGTTTATGGTGAACCAAACTATTACAGTTCAAAGTTCCCCAATGTGAGCGGATGCAGTTTGGTAGTTTCACAATTTACAAGAAAAATGACAACGTCTTACATGTGAAAGCACGTAATAGCGATTTGGATGGCCCTATCCGATATTTAAGTTAGTTCTTAGATTCCCATATTCTCCTGTTTGTGTAGATGTAATTTGACTAATTTTGCATTGTTATTACCAGAATACTAGCCATATCTTCAAATGTAAGGAAATTGCTGAAAATATCACAACATTTTAGTTGACGTCATTGCTTGTTTTATGCATTTTGCGACGTCGGAAAAGGACGACATTGGTATGCTGATTAGTATATATCTCACCTACTTTCCATTAATTGTATAAAAGGTCTCGGCTTCTATGTCAGAATTTAACACTCTATTAACAAAACATAAAATGACTGATTTTTCCATTTAAATAGTGTCCTGAATATATCATCAATTAGACGGTTTGACAGTGTATCTTATTGTGAACAACACGCGCACCTGTTTGGCATCAACTTAACATAAATAAAAATAATATTTCTCAACACCCGAATATTTTGTTTGGGATAAGAAGTTTGTTTGTTTATGATTATGTAGCTATTTCTCTTCATACGTATGCAATGAAAGATGCAAAAAGATAGCTTTTTATATATGGAACTATATATTAGAATATGGATGTAAGATTTGTCCGAATTAACACAGATGGTATATGAGATGGTATATATATATTCAACAATTTTCCTATAAATGTAGTTAGAGTTTGATATCCTGTCATCGCAATATTATTTAATTGAATATGAATTGATTATATTATCGAAAACAATGATAGAGAATCATAAAACGTTTCCAACAAACGCGCACCTGGCCAATCAATATGCATTATTCTTTTGTCTATAAAACGACACAAATTTATGCAATGAACAAGACAATTCCTTTAAATATGTGTGCATATACATTTCATACCATATATAAATCATTTTCATTAATATTATCAGTTTTACATATAAGGTTGAATTAAATCACCGTTCATTAACCAGTTCATATGAAATTGCAATATTAGTCCAAATAAATTGAATAGGAACTAAAGTAGTTGCAATTATGGCTACGTTTGATCGTCTAACACTTGTGTAAAGGTTTAGAATATGGTGTATTGCACTAAATATGTCAATTTCTTATGTAAATATGATGCAAACAATCAAAAACTTTCAAAGAATATAACACCGTAAACCCTATACGCGCGTATGATATGATATTGAACAAGGCTAAATGTGGATACTGAAGTCAGTTTCATGAAAAAGTATCTGAACTATACGCAAAAATACACCATAATACTGACAGTGTAATCGGAAGGATTGGGCGATTGTGTTTACTCTTGTTCAACCGACCTTCACCTCAAAGAAATTGCCTAATATGTACAACAATGTTGACGTATGACATCACTACCGCTGACCGATTTCTTACAAAATGGCGGCTTTGCTGACAAGGGTACACAGGATTTTGCAAGGTCCCTTCTATTGATTCAGGGATCGTTTGTCCATAAATATGACATGTAAGTAATCAGAATGATTCTGACTATCTGTGTATTGTTATATGTTTTTTATCGTTTTCACTATAAGTAAGAGAAAAAGCCAGAAATGCAGATAATTACCGTTGTCGTTCTGCGTGATTTTGCGTCAGTCATGGCGTCACGCTGCATGGAAACTTTGATAATTTTTCATGAATTATCAAATCATTGCATTGTATCTATTTATAATTTCCTATTTCTTGCTACGATACTCTTTCCATGCATATTCCAAAGGTATTGAGCCATTGCAAGCAATGAATAGACGGATGAATGTTGGACAATTTCAGAAAATGCTAGACAGTGTAAAATAGGTTTTTTGTCTTTGTTTACATTTCGAACCAGCGCAGTCTTTCGAGCACAGCGTTCGTTTTCACACCCAATATGTTTCGTCTGATTTTATCTTGACAGTTGGCATTGGTGTCAAAGACCAGTTGCAGTTTGATTCTAAAATGTATGGGGAATTCATTGATGCATTTTTCGAAGCTAAATATGAAATATACGTGATGTAATAGGCGTCTCAATACCGGCCTTCGCGAAACGTGATTTTGTAAACACTATCCAATATGGCGGAAAGCGTGTAAGTGTATTTTCGAAAACATCCCAACCGATTCTAGATTCATCGGCAACGTTTCAGAATTATCATTAGCGATTTCATGTAAAAGTGATATCAGTGTTCATTAATATGTTATTTTTTAAATTCAATACTCCCAGTAATTATCCGATTTTCACATTACAAAACATATAGCAAATAACGCTGTGAATCGCGATTTCGTACTGTGTCAGAAATGGCGACATCTTCGATGAAGCCTATTTTGAAAAGTCATTTTCAGCACTTGGGCTTTGTCTAAAATAATAGTGGATGGTATCAAGAAACAGGAAATTTCCCGCAGAATTCGAAACTGTGAAGTGTATTTGTGTGCGTGGGATATTTTGATTTTTTATTGGACTTGAAATTGAGGGTTGAAGGGGAAGGACATATATGTCCCTGTTGCATCCAGGGGGTAAACGTCGGATGACGTTAGGGGTGATTCGCTGCCACTCATCCTAGAGACAATGTTCCAATTGTTGGAGGTTGGCTGGGGGCGCAGGGCGTTTTCTGATTTTCCGATTGAGGTGATCCTATATGTGCTCAATGGGATTCAAATCCGGTGAACACGCTGGCCATGGCAAAACCTGTATGTTGGCAAGGAAGTTCTGGGTCAATCTTGCCGTATGAGGCCTAGCGTTATCGTGCTGGAACACGATTCCTCCTGGATGCTGTTGGGCGAATGGCTGCACGACTGGTCGTAAAACCTCATCCTGGTAACGCTGTGCATTCAGGTTCCCCCCGAATAATGACGAGCCTCGTTTTCACATCACCGCAGATACCTCCCCACACCATTACACCTGCGCCTCCAAATGCATGGACTTGCTGGATGCAGTTCGGCGCCAAACGTTCACGAACTCTTCGGTATACTCGCTGCCGACCATCGTTCTTGTAAAGGCAAAACCGGCTTTCGTCCGAAAACAAGACACGTGCCCAGTTTCGACGTTGCCACCGCCGAACACGCCTGGCCCATATCAATCGGTTGACTCTGTTTTGACGTGTCAGGTAGACTCCGCGGTAGGGGCGACGTGCACGGATACCATGTGCCTGCAGTCTCCTGTAGACGGTTTGTCGACTGATCCGGTGTCCCATTCCCGTCGCCGCCGTTAACGTCGCAGGGACGAAGCGGTTACGTAGGTGAAGTAACCGGATGTGGTTGTCTTGAATAGGCGTGGTCACCCGGGGGTCTCCCGCTTCTCGGCCTGTCTGTTGTTCGGCCTGTTTGACGCAACTGTCGCATTAACCTGGTAACGGTTATGCGCGCGCATCCAAACGTTCTTGCTACAGCGGCGTGTGATGCTCCCTGTCGGACCATTCCAACGGCTCTTTCTCTCTCGATCGCTGTCAAACATGCCATTTCTTTTGTGTGCTTTTTACTGCTGTGGGCACAACGTGTCGGACCAGCGGTTTTATACAGTTCATCTGCACGTGCATTTCGTGCTACACGACTTAACGTCATTTTGAGTATTCGTGCGATTGCTTCTTAAGTGAATAAATGTTACCGGTTTTTTCGATCGAATACGTTTGGTTAGGAACGTGGGATACACAGAAATATGTTTTTTCTCCAAAAAGTATCATTAATTTAAAAATATTTAAAAAAAATATTTGGTATCGTTTCTTTTGGACATGAGTTTACATTTCAAATGGTTGTATATAAACTACAGAGTCGTGCCAAAAGTATTCGACACTTGACGTAATTTCCATAGACTTACATGTTATTTCAGTGTAGCATAAATAAGTTTCATGAAGTGAGTTTAGGATGGATCTTTGTAATATTTGACAGGCAACTTTGAAATCACCTCTGCTCTGCACACATAATTTCAGTGAAATTGTCCGACCACTATTTAACTAATGACATCACATTTATCAACTTTCGTATGGTTCCACAATGCACAATCCCATAGGCCGCCATGTTAAAGGAGTGCACAGGACTGTACATATGTTGATTAACTTGTTGCCATTCGATAAATAAATAACGGAAAATTAAACAGAAATTATGTGATTGTAGGTAAGATGTTTCCTCACAGTTGTACAAAAGTATTTATGCTACGCTAAATAAACATCTAAGTCTATGGAAATTACGTCAACTGTCGAATACTTTTTGCACGACTCTGTATATATTCTAATAATTTCGTGCTTTCAAGTTTACACAGATTCCCGAACGTTGGTTGGTTGAGAGAGCGGTCATGTGATCTAAATTTCAAGGTTCATTACTCTTGAACCCCTATACTTGTGTAAACACCGTTCATACGTGTGTGAACGTTTTTCGCTTCGGTTTCAAGGACCCCCAATAATTGGTGATACCAATTTCGCGAACGAACCTGTTTCAAGTCACCCCAAGTTTGGCAATGTCACTACCAAACGGATTGCCGAACATTGTTCCTTTTCACAGGAGTTTAATGTCTCGCAGTTTGCGGGTTCATCCGGCGGTTTTCTGCCCCGGTCTGTTTAACAACTGCTCAAAAAAATTCACAATAAACAATCACAAATAAATAGAATACAACAAGATCTGGATCCGGTTGTATCGCCACGCCGCACAACTTCAAAGTCGGTCAGTGTATTATTACGCGGTCAAACAAGGTATTTACAAGTGAAAAGGTACAATGCCAGTTTGTTACAATGGTATTGTTATTGCTTCTGATATTTGTTTCTGTTTGATACTGTTATTGATTATACTTATTAAAGCAGTTTCAAACCTCATAACGAATTTGTTGTTATATTTTAAAGATCGAATACTTTGAGAACTATTTCTTCAAGGGTTGGGATACATGTGTAAAAATAAAATCGCTGTGTATACAAACATCGCTGCAATACGTACGTTCTTGAACCAAATGGCATTACAACATTTTACAGGTATTAAAACACACTAAACAATGATCATCTACAAGTGGGTGGAAAACGTATGTGTAAACTTCAAAGTGCGAAATTATAAGAATTGAATGTCAGTTTGTGTGTTTGCACTGAAAAATGAACGATGTCAAAGCGTTGTTCAAACTCTCGCGTGAACTCGCTCGTAAACTCGCTCGTTCACACGAGTTTGAACACCGCTTTGACATCGTTCATTTTTCAGTGCAAACACACAAACTGACATTCAATTCTTAATTGAAACTATCCGAGTTATCTTGAGTATGTGAAATGTGTTCGAGACAAACTGTAATTCGAGTTTTCCAGTTCCACAGTACCAAGTATAAATGATGAAAAATACAAAGAACGACCTCGCAGGCATCGAAAGTCGAGTTGGAGACCTGAAGTTCGTATGAGAATTTAAACGACGGAAGTGCTTTTGTATCCTTTGTAGCCGTATGTAATAAGTTATTGTCAGCAAATATATTCATACACAACAGTGAAAATCATCGCGCACAAACTGAACGAAGTGATTGTTTAAATACGTTTATTTATATATATATATATATATATATACACACACACACACACACACACACACATATATATATATATAGATATATATATATATATATAAGAAGAAGTTTCTGAAATAATTACACAACACGGATCTTCTCCAACATGTTTCACTTTTATCTTCAGGGAGAAGTGATTACAGTTAAACGGATTATGTTATGACGTCAATTTGTCATGACGTCACAATGCAACTATACAAATGTTGTGACGCGGCGTTGCCATGACGTCACATTGGCGGCTTTATATTGACAGTACTAGTAGCACAATGAAAACAAGTATAATTCAGACACATTGCGTTACCCATTTAACGATGGACACAATTCTTTGATGAAAAAGTTTTCTTTAGCTTTACGCTGCATGGCGTCAGCAGTATTCATTTTATAGAAAGGGAATATTTTAAATTTTATTTCCTTTCCTGCTGCGCAATTGTCAATGTGAGCGCTTAAGGGGATGCACCTTGTTTTGGGGTCCTTAATCTGTTGTTTATGGACGCGCATTCTGTCCCTCAAGCACTCCGTTTGTCCAATGTATTCTTCATGACACCCTTGGCATATAATAACATAAATAATATGTTTTGTGGAGCAGTCCATGTTAGAGCGTACATGAAATAATTGTTTCCTGTTTTTGAACTTTATACATGAAGTTTCAAGTATATATTCACAAGTTCCACAATTTCCCCGTTTACATTTTGAGACACTGAATTCTGTAGGTTTAATACATGAGTCGAATGAAAGCAGCAGGAAAGGAAATAAAATTTAAAATATTCCCTTTCTATAAAATGAATACTGCTGACGCCATGCAGCGTAAAGCTAAAGAAAACTTTTTCATCAAAGAATTGTGTCCATCGTTAAATAGGTAACGCAATGTGTCTGAATTATACTTGTTTTCATTGTGCTACTAGTACTGTCAATATAAAGCTGCCAATGTGACGTCATGGCAACGCCGCGTCACAACATTTGTATACAGTTGCATTGTGACGTCATGACAAATTGACGTCATTACATAATCCGTTTAACTGTAATCACTTCTCCCTGAAGATAAAAGTGAAACATGTTGGAGAAGATCCGTGTCGTCGTGTGATTATTTCAGAAACTTTTTCTTATATATGTACTACTGTACGCTCGGTATTCTCATCACTTTCTTTATATATATATATATATATATATATATATATATATATATATACTGCAAAGATATGTCAAATTAGTTAATAACTGCATTCGTTTATAAATAGTTCTAGAGGACCCGTGAAGATCCGGGTTAGAAAGAATTGGTCTTCAGTAACCCATGCTTGTCGTAGCGACTAAAAGGATCGTGTGATCAGACTTGCTGACTTAGTTGACACATTGTCATAGTTATCAAATTGCGTAGATTGCCGATGTTGATCACTGGATTGTCTGGTCCATTATTTTATTATAATTATTTTCAGACTGCAGCCATATAGCTGGAAAATTGCTGTGGGGCGTTAAACAAACAAACAAACGCTGTCTAATGTAAGCTGCCCCCTATGCTTCTAGCTTGTAGGGATTCCGAACCACGACTATAGGCCCCATTGACCACTAATGTTTGTTGGGAAAAGGGACTAAGTGGTTCGGCTTAATCTGTTTGGGTAGCTGTTTGATTGCATGTTACCATACACTGTCGGTGTGGGTCGTCGCTCATAATATCACTCACTGGTTTGTCTAGTGCGGATCCTCTTAATAAAACTGGAATATTGTTCCGTTAAATCAAACTCACATGCTATCTTACTGTATTACCCCAGTCTATTTCGTAAGAGACAAACATACAACAAGACATACAGTCACAGACCGACGGTTTGTGCGCTTGTTGTATCACGCCACACAATATTACAGCTCTATGGCGGTAAATATTCGAGTCTGGACAATCCAGTGATCAACAGCATGAACATCGATCAACGCAATTGGGTCAGGATGACATGTGTCAACCAAATCAGCGAGTCTGACCACCCGATCCCGTTAGTCGCCTCTTACGACAAGCATGGGTTGCTGAACACCAATTCTAACCCGGATTTTCACGGGTGACGACCGACGGAGTACAACATAATTATATACAGCACATACGTACAACGAGTACATGCATCGTATGGCACGTAAGTACAACCAGACTTATGACCCTTGACCCACGTCATCTGATCCCGACGCTTGTCACCGCCCACTGAACTGATATCAGATACCATACGTCATATGATCGCTAGCCTGCCATTGTGTCAGTTAGACGGATAACCATACTTACATGTGGTAACTGTCCAGGGACAAAATATACAGAACAATGGCTTCCCCTCGTCTCATCATTACCGTGCTGATTCTCTGTGTCGTTAGTACATATGGCTACACACCAGCCACCTGTGAGTATATGTTTCCTTGTATGACTTACAGCGGCTACGTGTTAATAATTAGGGAGTGTATAGCCAGGAAATATGTACAAGCAACAACATTATAATCAGGGAATGTGTATAACCTGTGGGCCTGCAAAATGAGGGAATGCGTATACTCGGGGAGGGTGTGTTACCAGAAAGTTTGTATAATCAGGGAATGGGTATAATCAGGGAGTGTGTATAATCAGCAGTATGTATAACAGAGTGAGTGGATGAGTTTGGTTTTACGCCGCTTTTAGCAATATTCCAGCAATATCACGGCGGGGGACACCAGAAATGGGCTTAACACATTGTACCCATGTGGGGATTCGAACCCGGGTCTTCGGCGTGACGAGCCAACGCTTTAACCACTAGGCTACCCCACCGCCTGTATAAACAGAGAGTATGTATAATTAGGAATGTGTATCATCATAGAGTATGAATAATTAGGAATGTGTATGAGATAAGGATGACTGACTGACTGAGTTTAGTTTTACGCCGCATTTAGCAATTTTCCAGCAATATCACGGCGGGGGACACCAGAAATGGGCTTGACACATTGTGCCCATGCAGGGAATCGAACCCGGGCCTTCGGCGTGACGAGCCAACGCTTTAACCACTAGGCTACCCCACCGCCCAGATAAGGATGAACAACTTCTTTATTCGGATGAGGCGACGTTTCGATACAGATTCTTGCATCGTTGTCAAGCAAGTGAATGTGTATATCAAGGAGTATGTATATCTAGGAATGTGTATGATCAGGGGGTGTAATATTTAGGGGTGAGTGAGTGAGTTTAGTTTTACGCCGCACTCAGCAATACTCCAGCTATATGGTGGCAGTCTAAAATAATCGACACAGGATCAGACAATTCAGGGATCAACAGCATGAACATCGATCTACGCAATTTGGATATTAGTTACCTCTTACAGGCATGGGTTACTGAAGATCAACTCTAACCCGGATCTTCACGGGTGTGATATTCAGGGAATGTTTATAGTCAGAGAAGATCTCTTTTAATCAGGGATTGTGCAGAATCAGGTTATATGTGTAACCAGAGGTTGTGGGGCGCGGTGGGCGAGCTGGCTAAGGCGCCAGGCTAGTGATCCAGCGAGGTTGATGTGTCGGGATCGAGCCCACCTGTGACCGGGTGTAAAAAACCTTGGAGTCAACTTTGTGTGCAGACTCTTCCAGTGTTGTCACAACCCCTAGTGTACAGTACACAACCCTGTGCACATAAAAGAACCCACGAATCCGTTGGTATTAGACCAGGTGGTGGCCACATGAATACATGCAAACACCTAGTTGCGGGTACAGCAACGTGCAGTGAACATGGACAAAGTACTGTGACTCTGTGTCCCAGTCCACCCAGCTGTGAATGGGTACCTCGTTAGGATGAGAAAGCCACAATAACTTGGTGCGCCTAGTGGCTGCAAGAGTTGTATACTCCCCAAGGAGCTCAAGCTGATAATGCCATGTGCCGTTGAGATTGACATCCAATGATCGAGGTAAAAAATACCAGCGCCTTGAGCATGCACTAGTGCGTGGATATGTGCGCTATATAAATATCCTATAATAATAATAATAATAATAATAATAATATCTGAGAATGTGTATAATAAGGAAGTGTGTACAATCAGGAAGTGTGTATAATCAGGCAATATGAGTAACCGAAGATCGTGTATGATTAGAACACGCGTTGTCGACCTGGAATAAAGCAGTGGTCGGATTCGATGGTAACTAACAGCAACACATAACGGGTTTTCATACTCATGGGTGATGGAAAAACGATGTGTACACCACAAGCAATGAGAATCCAGCTCATTGCCCAGGACGAGGTCAGACATAAATCCGTACATTCGTTTTAAACCCTACTTCCGGTATGGTGTCTTGTTGAACGGCAGGTGTGACAGTTTTGGAAGTCAATCCAAACTATAAACCAGAACGTGTAGGTTTTAGAAACACTAGACGCAAGCGACCTCGTGCATTAACAATAATAGTGCAGGACAAAACTGTACTTTATTAAACTTGACCTGGGGGTAGATCGAATTGTATTTCTTTAGCGTTGTTCACTTATGTGAGTTCTTATGGTTCCAAGTGTGGAATTAAATGCAAGTTGGAGCACGGTCCCGCCCTGGATTCGATCTCGGAATATTCTGAATGCCAAGCCAGTGGTATTACCACTGCCACCGGAGTGGACAAAACGTCAGGAAACTATTTATGTGTTCATAAATATTTACGGAAATATTTTACATGCGTTTGAGTTCATTTTGTCAGCTATAATTCGAAACATAATATGAAATGGAAAAGCAAATACTGTTTCAAATGCCTCAAATAGCTATGAGTTATGCCAACCCTGGTATACTATCCAGTATACCAATAGTTTGAAACTTCTATATCAACTGATTACTGTAACTGTAGCTGTAACCATGGCTACCACAAAATATACGGTTGCCTTACATGTTTCATATGCAATCTCTATCCGTCAGTATGGACATTAGAAACGTTACAATATTAGGAACTATACATGCTGTATTTTCAATGTAGAGCTCGGTTACCTATAGATAGAACTCCGCTTAATTGTTTGTTGTTGTTTAACGCCGCACTCTGTAAATAATAAACAGCATGGGAATCAGTTTTCATAATTGGATACAAGGCGTCAGTCAAGTCAGTGAGCCTGACCACCTGATCCCGTTAGTCACCTCTTCCGACAAGCATAGGTTGCAGAAGACCAATTCTAACTCGGATCTTCACGGGTCCCCGCTCAATTGAATTTGGCACCGACGGCACTTATCGCTATATCGAGATGCTTTAGAATGACTAAAAAAGAAGTTCTTATTAAATAAATATTACTTACTGCGGCGATGCAGCCGTTTCAAACAGAGGTTTTTATTGGGATTTCATACCTCTGATTGACCACTAAGAACCGTTTCTAACAGAGGTTGTTATTGAAATTTGAAACCGCTGATTGAACAATAAAAACCGTTTCAAACAGAGGTTGTTATTGAAATTGTAAACCTCTGATTGACCAATAAGAACCGTTTCAAGCAGAGGTTGTTATTGAAATTTTAAACCTCTGATTGACCAATAAGAACCGTTTCAAACAGAGGTTGTTATTGGGGTTTGAAACCTCTGATTGACTAATACGAATGGAGTATGCCAGAGCATGAATGATGCGTCCCATTGTGTTTGAAAAACAGACTACATGGATGAAGAATGTAGCTTCAGGATAACGAGCACCAAGGATGCCAGACTGAGGCTAACCTACCACTCCAACACCCATCTCTTCCGGAACTGGCAGTGTACCACTTCATTCAGGACGACTGTTATAGGGGACCGATTGCAAGTTCGACTGAGGACCATAGACACTCCTTCAACCTTCAACTGCCGACAAAACTCCTTGCAAATACTTGACAGCGATCAACAGACATCTTTGAACGGTAAGTTCGTATCATATTTAAACGACAACACAAACATTATGTTTTTAAAATGGATGTAAGGCCATATGTATTACAAATAAGGACAGAATAGTATCCTTGTCCAGATACCGCGGTCAGTGTCAGTGTGATGATACAATTTGGTAATAGCAAACCTGGGACTAAACCCGGAGGATCCTGATACTTAAGGGAGGTAACTCTGCATATACCACTGTGTCTAATATAATCTTTAATCATTCAACAAAAGGGGGGTTCACATTGTACACTGTACTCACTGATGTCCCATCTTTGTACGACCAGGGCGATTTGGCGACTGTGGTACAGTAGTTCACACCAGAACATACCAGACAAGTGGAAGTTCCGTCACATTCAAGTTCAAAACAGACAGCAGTTTCCAGTATGGCCAGTTTGACATCCTCATCACGTCTTTCAACACAGCTGACAATGGTAAGGAGCGAGTGAGTTACGTTTTACGTCGCTTTAGGTATATTCCAATATCATGTCGGGGACATCAGGGCCCCGTTTCACAAAACTCTCGTAAGCCTAGGATCTCGTTACTTTTCTCGTAGCATTCATACTCCCTATGTTACAGTATAGGAGGTACGACTGCTACGAGAAAAGCTACGAGATCTTAGGCCTACTTGAGCTTTTTGAAACGGGGCCCAGAAAAGGTTTCACAGATTGTACCTAGCGAACCCGGTCTTCAGCTCAATGGTAAGGAAGAATATTGAATAGTGCCTGATATGGCATCATCTTCATGTATCATGCAATTGTTTATTTTTAATTAGATATACAAAATGCATTCAGCGATTTGAGCATGCACAAGTGTGTGGATATACAAATATCCAATAACAAAAGAATAATGATAAAATTCTCTGAACGTACATTTGTTTGTTCACCATCAGCCAGATCAGACCTTGTGACCAACCAATTCTCACTTATCACCTCTTACGAGCGTGATTGAATATGGTTTTTGCAACATTCCAGCAATATCACGGAGGGGGGCACGATAAAAAGGGTTTCACACAGTATACCCATTTGGAGAATCGAACCGGGTCTACGGAATGACGCTCTTACCATTGGACTACCCCATTGCCCTAGCTCTTACGAAGCATGGTGACTGAGAACCATGCGCTCGTAGGGTATGACGTTAAAACAAACGGCCCAATACCCAATGTCCTGACATTCATCTTAGATTTTATTGTTTTACGACGCACTCAGCAATATTCCAGCTATATGGCGACAGTCTGTAAATATTCGAGTCTGGATCAGACAAGCCAATGATCAACATCATGAGCATCGATCTATGCAGTGGATACGATAACCTTCACCAACGTTTTCCCTTTTACGAGTTTGCATTTTAAGGTTCAGAATTATTGTTCTGAAGTCAGTTTTGATAAAAACATATTTATTGTTTCTGGTATGGAAAACCCCTTTTGTGTTGAAATTAGAAGCATTCAATACGTGTGAGCGTTATTATTATTACGTTATTGTTATTAATGACGCTCTGAAACGATCTCCTTTCAAACAAATGCATTTGGACTAAGCTTCTAAGTATGCTGCGTAGTCGCTTGTAAAATATCTCTCTTCTGTAAAGCGTTACCTGTACACGTACCTATTTAATTAGCTTTATTGTTATCCAGGGACATGTGCCGCAAGTCGATTTATCTGTGATAACGACCTCTGCATCAGCAAAACCCTCACATGCAACGGCTACAACGACTGCGGTGATGATAGTGATGAGATCTACGACTGTCGTCTCAGTGGAGGGGCCATAGCCGGCATTGCTATAGGCGTTGTCTTCTTCTTGGTCATCTGCACCTTCTTCGCTGTCGTCGGCAGGGCAAGAAGGAGACGTTATCAGAGAATTTGTGAGGTGAGTGAGTGAGCCTACTTGTACGCCGCTTGTAGCAATATTCCTGAAATATCACGACGGGGGACACCGGAAAGGGGCTTCACACGTATGCTTTAACCATTAGGCCACCCCCGCCCTCACGTCAGTAAGTGAGTAGTGAGTGAGTGAGTAAAGTTTTACGCCAGGTTTAGAATATTCCACTAACGGCAGCGAATAGGCTTTACATGTTTGCAACCATGAGAGGAATCGAACCTGGCCAATCTCCTTAACGAGCAAACGCTTTTATCGCCTGTCTGTACTGTCTACTATCCGATAATCGATAAGCAAACCCTATAATCCGGACTTACAAGTTATGTGAATTTAAAGTTGAATGGATCACTGAGAAGTTCACATCAGTTGATGGCATTCTCGTGTCAGTTGTGTTTTGGAAATGCTAGAGAACGATGATGTCATGCTAAATTATATCGTTGCAGGCCAAGCCGTACCGACCTGTGCAGACAACCACGACGGTGTACCCAAACAACGCCCACACCCAGTATCAAAAACCGTCATACCAGACATACTGATACTGGCACCAACACACAGCCATAGTGAGTGAGAGAGTTTTGGTTTTACGCCGCTTTTAGCAATAATCCAGCAATATCACGGCGGGGGACACCAGAAACGGGCTTCACACATTGTACCAATGTGGGGAATCGAACCCGGGCCTTCGGCGTGACGAGCGAACGCTTTAACCACTAGGCTTCCCCACCGTCCCTCTTACAGCCATAAACTTAATACTTGATCAATTGATACTAATACCAACACTGTGAAACTACGGCCACGACCTTCATACCAGACCTGCTGGTACTTATACCAACAAGACCCGTGAAGATCCGGGTTAGAATTGATCTTCAGTAACCCATGCTTGTCGTAAGAGGCGACTAACGGGATCGGGTGGTCAGGCTCGCTGGCTTGGTTGACACATGTCATCGGTTCCCAATTGCGTAGATGGATTGACATGCTGTTGATCACTGGATTGTCTGGTCCAGACTCGATTATTAACAGACCGCCGCCATATAGCTGGAATATTGCTGAGTGCGGCGTAAGACTAAACTACTCACTCACTCATACCAACAACCCCCGTTACCAACACCCAGAAACTAGAACCACTACTTGCATACCTCTGAAACTAGTACCAATTCACAGGATCAGTATCAGCAAACAAACAAACTAATGCATGTTCGATTAACTGATACAAGTACCTTGTTAACAACGCACGGGATCAGTATCGTCAAGCCCAACCTTCTGACTGGACTCACCTATACACCATATAAACTGACTTTCAAAAGAATTTTTCAAGAGAGACAACGTAAATGTTTTGAAAAGTGTGTGTATTCTGATTACAAGTCACAAGCATTGCGTTCGTATTGTCAAAACACCACAGATATCCGTGACGTGTTTTTTGCAGCGATATCATGAAAATCATGATTTTGACTCGCACGTGCATGATATGCACCAGCTGTATAAAACACGCTCGACTGAGATTGTTAGGGGTTTACCTATCACAGGCACACATAAAACTCCAATACTATCAGCAACGGATCGAGAACGAGCCATTGGAATGTCGCAGGTAGGCTTAGAACAGCCATAATCTCAGAACGTTCGGCTGTACTACGTAGGCAGACAATTCTCAGATTTAAGAGACACGTCAACCAGACTGGCCAGACAACTGAACCGAGAGTGACCATCCCACAAGATGATTTTCACCTGCAATGATGATCACAGTCGCAGTTGGGTACAATATCTGTGTTGTTTTGGCAACAAATACACTTTGTTTGTTACTTGTACATTAGGTGTATACTTTCTTTTACATGTCAGTATATAATGTACCTACCGTTCCATTGTATATATCCATTTCATTTTTTTGGAATTCCAAGTGATGGTTACTTTCTGATACCTTTTGATTTAGACAATGCTTTTTGTACATACAGTATGTTGTATATTTTGTAATAAATGTGCTTCGTTACGATGCCGAGTGTTTTGGATTGCAAGACTCTCTTTAAGGTATTGGTAACATGTCTTTAAATATTGGATGACAAATGCCGATCGTTTAACCTCTCACGTTATCCCATTGGAATGTAAATAACTGAATCTGGATCAGACGAACCGGTGACTGATGAAAATCAGCCCACACCAGTGAGTGGGTGAGTTTAGTTTTACGCCGCACTCAGCAATATTCCAGCTATATGGCGGCGGTCTGTAAATAATCGAGTCTGGACCAGACAATCCAGTGATCAACAGCATAAGCATCGATCTACGCAATTGGGAACCGATGACATGTGTCAACCAAGCCAGCGACCCTGACCATCCGATCCCGTTAGTCTCCTCTTACAACAAGCATGGGTTACTGAAGATTCTACCCCGGATCTTCACGGGTTCACATCAGTGAGGCACGACGACGTGCAATGAGACATTTTAGGGAATCTGGCCAAGCGATCCTGTTTAGTCACTTATATCGATCTGCGATAGGGAGCTGAGGATCTGTTGTGTATTCTAACCTCTGTACTGCAATACTTTGTTTCTAGATTCTATCGGACCATTTCGGCCTATCTGTGTAATATTATGAGGACTATGTGATACTGTTACCTACCAGTAATACGTAGATATTAGGAAAAGAAAAATGTATATCTCGTTTGCCTTTTTACCAAATTTATTCAATATGAAGACATCCTTTTCCATCAAAAACATTTCGAGGGCTTTCTGATTCGCATTCTGATTGTTCTAGTAGCGCTGCTAATCAATTTGGAGAATGGAAATCACGGGCGGGTAGTTTGAGATGTGAGAACCAAGGAAAAGGATCAAGGTGTTAATGATAGCCCGCGGGTATAGAAGAGTTGCAAGTGCCACTCGGCCACACTTCAATATCCCAGTGATTGACATCATGAGCGTAGATCGGTGCATTTTGGATTTACCTTACCACCCGATTCCGCTTGGTGTCTATTTCGACAAGCATTGGTTTCTGAAGACCCATTCTATTCCCGAGCTACACGGGCTGTAGTTTGTACCAACATTATTGGTGATGCCACAGGGGCTTGTAACGCTAAAAAACTGTCATGGGATTTTGGCTCGGAATCGAGAAAACACGATTTTCGAATTTCATAAGACCCTAGCTCCCAAAGTACTGCTTCGATTGTTGTGCTGTATGTCTCATTTTGTAGGTAAATCTATTGGCTTAATGTGTGCAACTTTTAATGGGATATATAGTGAGCATTGTTGAATTTGCCCTGAAACGAACTTGGTGTGTTGACCTCGCTACATCCCCTTTCCTTTTATATAGCGATAAGACCCTGTTAGTGACAGTACATACCTTGATGGCTGTATTTAGCGTTACAACCCCCTGTGGACGGTATATCACGTCATCATACCCAGACTACATGGAAAGATGCTCATGTCAGTCACTGGATTATCTGGTTCAGAATCGGTTATATACAGACTGAAGTCATACAGCTTGAATGTTGCATCGGGAAGCTACAAACAACAAACTAACTACATTCTACATTACTTCCGACTTGTCTCCCAGTTCATGCTGACACGCAAGCACTCTATCTGAAATACAGCCAAGAGCGGCGTAAAATCCAAGTCACTCACATTATCTGGTTCATTATCTATCATATCTGTCATATCGTGTTTCATGTCACGGTTTTAATATCTGCTTGATGCACAGTTGATATTGCACCAAACAACGTGTCACGTTACACGTACGTGTGATAATATCACGATACCTGCTGAATGTCATCTCAACATGTCGTCTATCGGTTTGATTTGGTTTGTGTTGAAGGGGCGGTGAGGTAGTCTAGTGGTTAAAGCATTCGCTCGTCATGCCGAAGACCCAGGTTCGATTGCCCACATGGGTACAATGCTTAAAGCCAATTTCTGTTGTTCCACGCCTAATATTGTTAGAATATTGCTAAAAGCGGCGTAAAACTAAACTCACTCACTCACTCGGGTTGGTGCCTGTTGTCTGCAAGTACAAGACAGTACTAGATGCCTCTAACACAAAAGGTGGCCCTGTCGTATAAGGCACCCTTCCATGAACACGCAAAACACTTAAGCCTGGGGGTTCGAATGTTGATTCGCCCCGATTATTGGTGTCAGCGCCATAGGCATGCATTCGTGAAGGTCCGGGTTAGAATACTGATCTTCAGTTACCCATGCTTGTCGTAAGAGCCGACTTATGGGATCGGGTGGTCAGGCTCGCTGACTTAGTTGATACATGTCATCGGTTTCCAATTGCACAGATCGATGATTATGCTGTTGATCACTGGATTCTCCGGTCCAGACTCGATTATTAACAGACCGCCGCCATATAGCTGGAATATTGCTGAGTGCGGCGTAAAACTAAACTCACTCACTCGTTAAACGGGTGGGTATAGTCTTCCAGAACAAATACTTCTGTCGGAAGTGAAGGTTCAGCACAGATGAGTTGGCCTTTAAATATTTTCCTCGTCAGTCTGAGCTGGGGGAAATACTTGGCCCCGAAACAAGAATCACTATTGTCCTAAAACACACGCCTTGTAAACATATTGTGCAGATTTGTCAGTGAATGAGGGAGTTGAGTTTTGCCCCGTTTTTAGCAATATTCCAGCAATATCACGGCGGGAGGACACAAGAAATGGGCTTCATATATTGTACCCATGTGGGGAATCGAACCCGTGTCTTCGGCGTGACGAGCGAACGCTTAGACCACCCCACCACCCTTAGGTTGGTCAGCTCAACTGTACTCCGCTAGGGGCGTGGACCTAAAGTCGGAGAGCAGTACGGTTTGGTATCTTGTTTGATTATTCTTTATTTTTTGTTTAATGACCCAATTTACTATATGCATGGTGGTAGCATGGAGATAAATAGCATCTTGGCTACACAAACCAGTGATTGATTATATGTGCAACATCCAACACCATCTAGGTATGCTGCGTTACAATGCGGCAAGTCCCTTAGACTGACAACCCATGCTTTTAGTCTGAGTGTAGTTTTACGCCGCTTTTAGCAATATTCAAGCAATATCACGGCGGGGGGACACCAGAAATGGGCTTAACACATTGTGCCCATGTGGGGAATCGAACCCGGGTGTTCGGCGTGACGAGCGAACGCTTTAACCACTAGGCTACCCCACCGCCCCTGCTTTTAGTCACCTCGTGCAACACGCAATAGTGGCTGGGCACCTAACACTTCCAAACTTCTGTATTGATATAGATAGTCAAACGTCGTTATATAATGGTGCCCATGTAAATACTTCGAGCTATCCACGGTTCGACACAACCGAATTATTTTTAATTCTAAGGGACTGTGCATTACTTCGAGACAACCGTAAGTTCGACACATCAGCATTCGACATAACGGTGTTTGAATGTCACTGTCCAGGTGGCAGCTTCGACACCTTTCTCGACTATTCCGTCACGTTCAACAAAAAAGATAACAAAGTACAAGATATGACTTTTTAAATGACTGTAATTGCCACTGATGACATGAAGAAATAATGTTTGAGCAATGGTCGAGTTAAATGAAGCTAAATGTGTCCAGCTCGGTGTGTGTTATTGGAGGCTGAAAACTCTGGCAAGCTGTAAAGACGTAACAGTAGTTCGAAGGCTGAAAACGAAGCACGGAACAAAGGAAATGACAAAACTTATCGGGCCTGTACATGGCCTCAGACCACAATTGTTTTTCTTCTCTGCTATCTACAGTGACATGCCAGTCTACCATAATTAATATCGGTCGTAGGCTGTTCTCCTGTTGCATGCTGACCAACCTGCCACTTGTCACTTAACCGGCAAAATATGGGCCTGGATCGACCATTTCAATTTTGCTGTATCCACTGTAAACAATAGTCACCGGAAGTTACGAGCCGAAACACACTAGACAGCCTTGAACTTGGGGTCAAATCATGGAAGGTTGGTGTCAATAATGTGTAGATTGTGGACCAAAATAAATTTGCAATAAAGTACAATGTCTTACCTTTCATTTAAGCTATCACAAGTCACGCTGAAAAAAATAGCACACATAGAACAGCCCATTAAAACAAGGCACTATATTCTCCAATTTTCCTTCCGGGTCATGTTAAAAGTTAAGGGGGGTAACTGTGGTCTGAGGCCACATCGCGAGGGGCTCCTTTGCGCACTACAACTTGCGATATGCGAAACAATGACCAGTTTACTTCCGGTACCAGATTTCCGGTTCCAAATTGCGCGACCGCCAAATATGACTCTGCTAGACCGAACCAAGTGTACAACCATGCTTGGCTGTCACAGCTGTTGACAGTCGTATAGTTGGGTATATTGGGGATGGTTAGATCGGAAATTTGTTATTCCTGCAAGGATTATCGGTTCAACCATGAGACCATTCGAAAAGGTATGAAACTTCGTTGGAAGTACTATGGAAGTGCCGTGACCTCCTAAGGAAAACGACGATAAATCAAAATCGGGAATAGTCTAGTAAATGTCACCACGGTACTTTACAATGGATACCCTGTACTCATCAATATTTGGTGTTTATTATTTTTATACTGAAACAAATCTGTTTAAGAAACTATCATATTGTTATGTGTACAAGTTCGGGCGTCAACAGATGACCTGTGTTACGACTTGAGTGAGGATGTTTTAAGCCATTTTTTGCACAAATTCAATAAAATCACGACAGGGAATCACAAGTCTCTCAGTCTCAGACTGTTTCTCAGTCATCTGGTTTGTTTGTCTGCAATATTCCAGCTATATAGTGACGGTATGTAAATAATCGCGTCTGTACCCGACAATCCAGTGATCTGCACTCTTGATCTGTAGTGGCAGCTGATTCCATAAAGTGGAAGCCTTCACAGAGAATGCCCTGTCACCCATTTTGCTCTGTGTGTGGGATTGTGATGAGGTCGTCTTCTGCTGAACGTAGGGAGCATCTCGGACAATACATGTGAAGTAGGGACCTTAAATACAATGGTGCAGAGTCACTGTACAATCCTCTGTACGCCAAGGTGAGTGGGTGAGTTTAGTTTTACGCCGCACTCAGCAATATTCCAGCTATATAGCAGCGGTCTGTAAATAATCGAGTCTGGACAAGACAATCCAGTGATCAACAGCATGAGCATCGATCTACGCAATTGGGAACCGATGACATGTGTCAAACAAGGCAGCGAGCCTGACCACCCGATCTCGTTAGTCGCCTCTTACGACAAGCATGGGTTACTGAAGATCAAGATTCTAACCCGGACCTTCACGGGTCTGTACGTCAAGGTGAGGATCTTGTAGTGTATACACTGCTTGATGCGGAGCAAGTGTAAACTGAAGCGGGCGGTGATGTGGGCGAACTACTTGCTCCTTGAGATGACTGAAGGTTCTTCCTGATCTTCCTGATCTTCCTCAGATGCCAGGATGCAGATTTAGCAACAGAAAGTACTTGCTTGTCGGATGTTTGATGTTACAGAATCGTAACCATGAATAGAAATGGATGAAGACTTCAACAGTCCTCGACACGATGCGCACGAGTCCGCTGAATTGTTCACAGACACGAATCGGGACGAAAACTTATGAGCAGTTTTGGCCTTTTAACATAAAGGGTGTCCGTCCTATTGTCCACTGTCCACGATTCGGATGGCAACGGATGAACAGCTTCCACTGAGGGTCCGCCAGTATGTTGTTCGTTAGACGGATGTGGACATGATTGGATGAACATATAGCACATAAAGGGTTAAAAGGACCAGGGTTCGCGGTATCAGTAATTCTGGTACCCACTTTTGTGGGAGCCATGGTTATGATGGGGGCCATGCTGGCTGGAACTCTGGAAGGAAAAGAATAACATTCTATGATCAGCAATGAGGAAGATAAACAGAAGATATTTATTACTATTTCATAACTAGAATAAATCTCGGGTCGAGGTCAAGTCGTCGGAAGATTGATATATGTCATCGTGTCACTATTGCGTAGTACGATGCTCACGATGTCAATCAAGTCATTGTGTGGTCCACGATCGATAACCTTTACAAAAACAAAACCTACTTCTTGTACGATACTGAATCTAACAATTGAACAATTTCACCATCTTCACCTGCTTTGAATAGTCATAAAGGGGTTACTGAAACAAAGAGTGAGAGAACAGGGGCGTAGCTACCATTATAAAAGCCCGGACTTACACATGATTTTTGGAAGCCTTCAATACTATCTAAATATAAAACTTTGCAACCTATCGGGCTTACACGAACAAAATGGCTTGCTCCGCGCCTGAAGAAGTAGGCTTCACACATTGTACCCATGTGGGGAATCAAACCCGGGTCTTTGGCGTGATCAGCGAACGCTTTAACCACTAGGCTACCCCAACGCCCCGATTGAAACAAAGAAAAGGAATCAAATATAAACATTATAGCATGCGTTTTACCTGAGTTAACCGTCGGTATTTCCTCCTCCTGTACTGGGCGATGAAGATAATCAGCGACACGACAACAGCAGCGACCAAGACTGATGCGACGGTGATGATGACAATTATGGGGGAGTGCCCACATCCCTGTATCTCGTCAGAGCCGTCCCCGCAGTCGTCGAAGCCGTTGCAGGTCACGTACACTGATACACAACGCTTGTTTTTACAGTGAAACTTCTCGGGGGGACACGTATCTGGAACACAACAGAACCATACGTTCTAGAGAAGTTTTACGCCGCCAATATTCCAGCTATATATCGGCGGTCTGTTAAAGTCGAGTCTGGACCAGACAATCCAGTGATCAACAGCATGAGCATCGATCTGCGCAATTGGGAGCCGATGATGTGTCAACCAAGTCAGGGAGCCTGAACCGATCCCGTTAGTCGCCTCTTACGACAACATAGCCGCCTTTATGGCAACATGGGTTGCTGAAGACCTATTCTACCCCGGATCTTCACGGGTCCATACGTTCTAGAATGCCTTCATGAAATACAACTTGGGGACTGACTGATCTGCACAACCATTGTACAGGGACACTGAGGGTTTTCGGGTAAGAATATGTCGAAGAAGATAAATTGTAAGGAATCAATGTGTATTACTGACCGTTACTGTGAGATATTGCAGTGACCAGGATGTCAAAGTTGCCTCGTTGATCGGATGAGTCTGTGTGGAATTCAAACGTCAGAGTGCTTCCCCCTGATTCAAATTGTCCGCGAGGTGTCTCTGTCCCACAGTCACCATCGGGACCTGGAACGAAATTAAGACACGTTTAGAGCACCTGGTGTCTTGTTTTTTAAATCTCCCATTTTAACAACAGAGGTCCGACTGCACAAGTCTATACAATAGTAAAAATCCTGGAAGCTAAGCACGTGACATGTCAATAGATTGTTTTCATAACGCTGGCAAGACCTCTTTGCTCAGCGTCGACACGTGATGCTCGTGAAATATCTTCCTGAGCCCTTTGCACGTGCATTCCGCTGTTTATCGACACGGGCTAAGATTGCATGTCCCGAGAAAAGCATGCAATCTGTACCAAGCACGTACGGCACACACCCGATCAAGAAAACAGCTTATTTTGGAATTCTCTTTTCCTTCAACAAAACGCTACTTTATCGTACAGAACATTCAAAGCAAAGCATAACAAATACGCTGAAAAATATACAAAAGACTTCCATCGTTCCTGCTACTTAAATTTAGAGAAATATTTTTGTTATAACATATATCTGTGAGCAATATGAAAGTGAATTAGCTGTTACTTAATTCAGGTTTAGCTCACCCAAACCCTAACCGTGTATTCCCTAAATAAGTAACAGGAACGATTGGAATTCTTTCACCAGAAAGCTGGTAGCTGAAATTATTAGTATCGGTCAACGCATCTGGGATACGATGACATGTGTCAACCAAGTCAGCGAGCCCGACCACCCGATCACGTTAGTCGCGTCTTAAGACAAGTATGGGTTGAAGACCGGGGTAAGATTAATTGTGGTTGGTAGCCTACTCACCGTTCAGCAATGTCTGATTAGATGCATATACATCTAGTCCATTCCTCTCACAGTTCTCACTGTCGACTGTGTCCAAGTCACGGAATCTTACGAGAAGCAGCTCCCCTTCCGTATCTGTACGTACGATAACTTTACACGTCCAGTTGACCTTGAGTGGAAGGGCAGGGTCAGCGGTCAGCTGAATCCTCGTGTCAAACACGGAACGGATTGTCAGGCTACATTCTTCGTTCATGTAGTCTAAAATATCAAAAACGTTATGAACACACTTTATAAAGTGTACATCCTTGTGATAACGCTCAGATGTTTCAAATCGCATTAACCACCTTAGGTTGAAACATTTAATATTCATAGAATAATTTTTTTTTATCTCAAAATTAAATTGTCGGCATTTTAAAAAAAAGGGTATGCTGTATGTGCACCAAAATAACGTACACATACAAGACGTGTGTATGATATCAACAACAATATACTCACTCACTCACTCATATAACGGTCACTACTTTATCAAGGGTTAAGGACCGTTTATAATTTATGGCTGTGTATGTGTGTGTGTGTGTGCGTGCGCGCGCGATGATGATTTTATGGAGAAGCATGTACAAGGTGAATGACCCCCATAACATTTATGTACAAAGTAAGAGACCCAATTGCATGTCATGTACAAAATCAATGGATTCATAATCTACGTAGAAGATACGTTTATCTGTGTAGAAGATACCTTCATCTACGTAGAAGATACGTTATCGTACGTAGAAGATACGTTCATCTGCGTAGACGATACTTTCATCTACGTAGAAGATATCATTGTGTAGAAGATACCTTCATCTACGTAGAAGATACGATACTTTCCTACGTAGATAGATCTGTAGAAGATATCATCTGTGTAGACGATACTTTCAACGTAGAAGATCGTTCATCTGCGTAAATACCTTCATCTTACACTATACCGTGGTTGCTAAGTTACGACCCTAGATAGATGAAAGTATCATCTACGAATATCGTACGAAAATATTTAGACTGTGGCACTAATACGCTTCCATAACATATTAACATAATTCGATGAAAAAATGAATTATGATACATGGAATGGATTAATTTGTCCGTCTGAAGCCACTGTGGACAGTATTTTGTCACATATTACGGGGGACAGTGGGGTAGTCTAGTGATTAAACCGTTGGTTTGTCACGCCGAGGACCCAGGTTCGATTCCCCACATGGGTTCAATATGTGATCCCTTTTCAGGTGTCCCCCCGCCGTGATATTGCTGGAATATTGCTAAAAGCGGCGTAAATCCTCACTCACTCACAGGGTAACAAAATAAATTCAATCACTGATGCTCACAAACTGAGGGACATAATCGGGTCCAATACAACGGACTTTCGTTACAATACAAAAACTAATGGTACGCTGCTATTATTTACACCACATAATTCAATTTCGTTCGTGAATTATCACATACAAAAAGCTACATTACTGATACAATATTGAATAAAGACGCCGACCGATCTGATATATTTCGGGATAAAACAAATCCAAAAAACGAAATTGAAATGAAGACTTTCACTTATTCACCATGTTTGTTTGTCAGTTTGTATTTTTCAACCGCCCTCAACAAAAGTCCAGCAATATTACAGTGGTCTGAAAATAAGAGACAACCCAGTGGTTGATGTCATGAACAACGATTAACGCCGTCGAGTTACGATGACACGAATTCAACCAAATTATATCTCTAATAAATCATAGTTGCTAGGGCCTATCCCGGAATCAACATTGGGATGTAACCATGACAACATATACTTACGTATCGTAGGGAAATGGGTGATGCCTGCCACTCTGTCTTGAACTGTACATACACCAATGAGAATGCATATGAAACAGATCAGCTTTTCCATATCAGGGAACTCCGAAACCGAAACAATATCCTTGTCTTTAAGTGATGACAATGAAATATAGGACGGTAGAAGTGATATTGATTAGACGCGGGTAGAGCGATGTCTGATGTGGAGGAACACGAATGCATGAAATATACACTGTTCGGCGTTGTGATAAGATAACGTTGTAAGTACGTGGTGTGATATTAGTTAGCTATTGATACGGCGATTGTGGCCGGGTTAGTTATCAATAACAACACTCAGATGCTGTTTAGTCAGAGCTATTATTTGACAAGGTCATGTGATCAGGATAACATTATTTTTTCCTTAAAATTCCTTTTTAAAATAAATACGAGAGGAAATATTGACTCATGTATTTGTTTTTTGGGGGTTTGTTTTGGTTTATTTTAATGGGGGGTGTCTTTTTTGTTTTTTTTGTTGTTTTTTTTAATTGTCTTGTTAGTTTTTTGGTTTTTGTCTCATTGTTTTTGGTTTGTTCTTGCTTCCGTTTTTGTATTGAGGGGGGTTGGGGGTGTTTGTAATGGGGGTAATTGCTCACCACCCCAACCATTACGTCGCCTGGCCCGACAAGTAAATAAGTATAGTTTTACACCGCTTATAGCAGTATTCCAGCAAAATCACGGCTAGGGACACCAATGTTCTTCACACACTGTACCCATGTGGGAACGAACCCGGGTCTTCTTCGTGACCCGTTAACCTTTACGCTTCTCCACCGCGTTAAGAACTGGTTGCCGAGGGACTAAATATCCCGACTGGGGTTTACTCAGAGAAACGATCCGAAAGACCATTATCTGGAGAGCGACTTCAGAGTGAATACAACTAAGAAGGCGAATAATTACTCATAATGACATCTGGTGAGTTAGACTAATTTTGCTCGACACTATTTTGTGGAAATCCATACATGTCATCTGGAAATCATGACGTCACAATGCTCATCATGCAATTCCAAATTGTAACATAGACAATAAATATAAATCTACAATAAATATAATCTAACTCAAAACCACGAACTTACACATGTGAAACGGATAGCTTTGAAACATACACCACATACAAATATCCATGGGACACTACACTATTTTATTAACAGTAAATGAACACATGTATCTCTTGATACGTCATTATCTTGCGGGGCTGTGGGGTAGCCTAGTGGTTAAAGCATTGGCTCGTCACGCCGAAGACCCGGGTTCGAATCCCCACATGGGTACAATGTGTGAAACCCATTTCTAGTATCCCCCACCGTGATGTTGCTGGAATATTGCTAAAAGCGGCGTAAAACCAAATTCAGTCAGTCAGTAAGTCATTATCTTGCATGAACAGTCGTGAACAAGAGCAATTACATGTTGGCTTCTTTGTTTCTTTGTGTCTTTGTTTTAAAGCCGCACTCTGAAATAATCCAGCTACACTTCGGCGGTCTGTAAATAATCTAGTCTGGACCAGATAATCCAGTGATCAACATCATGAATATCCAGCAGCCAAATTGGGAAGCAATTACATGTGCGCCGATATATAACTCTTACAAGCAATAAGGCAGCGACTGTTGGACGGTACTCTGAGGGGCAGGGCTGTAGAGCTGGAATTTGGTATTGGAACTTTATTGCGTCAAGCGCTACAAAACATGTCACTTCAACTATACAAAAATATTTCAACTGATATTTCTGTCATTAACTGTAACTGATATTTCTGTCATTAACAGTAACTGACATTTCTTGTCATTAACTGTAACTGATATTTCTTGTCATTAACTGTAACTGATACTTCTTGTCATTAACTGTAACTGATATTTCTTGCCGCTAACTGTAACTGATATTTCTCTCATTAACTGGAACTGATATTTCTGTCATTAACTGGAGCTGATATTTCTTGTCATTAACTGGAACTGATATTTCTGTCATTAACGGTAACCGATATTTCTTGCCATTAACTGTAACCGATATTTCTTGTCATTAACTGTAACTGATATTTCTCTCATTAACTGTAACTGATATTTCTGTCATTAACTGTAACTGATATTTCTTGTCATTAACTGTAACTGATATTTCTGTTATTAACTGGAACTGATATTTCTGTCATTAACTGTAACTGATATTTCTTGTCATTAACTGTAACTGACATTTCTTGTCATTAACTGTAACTGATATTTCTGTCATTAACTGTAACCGATATTTCTTGTCATTAACTGTAACTGATATTTCTGTCATTAACTGTAACTGATATTTCTGTCATTAACTGTAACTGACATTTCTTGTAATTAACTGTAACTGATATATTTCTGTCCTTAACTGAAACTGATATTTATGTCATTAACTGGAACTGATATTTCTTGTCCATAGCTGTAACTGATATTTCTTGTCATTAATTGTAACTGATATTTCTGTCATTAACTGTAACTGATATTTCTGTCATTAACTGTAACTGATATTTCTTGTCATTAACTGTAACTGATACTCCTTGTCATTCGGTCTGTTTTCATTTGTAGCCATTTCAGATTAAAACTGATATTTATTAACTTAACTGATTTTCTTGCCGCAAATCAAAATGGGAGAAATCAAAATGGGACAGTGTTGTTTTATGCCAATTTGAACAATAGTATATATAGTATAAAATAGTAAATATAATTAAATCTGGACCAGCAAATCCAGTGGTTAATTCAAACTCAACATGCTAACAATCTACTATAAACATGATCATGATCACACATTTTGGCCATCCAATCTCCATTTAGTCTTTATTGTTTGTGTTTGTCGTTTTAGGCCGCACCCAGCAATATTCCAGCTATATGACGGCGGTCTGTAAATGTAATCGAGTCTGGACCAGACAATCCAGTGGTTAATACAAATTCAGCACGCTACGATCCATTGTTAACCAGAGCATGAGCACACATTTTGTCCATCCGATCTCCATTTAGTCTTTATTGGATCTCCTTGTACTGGGAACGTCCTCTCCTCCTCCTTCTGATGACGACAATGACGGCGGCCACGGTGACGAGACAAAGTATACCTCCGAGAGAGATGATGAGAATCTCAAAAATGCTCGGTCGGCACGCAACGGTTTCATCGGAATTGTCGCCACAATCGTTATAGCTGTTACAGATGACATCATTTGAAACGCAGTTGTCGTTGCTGCAGTGGTACTCGTGATGACCACAAAAACCTGAAGAGTGTAACACAGTGTAACATAGTGTAACGGTTACATTTCATTATCAGTTATATTAATATCAACGATATAAATCTATAATGCGTGGTTATCGAATATTTCATTATATATGTTTGGGGGTCAAGGATAGCCCAGTTGTCAAAGGCGCGGAAATTAGCTGTACAGAGTTCAGTAACTTGGGCTCTCCCTATACCTCTCTGTGCGTGCGAATTCTAACGAGAAATGTCGCCGCCAATATTTCTCAGATTGTTCCAACAATACCCTGACCGTGGTCAATGTAAGTTGTAAATGACAATGCGGAAAGAATAAACATGCCTCAGTTATCTGGAGATTTCATTCAATTTGGATGTCAATATCAAATTATTGATGAACGTTATATGAGTAGGTCACTGAAAATCTATAACGACACATGGTGTTCGTAAATAATATTAAGACGCGTGTATCTATGTAACTATGTATGTATCTAACGAACCAAACAGCTGATTCTTGTTTTGAATAAATCAATAAAATGGCGACAAAGAATTCGTTTATTCCAATAGCTCAGAAAAAATCGAAACGTCAAAAGAGAGTATAGTTTTAAATTATCATCATTCCAGCTACATGACCGCGATGAATCTAGAAATGTTTCATGGATTTTTCCATGCGGGAATAAAACCCTGACCTTCAGTGTGACTAGCAAACACTTTAACCACCCAGCTACCAATCCGCTTCAATGCCACCACGCTGTCAATGAATTACAGTTGACATAATTGTACACCAAAAGAATGTTATTAATTACTTTAATTAGATGTCTCGAACTACAAAAAAAACGATATATATTTTGACATCAGGACTGACTGAATTGCAGAATGAATATTGTAATAGTTAACGAAAAAAGACATCAGCTTTGAATGAATGGAGCATCGTCTTACCATCTTTAGCGAGTCTGAATGAAGATACGAGAAACTTGAACCCCCCTGGTTCCGTCACCCCCTCGTCCTTCTGGTACTCCCACCAGGAGTACACCCCCGAGGTGTTCAGCGTGGGTCGAGACAGGTGCTGGCCACATATCCAGGGAGGGTCTGGAATAGAACATTATTAAGTGAATGTTATTTAACGCCGTTGGTTGTCAACAGTAAAATCCAAGCAGTATCAGGACGAACAAGGGGGATAATTAGACCGTGGATGCAATGTGTGAGGCCCATTACTGGTGTCCCCTGCCGTGGTATTGCTGGAATATTGCTAAAACGGCGTACAACTAACTCATTCACTAACATTCAAGCTCATTCAAGTAATAGTCATGAATAATTTTCGTTTTCATCACATTGCGGATTTCATGGATGCCATATGAAAAATCAAACTTACCTGTAAGTCTTTACTACAACAGAGAAGATCTATTTCTCCACTTACTATTACAGCCTTTACTATGATGGAGAAGGCATTTCTCCACTTACCAGCAACTCTTTATTATAACGGAGAAAACGACATATTTCTTCCACTTACCTTTAACTCTGTATTATAATGGAGAGAACGACATATTTCTTCCACTTACCTTTAACTCTTTATTATAACGGAGAAAACGACATATTTCTTCCACTTGCTAACTCTTTATTATAATGGAGAAGACGACATATTTCTTCCAATTACCAGTAACTCTTTATTATAATGGAGAAAACGACATATTTCTTCCACTTACCTTTAACTCTTTATTATAATGGAGAAAACGACATGTTTCTTCCACTTGCTAACTTTTTATTATAATGGAGAAAACGACATATTTCTTCCACTTACCTTTAACTCTTTTTAATGATGGAGAAAACGACATATTTCTTCCACTTACCTTTAACTCTTTATTATGATGGAGAAAACGACATATTTCTTCCACTTACCTTTAACTCTTTATTATAATGGAGAAAACGACATATTTCTTCCACTTGCTAACTTTTTATTATAATGGAGAAAACGACATATTTCTTCCACTTACCTTTAACTCTTTATTATGATGGAGAAAACGACATATTTCTTCCACTTACCTTTAACTCTTTATTATAATGGAGAAAACGACATATTTCTTCCACTTGCTAACTTTTTATTATAATGGAGAAAACGACATATTTCTTCCACTTACCTTTAACTCTTTATTATGATGGAGAAAACGACATATTTCTTCCACTTACCTTTAACTCTTTATTATAATGGAGAAAACGACATGTTTCTTCCACTTGCTTACTCTTTATTATAATGGAGAAAACGACATATTTCTTCCACTTGCTAACTTTTTATTATAATGGAGAAAACGACATATTTCTTCCACTTACCTTTAACTCTTTATTATGATGGAGAAAACGACATATTTCTTCCACTTACCTTTAACTCTTTATTATAATGGAGAAAACGACATATTTCTTCCACTTGCTAACTTTTTATTATAATGGAGAAAACGACATATTTCTTCCACTTACCTTTAACTCTTTATTATGATGGAGAAAACGACATATTTCTTCCACTTACCTTTAACTCTTTATTATGATGGAGAAAACGACATATTTCTTCCACTTACCTTTAACTCTTTATTATAATGGAGAAAACGACATGTTTCTTCCACTTGCTAACTTTTTATTATAATGGAGAAAACGACATATTTCTTCCACTTACCTTTAACTCTTTTTTATGATGGAGAAAACGACATATTTCTTCCACTTACCTTTAACTCTTTATTATAATGGAGATAAAGGACATATTTCTTCCACTTACCTTTAACTCTTTATTATAATGGAGAAAACGACATATTTCTTCCACTTGCTAACTTTTTATTATAATGGAGAAAACGACATATTTCTTCCACTTACCTTTAACTCTTTATTATGATGGAGAAAACGACATATTTCTTCCACTTACCTTTAACTCTTTATTATAATGGAGAAAACGACATATTTCTTCCACTTACCTTTAACTCTTTATTATAATGGAGAAAACGACATATTTCTTCCACTTGCAAACTTTTTATTATAATGGAGAAAACGACATATTTCTTCCACTTACCTTTAACTCTTTATTATAATGGAGAAAACGACATATTTCTTCCACTTACCTTTAACTCTTTATTATAATGGAGAAAACGACATATTTCTTCCACTTACCTTTAACTCTTTATTATAATGGAGAAAACGACTTATTTCTTCCAATTACCTTTAACTCTTTATTATAATGGAGAAAACGACATATTTCTCCCACTTACCAGTAGCTCTTTATTATAATGGAGAAAACGACATATTTCTTCCACTTACCTTTAACTCTTTATTATAATGGAGAAAACGACATATTTCTTCCACTTACCTTTAACTTTTATTATAATGGAGAAAACGACATATTTCTTCCACTTTAACTTTTTATTATAATGGAGAAAACGACATATTTCTTCCACTTACCTTTAACTCTTTATTATAATGGAGAAAACGACATATTTCTTCCACTTACCTTTAACTCTTTATTATAATGGAGAAAACGACATATTTCTTCCACTTACCAGTAACTCTTTATTATTATGAAGAAAACGACATATTTCTCCCACTTACCTTTAACTCTTTATTATAATGGAGAAAACGACGTATTTCTCCCACTTACCAGTAACTCTTTATTATAATGGAGAAAACGACATATTTCTTCCACTTACCTTTAACTCTTTATTATAATGGAGAAAACGACATATTTCTTCCACTTACCTTTAACTCTTTATTATAATGGAGAAAACGACATATTTCTTCCACTTACCTTTAACTCTTTATTATAATGGAGAAAACGACATGTTTCTTCCACTTACCTTTAACTCTTTATTACCAAGGAGAAGACAACACGGACATTCTTCTCCACTTATGAAGTCTTCACTACAATGGAGACGACTGACATATTTCTCCACTTACCATTTCTGTGTTATACTGGAGAAGAGTGAGATATTTCTCCCCTTAACCATTGAGTGGTTACCATGGAGAAGATATATTTCTTCACTTACTGTTAAGCGGTTGAGCATCGGAGTTGAGGATGTTCAATGACGTCTCGTTACAGGGGTAACTCGTTGTTATATTAAGATGAAGTGGGGTTATCAGGAGTCGCTGTGATAACTCCTCCGTCATGACGACAACGTTACACGACATCGCCGACCAATCCGCCTCGGTAGTGTTCTCTGTGAAATCCAGCAGCATGTCTTTGGTGAACGTTATCGTCTTGCCACATTCCTGGTCGAAATAAACTGGAATAAAACATATTTACAACAATATAAACAAGTATCATTGTATTATATAGTAAATCTCAGTGTGGATTGAGGAAACTTTATTTGTTTGCTTAACGCCGCGCTTGTGTATAAACAGTGAACCAAATCATTGTGCCCGACAACCATGGTACTTGCATCTTACAGCAAGTTAGACGTCGAAGACCCGGGTTCGAATCCCCATGGGTGCAATGTGTGAAGCCCATTTCTGGTGTAACCCCGTTGTGATATTGCTGAAATATTGCTAAAAGCGGCGTAAAACCGTACTCACTCACTCACTCATTCACTGCAGCATGATAGATGATAGGATCTAATCTAACCAGAATCCCGATGGACTTTGACAATTTGGTAAAAGCTACACGTGTTTGCTTGGATGTATAAGCATCTAAACCGTAGCTGCTTTGTTTTAGGTCCTTATTCATTGTCTCTGTGAATATACATTCCACTCTGCGGTAGATTATATTCTTTTTAATACTGGCTCAAAATCTAAACCGCCCTTGTAGCTGTTGACATTAGGGAAATATACTCATGCCAATAATGGTTGTCACCCCCCTCACCACCCCAACCCCACACACACCCCACACCCACACCCCACACACCCTCACCAATAAAAAAAATTGAAGGGGGTGACAACCATTATTGGCATGAGTATATAAAGATCTTGTTAATACGGCAAACGTGAGACAACAACACGTTTTGTGTTTTTGTCTTGACAAAGTAAATTTTCTGTTCTCCTTCAGACGTGGATACTTGATAGACACATTTACGTAATTTCTTACTTTTTGACCAAAGTTGATATTTACCAACGATCATATACATTAACAAAGGTATGCCATAGATATGTATTTCTATGTTTGCGGTTGTTATTGAGTATTTGATGTCCGCAAAATTCATCGACATTATGAAATACTTATGATCTGTCTCTACGCAACCCTTCACAGCCACATGTGAGACAAGACGTCAGGAGACGGTGGATGATGTCATGTGTAGACATGGCAACTGTTACCGTCTGGTTAGTGAGTATAGATAAACTTAATGTACAGTAAGCTTCGGTTATGACGAACTCAAAATTCGTTACAACTGAAATTCGTTGTGCTCATTCGACTAAAATATAGTAGCACGTGGCAGGGATAAAAAGACAGTTCCTTATTTAAGTCAGTTCGTAATAAGTGTATCCGTTTAAAATGTAGGACCTGGTTTACTGTAGTTCCAATGACATATATCTTAACCAGTCAAATCACAGCGAACTCGACGTGTTTCAATACCATTTGCATATTGCAGTGGAAGTAGGGGCGAACATACTAAGAATTATTTCATATATCAAGATATAACGATACAATGTTGAATACATATTGATAGGGTCCATCCACATATTGCATGAGTGAGTGAGTTGGGGTCAAAGCCGCTTTGTGTAACAACACAGTTATATCGTCAGATTTCAGGCACTACTAAGAACAGTAACTCTGCACGTTTAATTGCAGTGCCTTGCGCCGCCGTGCCACCATAATCACTGGAAGCTCTGCGGACAACACGTGGCAGTAACGCATCAAATAATCCCAAAGTCATACTCACATGTCGGTGGTGTGTAAGTACATCCCGCTAAATTATATAATGCGATGCAACTAAATAAAATGGCAATTATAGCAGCCATGTTGTCGAGACAGTAGGCTCTATTCTTCCTTCATGTCAAGTTTGCTCCCAGGTCAGACAGCGACCGTTATCGCTACATGTGATGGTGATAACTGCAATATCGCACATGACGTGTGCCAGATTATCTGTTGTAGTCTGTACCTGTTTACACCCAGCCGACTCGAGTTTGATAGGTTTAATTGACCAATGTACAAGTAGAGTTGTGTACACCTAACCGATTCGACGTGTATATGGTTAACTGCCCAAAGATATATAGTATGACCAGAAATTATTGAGAATTTTAGGAATGTGTTTAATTGGATTTCTAGTATAAACAACCTTGACCAGCTATCAAGCTAGTGCTTGGTTTCATTCAAGAGAGACAACTCCGTTAATCCTTTTTCATTAGTTTGTGAAGAGTTATCCGTCTTTGTTTACTTGCTAGCAGGCGACATTTTGAGTGATCATCAGTATGGATGATTCAGAGAAGAGGAAGTTGATTTTAGAGTATTATAACAAGGACATCAGATCAGCTAAAGTGATTTCAAGTAGAACAGGCATTCCCTTGTCCACTGTTTATCGTGTTTTGAAAAATATTGCAAATGGATATGGCACTGAGCACCAGGGAGGCGCAGGTAGGCCCAGAAAATTGACTGTCGGTGACAGGAGGCGGCTTGGTATTCTTGTTTCTAAAAACAAACGAAGGGGTTTAGAAAACTTAAGGCTGGATGTGATTAATAAAGGAACTGTGGCTGTCTGTAAGGAGACAATTAGAACTGAGCTGCATGCAATGGGTTGGCAGAAAAGTCGAGGAATTCCATCACCGATCATGAAACCTGAACAAAAGGAGCGAAGGTTGAACTGGTGCTTACAGCATAGAAATTTTAACTGGGACAATGTGATTTTCTCAGATGAAAGTTCTGTGTGGCTGTTTCCTAATACCCTGAAATTCTGGACCAAACAAACTGAAAAACCTTTGTATCAGCGCCCAAAGTACAGTCCGAAATTTAACGTGTGGGGTTGCATATCTGTGTTAGGGGCAACGCCCCTCTGTGTATTTGAAGGGAATATGAACAGTGAGCGGTACACAGATATTCTCGAGGGACATTTAGTTCCATCTGCTCACGTGTTCTATGGAAAAATTTTGATTTTCCAGCAGGACAAAGACCCAAAACATCGTTCAAACCATTCACAGGCCTGGTTTCGGACCCAAAATATGACATTATTAGATTGGCCAAGCTATAGCCCTGACCTTAATCCAACAGAAAATGTTTTGGGGACTTATGAAGTTAAGTGTCAATAGGAAAAATGCTGACAAATATTGCTGAAATGAAAGAAGAGGTGGTCCGATATTGGGACAGCATGGACCACGACTTTCTAACTTCCTTGATCAGTAGTATGCCCCGCCGCATTGAAGCCTGCACTGCTGCCCATGGTGACTTGACAAAATACTAACTATTCACCTGTCTTTGAATCTGGAGTTATGTTCTGCTAATATTCACATTTAATACGTGAGTAATGAGTGAAAAAAAATTAAAAAATTGCAATCTTTAAATTCTCAGTAATTTCTGGTTGTACTGTAATACTAATGTTTACACCTAGCCGACTCGACTTTAATGCGCTTATTTGCCGATGTGATAATCGTACTGTTTACACCTAACCGACTCGACTTAAATACGATTAATTTCTTGATGAAATGAAAGTACTATTTACAAGTAGCCGATTCGACTTTAATATGCTTAATGGTCTGATAAAAAGTAGACCTGTTTAAACGTAACCGACTCGACATTAATGTGCTTGATTTCCCGTTGTAATAGTAGACCTGTTTACACGTAACCGACTCGACTTTGATATGGTTAATTACCGGATGTAATAGTAGTCGTGTTTGCACCTAAACGATTCGACTTTAACATGCTTGATGCTCGACATGAAGGTGATCCATTATAAATATAACCGAGACGTGGCGATAGTAAGCAAGATATGTGCAACTAAAGAGACACTCACTAACCAGAAAGTTACCTGACTGTATCATATGCCCGGGCAATGTAATCAATTCATATACCTTTCATATCTTAAAGTAACATATAAATCCTATAAGCTAATATGCATGGGTGCCGGTGTACGAAACAACCTTAGCGATACGATGGTCGTTAGTCTAATGTATGGGATTTATGATCACCATAGCGCTAAAATCGCTTTGTAAAACGGCACCTGAACCCTCCTGTACAAAGCGATCTTAGCTCTAAGACGAACGTAAATCCATCACTCTAACATAGACATAAGATAAGATAATGCTCTATTTTCCCGAAGGAAATGTGCTGTACACGGTTAACATTGAAAACACATATAAAACGACAAAAGATACATATACATAAGACCACAAAAATATGAGAAATATTGCTAAAATAGCTGGCAACAACGCCCAATGTATGACTTAAAGATAAATGATGAATAAGTAATACTAATATATTTTAGATTTCGAGCTATAGTGGTTACATTAAAGATTATGCATATGCTGAGGAACATTAGCACTAAAGGTATATTTATATAACAGTTAAACGGGAACAGGAAGCGAGGGACCTTATTTCACGGGGAGCAAAATTTAAGAGAAATTGTCTAGCGGATTATTCCGCTTCAGTGATTAGTCCACCTAGAACAATAGGTGGTGGGTAAACGAGAAGTTCCCCAGGAAGCTACTGCATTGATGAGGTATTTGAAGGGTGCGATATTAATAATAACTCTATCTCAAGTCAGTAGTAACAGTAACATTGCTTCAGGACAACAGATACGACAGTGGAGATGGCTTCTTACTTCATCAAAGAGCAAAACCAATATCATCCAGTTCATTGTTCAAAATTGCTAAAGGTTCATTGATATCAAGAAGGTTGCTTCGGCGTTTGGTCAAAGCGTTTGCAAGACCTGTCCGTGACTACACGCAAACACTGTATGTTATACTGTCAGTACTCTTGGAGGCAGAGGGAAGGTCAATGCATTCAAACTACTTCAAGGCAAGGAATACGAAGAAGCTTTCCAACAACTTGGGAATATGTGGACTGTGCCACCAGGTTTGATCGACTCACTTCAAGCATTCACATGCCACCTGTATGCCTCAAGTTCTTCAATAAGGGATGTCCATCAATTGCGCTACAACTAATTTAAGGTAAGAAAAGGGGCAATTGAATCATGACAATTGCCACCCTGCTTTAATTGTCTAAATATGCACATCCTTAGAGGAAACTATCAAGCTGCAATATGGAACAAGGAGACTCTATAAGGGGAGTGGTCAGTTTTCGAAAAAGTTCTTTGAGCTGGAAACTCCTCTATAAGAGGGATGCCTCGAAAGCTCCTAAGCTATGCCTCGGCTCGTCACGTGACCAGTGCAGCCAATATGGCGGCAGCGTAGTTTTTAAGATTGAGCCCGGTTTATTTTCAACAGCTGATTACATACGCTGAGTGTTGTGACAACTGAAAACCTACATGTAGAAGATAAGTTACCTATTCTGTCACTTCATTTTAAGTCAAATACTTGTTATTAGTGTCAGTATAAGTACAGTAGCTTTGTAGTAAAGTTTCAAGTGGGCATGTTGTAGCTCACTGGCTTCAATTCTCAGTACACAGCGAAGAAAGACTAAATTATATCGCTAAAAACTTCTTTCACATATTCGTTTAATTTTTAGAAGGGAAATATACCTTTAGTTAAAAGGTGTTTGCAAGTAATAGTGATATTTTTATAACTAAAAAAATTTGTTAGGGTGTATTTGAGGTGTGTGAAAAATATGACATATCGCCGATCTGCCATTGAAATACTACAGGGCGTTGTTTGAGTGTTTCTAGTTAGTGTTCAAAAACATCTTTCACATACACCTTCAATTTTTATGAGGGGAATATACCATCAGGTGAAAGGTGTTTGCAAGTAATAGTGATAGTTTTATAATTTAAAAAAAATTGTTAGTGTGTATTTGAGGTGTGTGAAAAAATATGACATATCGCCGATCTGCCATTGAAATACTACAGGGCGTTGTTTGAGTGTTTCTAGTTATTGTTCTAAAACATCTTTCACATACACCTTTAATTTTTATGAGGGGAATATACCATCAGGTGAAAGGTTTTTGCAAGTAATAGTGATAGTTTTAATTTTTTTTTTTTTGTTAGTGTGTATTTGAGGTGTGTGAAAAATATGACATATCGCCGATCTGTTCTGATACGCCATTGGTGCTTGTGATGCTTGAGTGTTATAGTTCTAAAACTTCTTTCTTTCTTGTTGATCTTAGTATTTGACAAAACTGGAAAGGTGTTTGCAAGGCTTTGTGATAGTTCTAAACTTTCTGTTCTTGAGGGGTCTGTGACAGTGTCAGTTAACATTCTGTCAATGCCCATGTCATTCCACACATGCAATAAGATATCTGAATTAGTTACTAATGTAAAAAAATGTCTCAAAGTAATTTTTTTTAAAAGGACAGCTGATGTTAACATATGTGTTCTACCGATAGTTTTGCGTTCTTTAACATGTTTGGGGAGGGATGGCCGTGGTGTATCATTTATTCTTTCATTCATTCACATATGTTCTTTTTCTTTTGTTCTTTTTCTTAATTTCTTTCATTCATTCACATAAAATTCTTGCTCTTAATTCATTCATTCATTCATTGTAAAATTCCGACCTATACAATACACTGGCTGAAGTACTGTTAAACGCAGCCGAAGTTGCGCTGGGACCGAACCAAGTCACTGTGTGCGTTGGAGCATGACGAGGCACACGTTAATTAGTACAAATGGTAAAGAAAGCAAGCGAGTGACCTATCCCTGTTGTAGAGTACCACCAGTGTACCTTATAAAACTACATACTTTGAATAAATGACTTCAAGAATAATGGTTGAGTCAATCATAAAATAACGAAGACGACGTAAAAACCATAGCCGCTTTAGTCCTTTCATGTATATCTAATCAGTATTACTGTTCCAGGTGAGCTTAAAATCTATCACTGTGCCAAGATACTTATATTCCTTAATTCTATCTGGGCGGTGGGGTAGCCTAGTGGTTAAAGCGTTCGCTCGTCACGCCGAAGACTCGGGTTCGAATCCCCACATGGGTACAATGTGTGAAGCCCATTTCTGGTGTCCCTCGCCGTGATATTGCTGGAATATTGCTAAAAGCGGCGTAAAACCATACTCACTCACTCGCTCACTCAATTATATCTATGGTTTCGTTATCAATGGCAATTAGCAACAGCTCACTTTTACTTTTCCGAAAATCAAAAACCATCTCGTTTTGTTTTCTTAACTTTAAAAACGACGGTCGTAGCGCTAAGATCGCTTTGTGCAAAGGGCCAAGGTCAGTTAGTGTACGCTCGCATGTCGAAATGTTTGTTGAGAACATCACGCTGTGTAATCTGACACGCGATGCACCATGATATATTCCATTATCACAAAACACCCTCAAGTTCAAATTGTTATCAGCTGTCCTGTTTGATTGGTTTGTCAACAATGAGTGTACTCCTATTCGAACGTCCTTCATAATGCATTCCATTGATATCATATTTAAATACATCATTCGTAGGGTTCGTTGTGACCTGGGGCAGTGGGGTAGCCTAGTGGTTAAAGCGTTCGCTCGTCACGCCGAAGACCCAGGCTCGATTCCCCACATGGGTACAATGTGTGAAGCGCATTTCTGGTGTTCCCCGCCGTGATAGTGCTGGAATGTTGCTAAAAGCGTCGTAAAACTACACTCACTCACTTACTTGTTGTGACCTAAACATGATCCTTCTCGATATCAATATATTGATATACCGAATCGAACTGTGGACTTGTAATGAAACAATTGAATACCATTTACACAAACTCAGCTTCCTTCTTAGCATAGCCCTGCTGCTAAGAGATGATATATCTTCTTCCGCGTGTGTAGCAGCCATAACCAATAGTTTATATCTACCATTGTTTGTGAGGTGAGGTGGGGTGAAATTGGGTTTAACGTCGTGCTTGAGAATATTTCGCTCATATGACGACGTGCATGCGTGTGTATGTGTATGTGGGCTGCTTGTACTAGCCCAGACTGAAGCTGGTTTTATAGTGCTAGCCCACTGAGATACCATGCCGCAGTGAAGAATGAATACCCCACTCAGACACATTATACTGACTCCGAGCCGACCAGTTCTTGTTGTACCCATTAATGCCAAGCGCCAGGCAGGGACCAACAAGAACCATATTTTAACGTCTTTTGGTATGACGCCGTCGGGGATCGAACCCGCGACCTTTCGCTCACCCGGCGGACGCTCTAACCACTACACCACGGAGGCGGTTCCATTGTTTGTGTAACTTGCAGTTTTCACCCAGTGAGTTTAAACCAATGAAATGCTGTGTGAGCGATGTTTTACGCCGTTATAGTATCTTTTCTAGCCATATCACGACCTATGGTTTATAAATAACTGAATTCACAATTTGAATAGAACTCACGTGACTCATCTTGAAACACTCACTCAGTCACTCACTCACTCACTCACTCACTCACCAAAAAAACAACCAACATTTTCAACACAATGGTCGTGATTTCGTCAGTGCAAATCTGATTCTTTAAGACTGAAAACAATTAATGTCAATTGGTCACAACCCGCCCACATCAAAAATAGCCATTCTGTAAGCTGTATATGATAACAACAGACATTATATGGTCCGTATTTGCGCCTTGTGTGTTATCAAGGCCTGCTTGATTACTTTCTCTGATAACCTTTGCACCCTGTTCAACTATCCCACTAACTCCGTACACCGACAACGCGCGGTATGTGGACTGAACAGCGACACAATGAACAAAATGGAGCTTTACGTAAACATGATGGTGATTGTGATGATTGGCACGTGTGGGGTCAGTGTGGCTCAGATGTATACACCAACGACTTGTAAGTACTGTTTCACCATTTGTTTAGCATTTATGAGTTACACTGAAGCCAGGAGAGTGCGATACGTGCTTTACATGAAACGCCAGCTACGTTTACTAAAATGTCACGTAAATGATCGCTCGAACGGACGAATTAATGAAACCCTTTCTATATACATCAGAGTGTGTGAGTGACGTTTTACGCTGCTTTTAGCAATATTCCAGCAATATCACGGTAGGGGACACCAGAAATGGGCTTCACACATTGTACCCATGTGGGGAATCGAACCCGGGTCTTCGACATGACGAATGAACTCTTTAACCACTAGGCTACCCCACCGCCCGCAGATGTTTTTGCATATAGATATCCCGGCCCGAGGGTGGCATCTGTCACAAATACATGCAAAGGCAAGTCAATTATTCATAATACTCAATGACATTACATATCTATTGTTTTTACATAGGATATCTTTATTTAGAGACACTTGGCAACACAACCCCACCTTACATTTTGGGTCATATCGGTCGATTTTAACTGTGTCACCTTTTTTCGTTTGTCGGTTATGCTTTTGTATATTTCATCGTTTATGTTTTTAATTTATCACTTATGTCACATATTTTACCGTTCATGCTTCGAGTTGACGTTTTACATATAAAGGCAAGAGTTTATGGATGTCAACTTCTATAGTTTGAGGTGAAAGACGTTTCTGAGTAAATTCTCGCAATGAACAAGTAAGAATATACTCAATATGTTCAAAATAAAGAAGTTGATTCTTGCCTTTATGTTAATACTTTAACCTTTAATTTTTATCCTCTGACCTTATTTTTATCCCAAATGAATTCAAGTACATTAAATATCGCTGACGTTAAGGAGACTGTTTAATATTGCCATTTTATCCTATATCCCTCCAGTTGAGATGTTTGAGGAGTGCGACAACAAGATCATTATATCGGAGGACATGCTGCTACAACTATCTGTGAACAAGACCAGGAGAAAAACACACACGTGTAGCACGACGGTTGAAAGTGACGTGGACGGCAATCGCTTGTTACTACGTTTCCTGAATATGAACATCTCCGACAGGCCAGGATGCTTGAAAGCCAGGATCAGCTTATATGAGACAGAAGGCAAACATCCTTCAGGTAAGGCCACGAAGGACATATATTTGTTTGTCTTCCTCATGAGTGAGTGAGTGAGTTTAGTTTTACGCCGCACTCAGCAATATTCCAGCTATATGGCGGCGGTCTGTAAATAATCGAGTCTGGACCAGACAATCTAGTGATCAACAGCATGAGCATCGATCTGCGCAATTGGGAACCGATGACATTTGTCAACCAAGCCAGCGAGCCTGACCACCCGATCCCGTTAGTCGCATCTTACGACATGCATGGGTTACTGAAGGTTCATTCTAACCCGGACCTTCACGGGTCTCTTCCTCATGACGAACATAAAACATACACAACTGTAATTGCTGTGAAAAATGTGTCTAGTTATAATTTTGTTTTCAGTAAATTTTTGCGGCAATATGAGCATCCCCGTGTTCAACTCCAGCGGACAGTCAGTGAGGGTTAAGTACGAGACCAGTCGCCAGGACGAGGACGCCGCTCATGACGTCTTCACACTACTTATCTCATCTTTTCACGAGCAGGTGAAAGGTAAATAAAACAAACCTTCTCACTCGTTACTATCTTCAGCACGAGCGTACGAGGTGATACATGGGATCGAGGTACCTCGTCAGGCTCCTTTATTTGGTATCTGAATGTCATCGTATTCCAGTTGTCCAGATACATGCTCGTGCTGTCAACCTCTGGTCGGTCTGGTCCGGACTCGATTTCTGACAGACCGCCCGTCATATAGCGAGAATATTGCTGATCAGCAGACCAGCGTTTGTTTTAGAGTTATTTTAAGGCGGGATGGCAGAAGGTTGAATTAATTTATTTATTTATTTATTTATTTTTATTTATTTATTTATTCAGGGGGAGTTTATACACAGAAATTATATAATAACCTCTAATCATTTCAGTTTTTCTTATACTTTTAAAATAACAATTGGCCCACAGTATATATCTGAGTCCGGGGAGTTGCATGAGTGAGTTTGGTTAGCAGCTGCTCTGAACAGTATTTCTAACATACAAGAGCGTGTCAACTTAGAGTAGCGTGACCCGACAAACGGAAGTGATGCACTTCTTTGAAATTTAACATATTGTGTAACCCACGAAAACGGGCATGGTTCTCACTAATCCAGATCCTAATAAGAACAAATCTAGCATTCAATCCACGATGACAGGATTCTGGCCTGCCAAGGGGAGGCAACTCTGCATTGCGAATAGCGATGCCACGGACAGTTGGGCCACGGGCCCCATGTACAATCAGGAAACAAACGTGGGACATGAAACATAAGAAGGTTTCCTTTACACAAACACCCGGTGTCAACACTGAATTTCATTGGTCTATTCACATAAACAGAAGAGCAAAGAAAACATACGTAGTTTATTATTTACATAATTATAAATTTGATTATATCTGTTTAGTTATCACTCATTCCTGGGACAATTTGTAAAAAGTAATCTTGGCTGGATAATGTTATTGATTCAATGAAGGAATGAAATGATTTTGTAACTACATAAATCCATGTTCGATTTTTTTTTAAATCTGCGCCGAAAAGGGAACATTTATTGAGTTTCCACGGAATGATGTCTAAGATACCCATCTGCAGTTGTAGATCACACGAAATATATTTTATCGAATTTTGAAAGTTCAAGATAAAATTATGCTTTAAAATCTAAGCCAAGAAGTATCCTTTGAGCAGTGTCGGATCGGGGGTGGGGGGTAGTGGTGGTTTGTCCCCCAGGGGGTTCGAACCCCCTCTTTTGAAAATGACTTAAGACAACATTGAAAAATAAATAAATTGCGTTTACGGAGGGTTCAGGGGATTTTAACCCCCTGAACCCCCCACCCATCCACCCTTTTCAAAATTCCTTGTTCGCCCATGCCTTTGAGTGTTGAAGTATAGTAAATGAAATGGATATGCTCTCGCTAACTTAAGATATTGTAATTGGAAAATTGACGTATGATACAATCAGCTAAGAGGTGTAGTTTCTTTTGCCTCTCAGTATAATTTCCACAGCTATTTTGCCGTTCGAAGAACCTGTTTCGTCTGATAAACGAGACTGGTTATTCTCTAGCATTGACGGGGCGGTAGGGTAGCCTAATGACTAACGCGTTCGCTCGTCACGCCGAAGACCCGGGTTCGATTCCCCACATGGTACAATGTGTGAAGCCCATTTCTGGTGTCCCCCGACGTGATACTGCTGGAATATTGCTTAAAGCGGCGTAAATCTAAATTCACTCCCTCACTCACTCTGGTGTTTTTAGATTTAACACCTGAGTCACTTAAAAGAATAATCTCTTTGTTTCAGGAGAGTGTACGTCCTACGACTTCACATGCAGCAACTCCCTCTGCATCGACAGCGACATGACCTGTAACAACTACGACGATTGCTCCGATAATTCCGATGAGACGATTGGCTGTAGCACAACCGATGGAGACCAGTTGATGAAGAAGATTGTGATTGTGTCTGTAGCCTGTGGGATGTTTCTGTTCGCTGTTGTTTGTGTCTTCGCCTTTAAAATACACCGAGCCAGGAACAGAAGAGGGGCATATTTATCTGTTGACTAATCGGTGCAAACAGCCGATAACCATGAACACAATTTTGTGTTAATATTCTTTTCGTCTGTGATTTTATTGTAGCCAACTTACAAAAACAGTGCATGTATACTACTCAGAGGAACTTAAGCAATATACCACAAGAGATTAATCATAATCGGATGTTTTAGTGTTATGTACCATTCGTCGCCATTCTTTCTGTAACCTCTGCGAATTTCTGCAAAATTGTTGATGCGGCGGTAAGCAGCTTTATCATCCCAAAACTGTGTTCCACAGGAGATATCGCTTGTGTGAGATCAAACGATATCTCCTAGGAGATATCGTTTTGACAGTAGATTTTGTACAATGCCCTGACAATGCTATGACGTCATGTACTTGATGACGTCACAATGCTATGACATCGCTGCACTGAAAGTCGAATGGCAGTACCATGTTCAGAGATGTACATTTTTCATTGAAAATTAATTAAGAGTGATTTTGGATGATAAATAGAATCTCACCCTCATGTCTTCTGATATCAAATATATCAACACTCGTTGATAAAGTAAAAATATCCTCGGCAAGCCTCGGATATTTGTAACTTTATCAACTCATGTTGATATAATTGATATCAGAAGACACTTGGGTGAGGATTCTCTATTTCCCTCACCCACCTTCCTCAGATCGATGTTATGAGTGGAAACCAAACAAGACTCAGAACGTTCGAATGATTTGGTCCTTCTTAGGGGAGGGGTTACCCACTTTGTTATGGGGAGGTGGGGAGGGGGTATCAATATTGTTAATACATCAACTGGGGGAGGGGGTGTTGTCAGCCATTCTGTACATAAAACTATTCAAAATTTATGTTTAAAAATGATGTGTGTGTTTGTGTAAATTATGTATGGTCACTTAATTTATTTCTATATATTGCGCATAGTTTGTATGGAAAGATATACACTAACTCACAATATATTATATTCTGAGAAATCCATATAATCTTATAGATAAGCAGAGACGATTGACGATAAATAATATCTTAGATTCCCCACATCAAATTCACTTTTATAATTTTGGATGTGCCCATTTACGGAAGACGGTACCAAGTTGATAAAATGGCAACGAAAATGGTGCGAGTCGCCGTTCAGCTTGCCCCTAAACTGTACGAGTGGTCCCGAATGGTATAGTATAGATACACTTACACATACTACTGGATACAGTTTTACCATAATATGCATCACCATATATACAAACATACATGAAAGGAGATAAGTATTGTGTATTGTGTTTTCAGATTTACAGGTGTTACTTACTGATGCTAGGAAATTCCTTACCGAACTGTTGGCCGAAGTCTTCAAATGTTACTATTTCAGATAAATAAACAAAAATAATCTAGCATAAATGCTGTGTCTATTCTGTCAAGATGGATGGCAAAAATAAACTTCTGTATTTTGACATGTAATGATACTTATGAAAGGTAATGATGTGGAATAGAAAAGTCAGGAAAGTAAGCGGAATCCATTTCACAAACAAGTCAGGATACTGTCCGTCACTGTACCATCCAATAAATTTATTTCGCTTCATCGTTTCACAATTTGTTGTGAAACCAAACAGGCTGTATGTGTGCTAAATCACCTCTATATATCTCTGGGGCGGTGTGAAAGCCTAATGGTTAAAGTGTCCACTCGTCACGCTCTTTCAGAGATTGGTACAATGTGTGAAGCCCATTTCTGTGTCCCCTGCCGTGACATTGCTGGAATATTGCTTAAAGCGGCGTAAAACCATACTCACTCATTCACTCATTTGTGTCTGTGTCTGGTTTGTAGCGCTGATTTCCCTGTACCGGTTAGGAGAGAGGAATGATTTTTGTCACATGCAAATTAAAGGACCAGTATTAAAACAGGTTGTCAATACTTTGTACGGAAACGTCAACTTCAGAGGTAAAAAGCCGTATCTCGGTGCAGAGAATGACTGACTTGAATGTGTCATTAGACAAACACTACTTGCAACAGAATAGCTATGCACTGTCGAAGTCAAATTCAAAATTTATAATTATAAACTGAACTAAGTGACTGGCAGGCTGGCTGGATGACTGACCCCTAGCAGTCAGGATCCCAAACGGTCATGCCCTGATATTTGAGTAATGAACTGTTCTGCGGTCAATGCCACCATACGGCCCCTCAAATATGAAACTGAATATGATTTTACTACCGTTTGCTTCTACTGTAAGAGTGGGAGTTTATGGGAGTGCTTGTTAGTGACTGACCATTTCGTCCTGATGTGTGTGTGTGTGTGTGTGTGTGTGTGTGTGTGTGTGTGTGTGTGTGTGTGTGTGTGTGTGTGTGTTGTGTGTTTCACTTACATGTTACCTATTTTCTGTTCATGTTTCACAACTTTGGAGAAGCAATTGAACATGTTGTTACTTGGAATATTTCAATAAGTACCCTTTAAGTCATGCTCAAAAAGTGGTTTGATCTATAGTCCGTTTGATTTTATTTGAGACCGATGAATTGCTCACAAACACAAAATCTAATAAATGCAACAAAACCAAATTTTGCACAGTTACTTGAAATCGACAGACCAACTCTGATGATTTGTCTCATAATTTCGGACATCCGAATAAAAAAGTTGTTTAACAAACGATCATTATTTTGTTGTCGCTTACCGCTATTTTGTACGATGGGGGACCACTTGCTGGTAGAACAGCCAGGCAATCGACAAGCGTCTGTAGTGAAATACGTGCAACTCGTACACCTGGCTGTGAATACGCTATGCCATTTAGAAAGTGGTTTGATCTAGTATGAATACGCTGTGCCATTTAGAAAGTGGTTTGATCTAGTATGAATACGCTGTGCCATTTAGAAAGTGGTTTGATCTAGTATGAATACGCTGTGCCATTTAGAAAGTGGTTTGATGTAGTATGAATACGCTGTGCCATTTAGAAAGTGGTTTGATCTAGTATGAATACGCTTTGCCATTTAGAAAGTGGTTTGATCAAGGTTACAACATGCAAGGCATTTAAGTAAAGACTTTGTAATGTAAAGTTTTATGGTGAGTGTGTGCAGAGCATTTACATAATTAAACGGATTAAAATAATATACAATTCCGTACTGACTTACCATATGTGAGGTGTGGTGAGGTGAAATTGGGTTTAACGTCGTACTTGAGAATATTTCGCTCATATGACGACATGCATGCGTGTGTATGTGTATGTGCGGCTGCTTGTACTAGCCCAGACTTAAGCTGGGTTTATAGTGCTAGTCCACTGAGATACCAAGCCGCAGTGAAGCATGAATACCCCACTCAGACACATTATACTGACTCCGAGCCGACCAGTCCTTGTTGTACCCATTAATGCCAAGCGCCAGGCAGGGAGCAACAAGTACCATATTTTAACGTCTTTTGGTATGACGCGGTCGGGATCGAACCCGCCACCTTCCACTCTCCGGACGGACGCTCTAACCAGTCTACCTACCATATGTTCTCGTGTTTAGGATTTGTTTTGTTTTATGCAAGTGGATAATTAACGTTGCATGTGTTTGTGACGGTTACCACCGGCGGGACAGGATCCGCTCACATGTCAATGTCTACCAGACAACCTCACAGTTTGATATTGATTCCGAAACACACGGGTGGTGGTGTGTGTGTGTGTTGGGGGTTGGTGGGACACATTTGTACATTATTATCAAGAGTGCCCATAGCCCGACCATCCTTAAATCCTTAATCGACCACACCTACGCCCTTAAATGAAAACCCACCCAGTCTTCTCTCCCGTACACCCCACCAACCAACTTAACCCAAATAACACTATAACTGCACAATCAATTAAATCCCACTTAAATAGACAGCCTTGCACAAGTGTGCAACTATACTGACACACATTGAAAAAGCAAAACCAAATTAAAATGAGGAAAAATTTACAAACAATAACATTTGGATCAAAATTGTAATATAATCATGTTGAGAATTTTATTGTGCTTTAATTTCATGAACAATGATTACAAGAGTTCCGCCAGTATGGCTGACACGTCAAGCTTCACACACAGACTCCCCTAAGTCCGCCAGTAGCGAGTGTGACCTATCTGAGCCTGTACCATCCACGGAGTCGACGTGGCATTGATTCGCACAAACGTCGAACAGATTCTTGGGGGATGTTCTGCCACTCCTGTTGTAAAGCCAGGGTCAACTCAGCGACGTTGTTTGGCTGACGTTGACGTTGAAGAATTCGGCGACCAAGCTGATCCTACAGAAGTTCTATCGGGGTCAGATCTGGCGAGACGGCTGGCCAGGGAAGCACATGGATACCTGCTTGGTGGAGGAAGTCTCTGGTAAGTCGTGCCGTGTGTGGTCGGGTATTGTCCCACCAACAGCACCCCGATAGCTTTTTCCCTCTGCTGTTCTTTGAGCCGTGGCATTTTGTGACTGCTAGTAAAACGGTTAAACCATTGTGCCTTTCGTGCGTCCAACACTTGGCATTACATGTGCATGCCATGATAATCATGCACCCCAACAGGTCCAAGGAATCTGCTTAAGTTGTGTTTTTGATGAACTGTACCCATGCCAGAAACACGAAAATGGTTTGAACCCAGATGTGCATATGGTTTTATTCGGCAACCTCATCCCTATATTTTCGTGTGATAAATAAAATTGCTACATAAAACTTTGTTAGAAATTGCTTAAATGTGTTTTGCGTTTTTAATGTGTGTCAGTATATATTCCGTATACCTGTATATCTAAACACCTACACAGTCAGTTATCATCGCAAGGTGGCAACACGTATCACGCTACTGTCATTGGATACGGCTGATCCACGGTTGCCCTCTGTCATGTGACTGCACTTGTGACATAGACGGCGCGGCCCAGTTAGCGTCTCCCTGTCCATCATGGCTTCATGTTATGGAGTCACCCTTCTGTGCGCGGTATTCATGTCTACAGTTTTCGTCTGTGACGGGGAAGTACCTCAACAGAGTACGTACATACGTTATGTCTATAGCTGAATCTATATCATGTCAATCACCTTGCCGAGTCACGGCACCTGCCAGGATATATACCCAGTTTAGTTTAACACGTTTCTGGTTACACTCTCAAGCTTGATGAACGGTAGGGTAGCCTAGTGGTTAAAACGTTCGCTCGTCACGCCAAAGACCCGGGTTCGATTCCCCACTATGTGAAGCCCATTTCTGGTGCCCCCGCCGAAATATTGCTGGAAAATTGCAAAAAAAAGCGGCATAAAACTACAACATATGTCATAGGATTACACTTTCTTAGTAAAGTACAAATTGTAGTACTTTTTGGGTTGAGTCCCATCCGGGATTCGAACCCACACCCTCAGAGTCAGGCACGAAATCGCCAGCACACAAAGTCAGCCGCCTAACCCGCTCAGCCACCGTGACTTCCATAAAAATGGACAACTGGTAGTCTAGACTGCGGACTTTGTGTACCCCTCTGATAAATGTAAACACTTAGCACAAAACTACACTCATCCACTCAAGCTTGAATTATCTTCAACACTTTACCTGACAATTGTTAAATAAGAGGAAGAATACGTCATCCGTACTCATGCCTAGACGCATGCCGACTATAGTGGGTATATGTCATGGCCTCACATTGATATTTACAGGTCACCATAACTGCCATCCTCGATAATCTCCAGGGTATACGTTACGATCACTCTCCACTATACCACGGATGCATCCACGACTTGGCCCCATAATTATATTACCTCCCTTGGCCGGCTTTTTATCCAAACAGGTGTCTATGCTGGGAAGTAGAGCGAACCAATCACAACTCACTTTCGCTTCTTAAATTATCTAACCGTTTAAACTTGGCAACACAATTGATGCAGAGGTAGTTTGAAAGAGGTAGAAGGAGTTCTTTCATATATGTTTTTAGAGTTTCAGATTGTGTCAATTTGTCTATATTATTTACCCCAAAATCTGAGTGGAACTGCGAACAAACCTTCACGACTGCCATTGCTATCTTTGTTGACACTGGCAAGCTCGGATGTAACGGCGGCTTAGCTGATTGGCTACTGTGAGAATGCGGCGCCAGCAAAGGGAGGTAATATAATTATGGGGCCAAGCCGTGGATGCATCCAGGGTATAGTGGAGAGTGATCGTTACGTATACCCTGGAGATTATCGAGGATGTATGACTGCTTGCTGCAGCCTGAATAACATTCAGTCACCAGACCCTTGATAACGATGATTGTGGATGAGATTATATATCTACAGTCTTACAGCATAGTTACCACCACTGTCGCTGTAATTCTACAGCGGGTCAGGCTATTGAATTAAATCAAATATATGAGGCACGTTGTTACTTGACTTGCCTTTGCAAGTGTTTGTGACTGTTTTAGCCAGTGGGGCAGCATACGGCTCACATTTGCGTGAATTCTTGATAGCATCACTATTAGGAATAGTCATTCATTAATTAAAATGATTGTAGAATCTAATGATTATTGAAAGACTTTTGTGACTGTTTTTCAGACAAATAGAGAAGTACAATATAAAGCGGGATTTAATTTATGTCATTATCTCTCAATCATAAGTATAAGTGTGCGAATATTTAAATAAGACTGACCTATCTACATGTCAAGCACGAGTAAATTTTCGGTTTACCTCGTGCATGAGATAAGTATATGGACGATAGTATCAAACATCTCTTGAAAACAATAACACTGGGTAGGGCCACACAAGAATGGCTGCAGTCTCTTTTACTGAATTTATGTCCTGATTTCGATTGGAATTTTTATTATTATTTTTTAATTTTTTATTATTATTATTTTAATTTTTTTAATTTTTTTTTTTAAATTTTGATTATTACCTGTAAAGAAATTTCACTATCTGACTTGTTCGTCACTGGTAGGTTGTTATACAGGTGTTGTACGGCTGTTATGCAGGTGTTATACGGCTGTTATGCAGGTGTTACACGGCTGTTATACAGGTGTTATACGGCTGTTATGCAGGTGTTATACGGCTGTTATACAGGTGTTATACGGCTGTTACACAGGTGTTATACGGCTGTTACACAGGTGTTATACGGCTGTTATACAGGTGTTATACGGCTGTTATACAGGTGTTATACGGCTGTTATACAGGTGTTATACGGCTGTTATACAGGTGTTATACGGCTGTTATGCAGGTGTTATAGGCTGTTATACAGGTGTTATACGGCTGTTATACAGGTGTTATACGGCTGTTATACAGGTGTAAAGTTCAGGTGTAATCAGAAATCTCAGACAGCCCGTTAAAGGTACGGTGAGTGAGTATAGTTTTACGCCGTTTTAGAAGTATCCCATCAATATCATGTCCCGGAAAACTTGAAAGGTGCAGACACATGTAATACGTATTCCGATAAATCAAACACAGGCTCCTTGATCTTGTTGAGGTACTATGTCGTTTAAAATAGAAAGTTTTTTAATAAAAGTTCGTATCCACAGAAGTGCTGGAGGCCAACTGCAACAACAACCTCAACTTCCTCGGAAGCATGGTGCTGGTTGTAACAAATCTGACCTCAGTGGATCAGTGTAACGTCATCATTCAAAGCACCATCTCCAACAACAAACTTCTCATCGATATCATAAAATTAGACCTCGTGGACAACTGCACGGACAGCACTCTGAACATCCTCGACGAAACTGGAAGTAGGATATCAGGTATTAGACCGAGATCCCAGTCTTTTAATGTAGAAAGTGTATAATTGCTTTTACTTCTGTTTTAATAAGACCAGTTAGGGGGAAAATCATTTCTATTTCACATGTGGGGCTATAGTTTTAGAGACAGGATACTCTAACGGCCAAAACGTACAAATATTTTCTCTAAAAAGGTGGTGATGAACATTTACAGGCAAGTCGGAAACGTAAGTCGACAGGCGACGTATGGTTTTTCAGAGGTTTCTTGTTATTATAGAATGTTCCGACTTAAAATGTCATAACTCGGTAAAATGTAAAAATAAATATACCACTACAGTAAGTTGTAATAAACCGTGATCATTTGTAATAACCCTACGGTAAATTGTAACAAAATGCGGTAAATTGTAATTATCTGCGGTGATTTGTGATAACATTACGGTAAATTGTAATAACGCTACGGTAGATTGTAATAAAACTAAGGTAAATTGTAATAACACTACGGTAAATTGAAGTAACACTTCACTAAAGTGTTATAACTGCACTGCGGTGTTATTACAATTTACCGCATTTTATTCCGCATTTTATTCATTATACCACAAAAATTGAGATTAGAATTGAACTTCAGCTACCCATGTTTGTCTCAAAAGGCGACTAACGGCATCGGGTGATCAGGCTCGCTTCCTTGATTGACACATCGTATCCCAATTGCCTAAATCAACGCTCATGATGTTGATCACTGGATTGTCTGGTCCAGACTCGTCATATAGCTTGAATATTACCGAGTGCTGCGTTAAACAACAAATAAAGCATTGTTGCCACATTATTACAATTTACGTTTTAAACTAAAAATTAAACTTTTATAAGTCAACTGCTGATGCAGCACCATGGAAAGAGTGGTTTCTTTACATTAATATCATATTTTTCAGGTCCATTATGTGAAGAGGAAAATGCAACAGTGTTTAGGACAGAGAGCAACTCTGCTCAGATCCAGTACATGACCAAATCACCCAACACTCATGGGAAAACTTTGTCTATCATCATCACCTCATTTAACGAAGGAATTAATGGTAACTATTTAACACATCATATCATCGCTTTAACTTAGTTAGTTATCACTGACTGACTGACTGAGTTTGGTTTTACGCCGCTTTTAGCAATATTCCAGCAACATCACGGCGGAGGACACCAGAAAAGTTTGGTATTACTAAGTATTACTTCTAAAAAAACAGGGGCCGTGGGGTAGCCTAGTGGTTAAAGCGTTGGCTCGTCACGCCGAAGACCCGGGTTCGAATCCCCACATGGGTACATTGTGTGAAGCCCATTTCTGGTGTCCCCCGCCGTGATGTTGCTGGAATATTGCTAAAAGCGGCGTAAAACTAAACTCAGTCAGTCAGTCTAAAAAAAAATACGAGTAATGGGTTAGTACTCCAGACTTTGTTGCTTCCAGAGTGAGTGAGTGAGTGGTGAGTGAACATAGTTTTACACAATATACCAGCAATACCATGGCTATGAAGACCAAAAATGACTGGAATCGAACCCGAGCAAACGCTTTAACCACTGGGCTATCGCGGGCCCAATGACAACAGTAAACAAATATCCCATGTAGATGCTGGTTAGAACTGATCTTTGCCCATGCTTGTCTTTAGAGGCGACTAACGGGATCAGGCCACCATGTTTGTCCTTCACCTTCAATAGACTCGCACCAACGACGAGCTACTCTATTTAGGAAATAAAGTTCGCTCTACCCCAATGTGTTTTGTAATTAAGTATAGTTTTGCCCTTAACTATCATAATTAAAGCACGAGGACGAACTTTATTTCCTAAATATCGCGCCACGAAATAAAAATAATACCGGTATTTTATTTTTAACCAATCAGAGAGTAGCTCGTCGTTGGTGCGAGTCTATTGAAGGTGAAGGACAAACATGGTGGCCTCGATCACTCGATACCGCTAATTTTCCAATAAAGTCGTGTATGGCAGGTAAAATCAGTAACTCATTTCATTTGAGATGTTGTAATGCGAAAGCGGAATATCTAGCGATTACGAAAAGGTTATGTCTTTTCGCCGATTGCGTGTTTTCCATTGAAATACTTAGTATTTCTTCGCCGAGAGGCGATGATTTTCGTAGGCATACAAATAGGCGTACAAATGAAAAAGTTGTCTTTTCCCGAGTTCCAAGCAAAGTTACTCGGTCAATAGTGCACCGATTTTGATAATTTTGGATTTAATCGAAAGGGAATTCATCTGGCTTTATTTCAGTAAGAATCCCGGCTGTGTATTTCACAATTTCCCACCAGATTTCGCCCATTTACGAGAGGGGGGTGTCTGACAAGTTTGTGTGCGTTACATCCCTTTCCTTCTTTATATGTATATGGATATCAGTGTACGCTTGTACAATACAAGCCCCTGTGTTCGTATATACATGCATGTTTCAAATATTTTGATGTTTTTACAGGAAAATGTGCTACAATTGAATACCAATGCGCCAACAAACTGTGCATATCCAAAGACTTGGTGTGCAATGGGTTCAACGAGTGTTCGGATAACTCCGACGAGTTAGACTGCGGCCCAGATGATACTCCCCCAGGAGAAAACACTGGACTCATTGTGGGCGTGACATTCGCTTGTCTGATAGTCGCCGGCGTGGCGGCAGTGTGTCTCTTAATACGATTTAAGCGGAAGCGCGGTTACGACAGCATTGGAATAAACACTTAAAATGATGCTGATGTTGCAGTTGTTGCAACGGAATGGATGCAACATTTTGTCAGATTGTCGATTTCTTCCAGCATTTACCAGTATGACTGAATGACGGTTTATGTGTGACTCTTTGAGTGCAATATTTTTATTAAAGGAATCAACTGTGCTACTTTTGATTCAGTCAATATACCAAAATACCAGACATGTCAACTTGGTTTGAGGGTGATTATTTTTCTGTCAGATTCAATAAAATAAATTAACAGAAAAACCACATCTCTCGGAGTAGTGTTGTAAATCCTACCAAATTTAAACTCTGAAGTGAAATTGGTCCGCTGGCAGTTTATGGTTTGTTTGTTGTTTACGCCGCACTCAGCAATATTCCAGCTATATGGCGGCTGTCTGTAAATAATCGAGTCTGGACCAGACAATCCAGTGACCAAAAACATGATCATCGACCTACACAATTGGGATACGATGACATTTGTCAACCAAGTCAGCGAGCCTGACCACCCGATCCCGTTAGTCGCCTCTTACGACAAGTATGGGTTACTGAAGACTAATTCTAACCCGGATATTCACGGGTATCCGCTGACATTAACGAATCCGCTGTGCATGTCCCGCTGTGCATTTTTGTGCATGTCCACGCTTTTAAAATGTGTTTGAAACCAGACTGTGGCAAGTTATGTGAACCAGAACAATCAACGAACAACAGCAACGTATTTCAGTGACAAAAACGAATTTGACATAAACTATATTCTGTAATTCACCCGTTCTGTTCTATATCGTATGGTGGGCCACAGAGTTCTGACTTGGATCTCTTGATCTCCATGACGTCATATTAGTTCCTTGCGCCGTGTGACCAACGTTCCAAGGGTCGCTAATATTTGTTTCCAATAACGTCATCGGTGCTGCGCTCGATGGTGTCATTAACCCCGATTGAAATAAGATCAGTATCATGGTGTACATTTCGGTTTGAGTATATTGATAAGTTACGCGGTAAAATGGACTTGTAAAAACCTAAGAAAACAAGATTGCTCTCCAATAACACCATGTGACACAGTGGTGACTGCAATTTGGAAACATTTACCATCTGAACAAGTCCCAGGATTCAAACAGACGAATACAATAGACCTTAAGACATCAGGCACAACTGGTTTCAGTTCACACCATAGACACATAACATGATTTCATTTTATATCTTAATGTCAGTGAATTCAACAGTTCCTGTTTACTATTTTTTTATAGTTATAATGAAAGTGTCTGGCAGAATATCCAGGAAAAATAGGCTGTTGTGTCCTGCAAGTCTGTAGGAAGGAAATATGTTTCTTCTCCCGAGAATGGCCTTGAGTAGGAATTCCACAAACTCTGTGAATAAATTTTACATTGAATTAGAGACATTTTGTAACACAATATCAGTATATTTTGTTTTGGCAACCATAATAATAATTTTCTTTGAAATCTGCACTAAAAAAGTAAGTACTTTTGTCTTAACAAACGCTGAGAGGGAAAATAGATATGATGATTAAAAACCAGTGTCTTTGCAAACAAGACTTAGTGTTGACTCATTAGTTTGGGAAAAACATGCAGTAATAGGAACAGTGTGTGTTTTTTCAAACTGGAGTGCACCAGTTCAACAAAAGATTATTGATTGTCTGAATTATATTTACCATGTGTTGGTTTCTTGTTCACTGGCTTGGCCTCTTGGTTTAGGACTAGGGGTGGCTGATTGCCCAGGTGGGTTCTCCAGTCCTGGTCACTTCTAGGGTTGTTTTCATTGATGTGAAATGCTGCCATGTACATCCTAAAAATAGCATTAAAGTAGCATTTTTACATTTGCCCAAAACAAAACCCACAAAGAAATACATTATCGGAATGAACATATTTCCCTGATTTCCCATTTTTGAAAGTGGGTTAAAAGTTACCTATATATACAGCTGCCATGATGTTTTTACAAGGGGTCCATAGATACCTAAGTTTTATGCCAGTGCAGAGCAGTCATTTTCATTCTATTTATTGTACATTGCCTTACAGAGAGAAAGAGTGAGATTCAACATTTTAATCATGCCCAAACACACGCGCACACACACACAATTCACATACCATTTTAACATAGTAGTGGACCAATCCCTGGTGGATAATTATCTGATATGACTTATTGTTTATTATGTTTTAATAATTATATGCTCTCTCTCACCACCGCACTCATATGTTGCAAGTTCTCATTTGTCCATGCCCACCCCCATCCCAATCCCTCCACACACACTCACACCACAAAACACCCAACATTCCGTCTCGGGAAATAGATGACTTGGCCCTACTGGGTAACAGTAACAGTGGCTGTGAAAATATATCTCTGATCGAAAATAGGACATGAGCGCAAATTATGACGTACTTTTCCATCAACTATTTCTTTATATAGCTAGCTACTGGAGTGTTTATGTTGCTCCAAAACAACTAAATCTTAAAACTCACCTGCAACCAACGTCGCGTCCGGAATGCAACTCTCTCGGTCTCAGTCCCAAGTTAACATTTCGGCCTCCGTGTTTGTTTGGAATGTCGAAAGGAATGCCGGATATATAGCATCCTTATAAAGTTCAAGCTTTGCCTATTCGTATCCATATTTCGCCAGAGGTTAGGTTTCTTTCATAGCACTTCTTTGACAAGTGTAACGAACACAGATGACCATGCGTGGAGGGGTTCACGAAATCCGCACGACGACAGTAAACAATCTCTGCCCTTCCTCTTGTCAAATAGAATTTCTCAGGAAATGTACATCCGTGTTGTTTACGCATTTGGATAATCATCAAAACTCAAAGTGCAGTTGTCAGTTTCCAATACATAATCACAACAACGCTTCATTCAAAATATTGCGCTTCGTGTCACTTTCAACTCGATGGCGAATACACTACTGAAATCACAGGCCCCCACTGCGGGTCAGAAAATCGATAAACTAGGCCCCGGTTTAGTATCAACACCCCCTACTATATAATACATAAAGGTTCATCACAGAAATACGGTGACATGATCGAAAACCGGAAAATTACGCACACGTCAATGACTATATCGTATTTAAAGGTCTCACAAGTATCAAAAGCTTTTGTCCATATCTCCGATAGATGTATGAGGCATATACATGGGCTTTCCGTGGGGATGCATTTGATGGTTTTTATTAAATTGCCAAAGACCGAGTTGCTGTGCCGGAGGTGTACAAAACTAGGTCGTCAGCGCTTGACTTCACTACCTCCGGCGATCTGATTGGCTAACACATTACACTGAATGAATGTGTTTCTTTAAAAAATATTTGTACTCGTTTTTAAAATTATTCTTACCAAGATAAAACATCAGATAGTGACATCTTGGATGATAGACGTTTGGGTTTCCCTCTCATTTTCCCAAGTGCATTTGTTGTCATTTTATTAACCAATTTGATTGCGCTGACGACCTAGTTTAGTACACTTCCGGCACAGCAACTCGGTCTTTGGCGATTTAATAAAAAACATCAAATGCATCCCCACGGAAAGCCCATGTATATGCCTCATACATCTATCGGAGATATGGACAAAAGCTTTTCATTTCATTTACAATGCATATGCTTGTTTTGATTAAACGTTTGTAGATACCATATAATTTCGTTGTCGAATTTAATTTTAAGGATTGACTGAGGGGGTTGTTTTCTGTTCATTGAGGTATCAATCGCAATATCGATCTAGAAACTGTATAAATCAATCATGATACTAAACAATGAACAATGTGAGTTAGTGATTTTTTACGCCGCAGTGGGCAATAGACCCACAATATGGCAGGGACACAGTAAAGGGTTCCACACAGTGTAAATGAAATCACAGAATTCGAACCCGGATCTTGGGTGCGTCAAATCAACACTTTACCATTAGGCTACGACCCGCCGGGAACTAATGATAGTTTACTATTGGTGCATATTTATAAATTTTCAAAACGACTCGTCACGCCGAAAATGGATGGTTCGAAGATGCGGTATAGGTACAATGTTTGAGATGCCATTATGTCCGGTGTTCCCCGCACAGTGATTTTACTGGAATATTGCTAAAAGCGGCGATAAAACCAACTCGATCAGTCAGTATAAAGACTTTGGCTCTGCTATTCCAAGTCCAGTTCTATGATGCGGTAGAGATATAATGATTCGACTTGCAATCTTTGGATCTACGTGACGTCGTGAAAATGGTGTGCACTGGTAGGAACTTTGAGTGGAGTCTTTGCTGCGACAGGAACTTTGCGATATGTTACAGTGAGTGAGTGGAGTATGGTTCAGCCATTCCAGCAATTTGGAAGCTTCACACACTGTACCCATGACGGGAATCAGACCCGGGTCTTTGACGAGCGAACGCTGTTAGGCAGAGTTACAGAGTCTTTGTGATTTGTCAGAGTCTTTGCATTATGATACAGAGTATTTGCACTGAGATGAATTTTGACAAGACGAAATGGTAATTATAGCTTTACTTTCTGGTATTTTAGGCTATAATTTTCCATATCACCGCATAATGTTATCTTACACAATTGTAATTCACTGGGTCAAGTCAAGACACAGCATAGAAAATGACAATAAAAGAATTTTCCGTTACATCAATTTCTTAATCACAAAGTTTCTTTGACATTAGACGAATTCATGGAAATTGATTTGTTCGGGGGTTTTGCTAATAAAACAGCACATGCTTTATTTTGAAAGGGGATAACCTCTAACTGGGACACTTTGTATTATTTTTGCACTTCTTTAAGGGGTCATTTATCACTATATACTGAATATTTATAAAAAAAATATTAATTTCGTGACAATTAATGGTTTTACTTGATTATCAGTGGCTTTCTGAACAACATATATTTTCTTGTTACAGATGGAAACCTAATGTAAGTAAATATGAATTCAACTCTCTTGTAATATTCATTTTGTAGGTACCTTTACCGTAACTTACCCTTCCCTTGCTGATGCTAAAATCACAAAGACTCTGTGACATATCGCAAAGTTTCCGTCGCAAAAATCACAAAGACTCCACTCTCACTGTAACCAATTTTCCTACCAGTGCTTAGGGCAAGTTGCAGGTTCGCTTCTTTTCTTCCGGAAAGTGGGATAGGTTCATCTGATTAATATTGACAAGGCTGTATAGCCGATTTAGTTCGCAAAGGCACTAGAATCTGTACTTTACTAAGAAATATAACATATGTTAAGATATAGTTCGGTTTTGTACCAACAATGCTCCTTGTTACTTCAAATTTGTATGTAATAGAAGAAATCAGTTTCCTTTCTATGTCTGCTCAATGGGCATTACGACATTTGTCTCTATATTGAGTAACGTCCAGTCTAGGATCTGTCGGAAGACGGTTAGGCCGCCCAATCAAAAACTATTGTCTGTGAAATGAAAAAGTAATATATTTTTCACAGCACATAAATACATTAGAACTTGGCCATTATGGTTAACCAGGATTGGTAATTTCCGATCACTGATATCGTGTAAAATGTTGGAACCATTTTCAGCTCGCTGGGAGACATAAAATAAATTAAGAAGTTCGATTCAAGCATTTATCCATGTGTTATGATGTGTTTTGTTAAGTAAAACGTCACATTGATTGACTTTTAGATGTTATGGGTCACAAAAGTTTAAAGCGCTGAATATGGATTTGAACTCACACCTTGAACTTAGGCTATGAATTTTCACCTGTTGAGGGGTGGGATGGGGAGTTGCCTCCCCTTTGTCTTGCTTCCGGTCTTCGATAGGATGCTGTGAGTAATTTCTAGACGGTCGTAGTGTGGCGTGTTGTTTGCTAGAAAAATCCAGAACTGCATCATAGGTATATATGTTGAGATTATAGGGGGCGACTTGGGATTTAAGCTCATCTGACTGCTAACATCGATGTTTCACGAGGACTCGTCTACATTGAACTTTCAACAGCTGTCAACAATCTTCAATCAGTACATCTGATTTTACTGGGAATATTAATATACTCTCCCCAAAAACGCATCATGAAATAGCAATTTCATATAGCAATGAATTAAAACGTGATTCATTTTACAAAAGGTTTTGCTCTGTTTATGAGTCCTATGGTGTTTATGTTTTGAAACATCACAACAAAACGCACCATCCGTAAAATACCCGTATTTAGCAGCATAATTTTCAATTTCGGCGTGTAGTGTCACAGAATACACAATTCACATGCAATGCACGTGAAAGTTGGGGATCAGATAGTCTCAATGATGGGTATAAAGGTTGATCGCTGTCTGTCGATTATTCACTGTATTAGGAATATTGTTGACGAACGCAAAATGCCACGTCTAAGTGAAGCCAACCGTCATATCGCCATTGGTTTGCTTGAAGCTGGACAGTCTCAAAGTGCAGTTGCCCGACGCATGAATGTTCACCAAAGCACCATTTCACGGCTCTGGGAGAGATATCGCCGGCAGAATGCGGAGCAGATGCCCCTCGTAGTGGGCGACCTCGAGAGCGACCACTGCGGCGCAGGATCGCTACATCCGGGTACATCACCTGCGTCATCGAACAGCTATGGCGACCAGTACTGCTCGACAAATACCCGGATTGAGGAGGCTTTCTGCACAGACTGTCAGGAACATGTTGAGAGAGGCTGGTTTACGTGCCAGAAGACCTTATTTTGGCCCTCTGCTTCGACAACAACATATATTTTCTTGTTACAGATGGAAACCTAATGTAAGTAAATATGAATTCAACTCTCTTGTAATATTCATTTTGTAGGTACCTTTACCGTAACTTACCCTTCCCTTGCTGATGCTAAAATCACAAAGACTCTGTGACATATCGCAAAGTTTCCGTCGCAAAAATCACAAAGACTCCACTCTCACTGTAACCAATTTTCCTACCAGTGCTTAGGGCAAGTTGCAGGTTCGCTTCTTTTCTTCCGGAAAGTGGGATAGGTTCATCTGATTAATATTGACAAGGCTGTATAGCCGATTTAGTTCGCAAAGGCACTAGAATCTGTACTTTACTAAGAAATATAACATATGTTAAGATATAGTTCGGTTTTGTACCAACAATGCTCCTTCTTACTTCGAATTTGTATGTATTAGAAGAAATCAGTTTCCTTTCTTTGTCTGCTTAATGGGCATTACGACATTTGTCTCTATATTGAGTAACGTCCAGTCTAGGATCTGTGGGAATAATAATCTTTATTTGCACTGAAAAGGCCACAGGCCTATAGTTCATAAAGTTATGTTACATTTGAGAGGAATTTAGATCGGGTAATCATAGCATAGTAAATGAACATTGAAATATTTTGTAGAAGAACTGGACTTTTACTACTTAACAGTGAGGAGAATTTTATCACATTTGGATGAACATAGTAATATCTTTTAATATATTTTTTTCGCAACTGGTCATAAAATGGACATATTAGGAGAAAATGTAATTCATCTTCTATTTCGTTAAAATTACAAAGTGTACATATTCTATTTTCTCTTTTTACATTCAGATATCTGCCTCTTTCAATCAACAAATCATGAGAAGAGCATCTGAATCGTGCCAGTGCTATTCTAAACTTTTTAACATTAACACAGGATAGATAGGACTCAAGAACTATGGCATTTTTAAACAATGAATAATACATGCATTTATTTGATAAGGATATCCTTTCACACCCTGTTTGAATATACATATCTTTTAGTCTTGTCGTTAAGGATTGTATGAATAATGTAGGTGATTCGACATATTGTGTATTCCATGTAATTCCAAAACCAGTAGAATATAAAAAGTTTTTTACATTGGTTGCCCAGTTTTTTTGTCCACCTTTATCATATAACATCATCATATTATAACACTTCTTGGATAAGCGATTTGAAGGCATAATCAACAGTTTTAGCCAGTACTTGATAACTTTAATGCTTGTAAGAATGTGCATTGGGTACCTACCGCATTCACCATAAATCACTGCGTTAATAGTGTTAATTTTAACTCCGAGGAAATTTTTGCATGCGTATAAATGGATTTTTTCAATTTCGTCAAATTTTGTTATTCCCCAAATTTCGGCCCCATATGATAAAATTGGACTGACTTTGGCATCAAATATTTTAAAGAATGAAGAGTAGTTAATATTACCAAGTACACTCAACTGTTTCATAATTCCAATTAATGCTTTTTGTCCATGTAACGCTGCATATTTTACATGCCTCGTCCATGACAGTCCACTGGTGAAATATAGTCCCAAATATTTATAAAAGCCAATACACTCCAGCTTCATACCTTTATATAACCAGTTTTCCTTTTTTGACAATTTGCCTCCATTTTTTAATACAACAATTTTCGTTTTTCTCTATTTACAGTTAATTTCCATTTATCGCAGTAACTTTCAAGTTCATTCATTTGATTCTGTAAGCCATTAATAGTGCTTGAGAACAAAACAATGTCATCTGCAAATAGCAATAGGAAAATATGAACTATATAAGGGTGGAGTTGAATCCCGTGTACACAATTAGTTTCGACTTGTCGTGCTAACTCATTTATAAAAAAAGGAAAATAGAAATGGGCTTAGTATACAGCCTTGTCTCACACCAAGTTGCAAGTCGAATATTTCTGAATAATTATGATTACTTTTAATACAAGCCTTAACATTTTCATACATATTGCGACCCGTGAAGATCCGGGGTAGAATAGGTCTTCAGCAACCCGTGTGATTGCCATAAAAGGCAACTATGCTTGTCGTAAAAGGCGACTAACGGGATCGGGTGGTCAGGCTCGCTGACTTGGTTGACACATGTCATCGGTTCCCAATTGCGCAGATCGATGCTCATGCTGTTGATCACTGGATTGTCTGGTCCAGACTCGATTATTTACAGACCGCCGCCATATAGCTGGAATATTGCTGAGTGCGGCGTAAAACTAAACTCACTCACTCATACATATTGCATAAAAGTTTACACATTTTACCACTGAGACCTCGGGTATTAGATATAAGCCAAAGTTTTTTTCGTTGTATTGAATCGAAAGCTTTTGAAAAATCTACAAATAATAGAGTTTAAATACCTTTGAATAATACTTTGTAGTATAAACATATAATCTACTGTCGTATATCCCTGTCTGAAGCCAGCTTGCGCTTCGCTGATATTATCCATTGAGTCTCCCCAGTTTACAAGTCTTTTATTTATTATAGAGGTGAAAATTTTACTCAATATGCTCAACAGTGTTATGTAATTATTTGGATTATTTATATCACCTTGTTTATGGATAGGAACTATTATGCCAATTGCCCAACATCTGGGGAACGTACCAGTTTCTAATATCAAATTAAAAAGCAATTCTAAATACGGGACGATAAGATCTGCTGAGTATTTAAAAAATTCAGACATTGTTTTATCAATTCCTAGTGATTTATTACATTTCAATTGGTTAATGCTATCTAAGATTTCATCTCTAGTAATTGGGGAATCAAGTGTTACCTTGGTAAGCTCTGAATTCGGATCTGATGGGTTTTCATTCTCGAAATTATCACATGTTACATCGTCATTTTCTTTGTGAAAAGAGTTAAACAGTGTCCGAAAGTGTTCTAGCCAATCATTCATTTCGATGTTGTTTTGAGCTTCATGTCTAGTATTCAGGTGTTTGAGTTCATACCAAAATTTCTTTGAATCAGATATACTGTTTTCTATTACTCTCTGCTTCTCTTTATTAATTAAGGCGTTTTTCCTTACAAATTGAGTTATATTTATTTCTTTTAGCGCAATATTGATCGTATGATTCTTTATCTTTCGATTTCCTAAACTTATTCAGAGCTCTACATCGGTCTGATTTTAATCTTTCACATTCAGAGTCAAACCATTTATTAGTTGTTGTTGTGGGAGGGCTAACTGTTTTCTTCATGCAAGAGGCGGCCAGACAGAGTGCCTTGGTCATATAGCTTATACCATAATCAATATTAACGAAAGCACAGTCAATCGATTTATCTAGTAATTCTTGTACGTTATCTGACCAAATATTTTCTCTAAACTGTTCTAATTTATCTTTATCCCGAATGAACTTAAACGACTTATTCCTACATTTGGTAGAAGTGTTGGATTGCTCAAGTTGTTTTAATGTAATGGGAAGATGATCAGATTCAGTTCTCGTTTGTATGCTAAAATCTAGATTTGAACTCACACCTTGAACTTCATTCTCTACCCACAGAGGTTACTCTTGTCATATCTTCCTACGTAACCTCTGTTCTAATACGGCCCTTTCATGGTGTGAGCGTTCAAGACTCGTGATTGGAGGCAATCGGATTTAGTTGTGCAATTAGCGACGTTGTTTCAAAAGTGATCAGTCGCAAGGCCTCGGTAATTTCCGTATACTTCGAGAAAACTAAACCTCTTCCCCTGCGCGATGCGCAGACGTTTCTTCTAGACAGAACTCAGTCATGTTATGGCGGATCAGTGGCGTCTCCATCGCCCTCGTTGACAACGGACAAGCTAGCCATTAAACGTCTTGTGTGTAACATCAACACAAGTCCCCGGCAGATGAGGGATATTTGTGGCCTCACATTTGCTTGTGTTAGTCAAGTTGAATCTCAGTCGATGTAACACGTGTTCTGATTGGAAATATGGCCGTATTAGAACAGAGGTTCGTAGGAAGATATGACAAGTAACCTCTGTGGGAAGAGAATGCTTGAACTTAGGCTATGAATTTTCATCTGTTGAGAGTGGGCTGGGGAGTTGCCTCCCCTTTGTTTTGGTTCCGGTCTTCGATAGGATGCTGTGAGTAATTTCTAGAAGGTCGTAGTGTGGTGTGTTGTTTGCTAGAAAAATCCAGAACTGTATCATAGGTATATAAGGGATGGTTGTTGAGATTATAGGGGGGCGACTTGGGATTTATGATCATCTGACTGCTAACATTGACGTTTCACGAGGACTCGTCTACATTGAACTTTCAACAGCTGTCAACAATCTTCAATCAGTACATTTGTTTTTACTGGGAATATTAATACTTTGGTGAATTAATATTTTAGATTTGTGACCGAATTGTACTGTATTGTATTAGAAATCTGTACTATCATTCATTATAACCTTGTTTATCTTCGATATATAATTGAATATTATAGACTCGACTGTGTTTTATTTTGCTGGTATAAAGGGGACTCAAAAGCCTTTTATCACAGCAATTTCTAAACCGTAACACATAGCAAAAATGGGTTTCCTCTTTCTGCTTAACACTGCAATAAATTATACACCTAAAATATCAAATGGTTCACGTCAGCTGGGTAGCGCTTCTTGTCAGACAACGCAGTACGTGTTTGGGCTGTTTTCCCTACCCCCTGTATCCCACCGAAGACGCCTTCGTTTTCAATGACGGGTATACAAATACACCAAATGTGACTGGGTACATTCATTGACATTACCGTACTGACATTTAATAGACCATTCACAAATTTGAGCAATTGAAGTCAAATGACACTGTTTGAATGATAGCTGTGCTCTCCAAGCTACTAACGGGTACCCGGCAGGATAAAATTAAAATAGTGATAGAAGCACATAATACACAACTTTGATTATATGATCCCCACCCAGATAGCTGATAAAACAAATGTAAACATAGAACTGTAAAATAAATGTATGTGGTGAAAGGTGAGTACCATCCGAAAGAGGCTCTCGTTATGGAGAGCGAAAATACACACAGCGGAGGAGTGAGTGATCGAGTTTCATCTTTTCACGATATTTGAACCGTATTTCAGTTATGTGACCCTGTTGTCACGATTCCTTGTGGACGCACGCACACATACACCCACATACAATAATATCAGTGAAGATCCGGGTTAGAATTGATCTTCAGCAACCCATGCTTATCGCAAGACGCGACTAACGGGATCGGGTGGTCAGGCTCGCTGACTTGGTTGACACATGTCATCATATCCTCGCTATTCATGATGTTGATCACTGGATTGTCTGGTCCAGACTCGGTTATTTAAAGACGGCCATCATATAACTGGAACAATGAGGCGTTCAACAACAAACATATACACATATACAACTACTGATTGATAACAAATGACATGAACACAGTCACGTGGTATCAGAGATCCATCCCTCGTATCTGAAACCGCTGGTGTTATCCACAGCCTGTATTCAAGATGGCGTCATGTGAGATCGTCCTCCTGCTCGTCGCACTTGTTTCTTCAGGGTCCGTGTGGGGAACTGAAACACCAAAGAAATGTAAGTAATGCTGTGTCTACTCCCCTCCCCTCCCCACCCCAACCCCACAAACACCTCACACCCCCAACCCCTCTCCAATTAAAAAAAACCAGTAGATGAAGAAAGATCAAGGTGAGTGTGGTGGAATGACTCATAAGTGTGCCAGGAGAGCTCTTTTCTATCACACCTGGGCATGAATTTCAACATCAGGTGACAATGGATATGAGATAACATTTTTTTCATGTCAGAATGAAAATTCAAGGTGTGTGGGGTTTGGTAGGGGGTGTCAAACTGGGCCTTGGTACATTATCTTACATACTGATAAATATCTTTCTCATCCTATATGACACAGAATCTATTGCATCCTGTGTGTCTCACGTATTGCAAAACACCCACTCCAGCCAGTAGGAACGTTATGCAACAGTTGATCGATAAATTGGTTTACTGAACGTATTGCAAAACACCCACTCCAGCCAGTAGGAACGTTATGCAACGGTTGATCGATAAATTGGTTTACTGAACGTATTGCAAAACACCCACTCCAGCCAGTAGGAACGTTATGCAACAGTTGATCGATAAATTGGTTTACTGAACGTATTGCAAAACACCCACTCCAGCCAATAGGAACTTTATGCAACAGTTGATCGATAAATTGGTTTACTGAACGTATTGCAAAACACCCACTCCAGCCAATAGGAACGTTATGCAACAGTTGATCGATAAATTGGTTTACTGAACGTATTATGGAACGTTATGCGACAGTTGATCGATAAATTGGTTTACTGAACGTATTGAAATGATTTCACTCTGGCTGAAATATATTTGATCGTGCTAACAAGTGTGTCGAGTTGGAACATTGCATTAATTATATTATGCAGGACGTTTTCATTAAATCTATTGTGTATTTGCCATCCACAAACAGGTATTATCTACAATCAAACACTGTTGCGTCGACCTTCGAAGTAAAACCAGGTCCCTGTGTCGAATCCCGGATATCCCGAAGTATTTACGTGGATCCGTCGAACTTCAAAGCAATTTTGTTTTTCTGTATATGTTTCAGATGTCTTCGAGGAAAACTGTGATGCAAACATCTTTTTTACCGACAGCATGTTGGTTGTGTCCAACCTGTCGACACTGCAGAAATGCCACTTCATCGTTCAGAGCACCATCGTCAACAACATGCTCCTCATTGACATCACCGAATTAAACCTTGTCGACAACTGCAGCACCACCAACCTGGACATCTTAGATGCATTTGGAGACAGTATAACAGGTATCATCGAAAGTACTAGTAAAGACAAGTGTTTATGCACGATCAGCTTCTTTATTGTGGTATAGATACTTTTACTGTTTTGAAGCATGAGATGGTGATAACTTATTACTTCTAGAATGCCTCTCAAACAGTTCGACCGCCTCCGTGGTGTAGTGGTTAGAGCGTCCGCGAGGAAGGTCGCGGGTTCGGCCCCCGACCAAGTCATACCAAAACACGTTAAAATATGGTACTTGTTGGTCCCTGCCTGGCGCTTGGCATTAATGGGTACAACAAGGACTGGTCGGCTCGGAGTCAGTATAATGTGTCTGAGTGGGGTATTCATGCTTCACTGCGGCATGGTATCTCAGTGGGCTAGCACTATAAAACCAGCTTAAGTCTGGGCTAGTACAAGCAGCCGCACATACACATACACACGCACGCACGTCGTCATATGAGCGAAATATTCTCAAGCACGACGTTAAACCCAATTTCACCTCACCTCACCTCAACAGTTCAATTATGTATTTTTTTAATAAAAGTTACTATATACCGCAAAAGCCACAAAACACATTGTTTTTCTCCGCTTTTTATAGCTATGTATTTGTGACACATGTGACGAATAATGATGACAGTTTACTTTATGATACAGGTCCTATATGCGAGGAGGGAAGCGCCATGGTCTTCAAAGCGCCGACCAGCGTTGCTCAGTTTGATTACACATCTGACTCTCCGGATACTGAGGGAAAATCGCTGTCGATAATTATCACTGCGTTCAACACTGGTTCCGATGGTGGGTGTTTATGTTGTAATTGTCGCACAAGTTCGTTACGGTCTTCTCCCCGCATTTTTCAGAGGCAAGGGGTAATGCTATATAAGTCCGGATTCCACAGAAAGTGGACTTAAGTTGCTAGTTACGTCAAATTCCCGTGGAATCTGGATTTTTATTGACAGTTGAATCTCTTGACTGGGAAAATGGTTGAATGGAATGTGATTCCAGTATTTTAATTCAATGAGTTTTATTCATCTTAAGCCTTTTCATCATGCATTCAAGAGATTCACTTTGTCTGGACCGAGCTAAAACCGGGCCCACTTGCACAAAGCGGCCTTAGCACTGCGATCGCTTTGTGCAAGTAGACCTAGGTCCCATTCCCTTCATGGGGTCCATATGGGTAGTGCAGTCAGACTTGGTGACTTCTTTGTCGCAGCTTCCCAGGTGGCGATGAGGTAGCCTAGTGGTTAAAGCGTTCGGTCATCACGCCGCAAACCTGGGTTCGTTTCCCCACATGGGTACAATGTGTGAAGCCCATTTCCGGTGTCCCCCGCCGTGATATTGCTGGAATATTGCTAAAAGCGGCATAAAACTAAATTCACTCACCCGTCCCAGACATATAATCATCTCATATAAGAACAATCCTTAATTTCAGGCCTGGAGTTGAGGCAATCAAGACTTCCCCATTCATCCTAGATACCTGGACTCCCCTTTTAATGTAACGTGTTATATTTGGGATTACACTTTCTCAGTAAAGTCCAGAACCTTGTTAGGCTGAATCCCATCCGGGATTCGAACCAACACCCTCAGAGTCAGGCACCTAATCGCCAGCACACAAAGTCAGCAGTCTAACCCACTCAGCCACTGCGGCTTAAAATGGAAATCGGACAACTGGTAGTCTAGATAACCGGTAGTCCAGATCACCTTTTTTAATGTGTTCCTGGGGATCTGGGAAACCTGCCGCACATAATCACTGGATTGTCTGGTAGGTGTCCCTATAAAATGACAAGAATAATGATTCACTCACTTACTCATTGTTTGGCCTCTGCTTTTCTTAGTTATTCTACCCGCGCAGCCTTTTAGTTATTAATGCTTTTCCAGTTTCCATGACAACAGTGTAGCTTACATTTCCAGGATCGTGTATCGACACGGAGTTCCAGTGTGATAACAAACTGTGCATCCCAAAGGACTTGGTTTGCAACAACTACAACGAGTGTTCTGATGATTCCGATGAAACAGCTGTTTGTAGCAGAACTGCAGCCTCGACAACACCGTCCACGACATCTAGGTCTTCCTCGACGTCTGCCTCTACTTCGAAATCGGCGTCTTCTTCGAAATCGGCTTCTACTTCGAAATCTACTTCGAAATCGGCTTCTACTTCGAAATCTACTTCGAAATCTGCTTCTACTTCGAAATCTGCTTCTTCCTCGAAATCTGCTTCTTCCTCGACATCGCCTTCATCTAACCAGTCCCCACCGATGCCGACACCAACGTCAGCATCTCCACCAGTGACGTCCCCACAGTTGTGGATTGTGGGCCTAATTGCTGCATTGCTTGTTCTTGTCAAGATGAATTAATACTGAATTTCTGGTTTGGCAAAACCGTTGATAAGATCATATCTCGCTTATGCTTATCAAATGAGAGTTGTGATGTCTTGTCGAATCACTAACCAAAACTAATTGTTGTAAAACATTTGCAACTGATCACAATGGGTTTAGGGTAACTGTTCGTCACATGGTTGGAATGTTGCTAAAACGGCGTAAAACTCTAATCAATAACGGAATACATTCTGATCAAGATGGTGATGAGAATCATTTAATCTCGGAGTGAGTGAGTATGGTTTTACGCCGCTTTTAGCAATATTCCAGGAATATCGCGGGGACACCAAAAGTGGGCTTCACACATTGTACCCATGTGGAGAATCGAACCCGGGTCTTTGGCATGACGAGCGAACGCTTTAACCACTAGGCTACCCCACCAACCCTGTACTATCGGAAGAATGACAATATTCGTGTAATATTCATGATCGAGGCTGCTATTATTACATTCGCTGTGATACCTTGTTATTCCAGATCGGTATAAGATTAGTGAGTGAGAAAGTTCAATTTTACGCTGCTTTTAGCAATATTCCAGCAATATCACGGCAGGGGACAACAGAAATCAGCTTCACACATTGTACCCATATGGGAAATCGAACCCGGGTCTTCAGCATGACGGGCGAACGCTTTAAACACGAGGCTACCCGACCGCCCCGGTATAGGTTTAACGATAATGGGTTAAATGAAAGATGCATTGGGAGGAATGTATTATGACTGACCCGGCGATGTTCTCGCTGAATGCGTCTGGATTTACGCTCGAACGGAGTGTCTTGCACCATAGGCGTCCGACTCTGATATATTTATAAGCATGACCTATATATATAAGATATAAGAAAGGTGTGTCAGTAAATCGAAACAAAATGGCGGCAGGGCCTGGGTCGGCTCGGTTTCGTTCTGACAAACGCTTCCATCGCTTTGACCGTTGAATAAACTGCACAAGTTATACTCAGTTGACCTCTGTAAAGTACCTTGCGTGATGATTTTATTCCCATTTAAAGCTATCAATAGTTTTGCCGTCCATTCTCGGACGAAGTAAGGACATATGCCCGGAAGTAAACAAATCTCAGGCTACAGACCCGCACCGAATAGTAGAGCGAGTCTCTGATTGGACAGCGTCTTTTATTATTCCCACCTCTTTTAACGTGCAACTATATTATCCAATTAGAGACTCGTTTCGATTTACTGACACACCTTTCTTATATCTTATATATATATAGGTCATGCTTAGAAATATATCAGAGTCGGGCGCCTATGTCTTGCACAGTGTACCCTCTCCCGGCTCTGATGTTTCGATTGTCTCTTATAAGAGAACTGTTAGTTTATGAAGATGGCAATGATTATCATTATAACTATTTTGAATAAAATTTCCAGTCATCTGTTTACAGATTTGGTAGTTTTCATTTGCGATATATACAATACACGATTACTCACAAGCTGACCAATGTGTTGGATTAGTGCGCATGTCACTTTGCGCATCCTACTAGTTCTACAACTAGTTTCAATCGCATCAGTTAATATCCCGACGGTTTTGATTCTCATTTGAAACGATACCCCTCCGCGTGAACATCTTAGGACAACTCCATGGAACATCAATCAGGGTACTGTCAGAACCATCGGCCAACTATGACTTAAAATGTATAAAATGCAAATCACACCTGAGAACAAATTGGCACTCAAATAGTCGGTACCCATGGAGAACACCGGTTAGAACTTGTCTTCAGCAACCCATGAATGCGTGTCGTAAAATCCGAGCAACAAGATCGGATGATCAGATTCACTGACATCGTATTCCCAATTGCTGACATCTATGCTCATGATGTCAATCACTGGATTGTATGGCCCAGAAATGACTATTTACAGACAGCCGTCGTCGTCTGTGAGTGAGTGAGTATGGCTTTACGCAACTCTTAGCAATATTCCAGCAATATCACAGCAGGGGACATGATCGGTGTTGATTATGTTTATGCAAAAGTATGTACAATGTGAATGACCTCCCCTAAAACTTACGTACAAAGTAAGTGACCCCTCCTTGCATATCATGTACAAAATGTTACAGGTCATTGGCTCCCTCCCTCTGCAAGCAGTCTGCGTTCTGCTGTTTATTTTGTTGACAGTTACATAGACAGATTCTTTAATACAAATGCATAAAATCGGTGATTTACAATGTGATTAGGTTGTCTGACAAAACATCCACTTGCACAGTTTGAGATCGATTGGGTCGTTGGATGAAGAGATATTTACAAAAAACCGGGTCCACATGCATTTCATGCCAAACTACCTCATCGCCACCTGGGAAATAATGTGAGCTGCGACAAAGAAGTCACCAAGTCTGACTGCACTACCCATATGGGTACAACTTGTGAAGCCCATTTCTGGTGTCCCCCGCCGTGATATTGCTGGAATATTGCTAAAAACGGCGTAAAACCAAACTCAGTCAGTCAGTCAGCCATGTGGGAGGAAGCCCGAAGTTCGGACGGAACTCCGCTGAGCGAATCGAGAGGACAACCGATTTCCTGTTTCGTTATGACCAAAGTGGGCTACCATAGTTGTTGATTATGTACTCATCCCGACCAGACAACATATATCTATTCGGTGAGACGATAACACTGTGCCAACTGATATGACATCACAGGTTCGCTCATCACGTTATCATTACTCCTGTCTGTTCACATTGATAAATTATTTAACATATTTAAAGAGAGAGAGAGATAGAATAGAATTTGTCAGTCATTTCATGGCTCGCCACGCCGAAGATCCGGGTTCTATTCCCCACATGGGTACAATGTGTGAAACCAATTTCTGATATTACTAAAAGCGGCATAAAACTTAACTCACTCACTACCGTAAAGTAACAGACCGAGCAGAGTTGTGTCCCTTTAGCGTGTAAGAATCCTATGAGAGTTCGAAACCAAGATTCACTGATTTGTAAGCATTATACCTGTAGGCTCTGTAAACAATTAATATCAAGGTCTGATTCCTATCACATCAAGTTGATGCGAACTATGAACTGAAATAATGGCCAAAATCATGAGCATCGATCTACGTTGACATGTGTCAACGAAGTCAGCAAGCGACCACCCGATCCCGTTCTATTTTTATCAGTAACCGTGCTGGTGGGTTTCACTCAAGCGGTAAACGGCCAAGACCTGCACCACACCGGGATTACCTCCAAAGTTAAGCAGATCAGCAGACAAATCGTGATCTATCCGTTTCCGAAAACTCGGTTACGTCCCTTTGTTACCAACCCAACGCACTCACTCACCCTAAGTGCAAAGGCGGGGGGTATCTTTGTTATCACACTGCTTCATGTGGAGATATCCCAGTATATCATACAGATAATGTATTTAGGTTGTCCTATCTACAATTAGTCAAGGCATGCGTCACTCCAACAATAGGTAACATGTCTGTCTATACTTTAATGTTTCTGTTTCTGAATATGTCAACGTGGGGCATCAGCGATGCCAAGACGCCAGAGACATGTAAGTAAACACTGTGAAGACACTCATGATGTCTCTTACTTCAATAGCCCCCTGGCCCTGATACTCACTGCAACCTGGTCGAGTGAGTGAGTGAGAGAGTTTAGTTTTACGCCGCACTCAGCAATATTCCAGCTATATGACGGCGGTCTGGACCAGACAATCCAGTGATCAACAACATGAGCATCGATCTACGCAATTAGGAACCGATGACATGTGTCAACCAAGTCAGCGAGCCTGACCAACCGATCCCGTTAGTCGCCTCTTACGACAAGCATGGGTTACTGAAGGTTCATTCTAACCCGGACCTTCACGGGTAGCAACCTGATCGAACCCGCTGCCTCATGTTGTCCGTAGTGTCGCAAGATGTTATTTGTTTTGTTTGTTTGTTTATTTGTTGTTTAACGCTGCAGCAATATTCCAGCTATATGGCGGCGGTCTGTAAATAATCAAGTCTGGACCAGACAATCCAGTGATCAACAGCAGGAGCATCGATCTACGCAATTGATATACGATGACATGTGTCATACGATGTCAGTGAGTCTGACCACCCGATCCTACGCCTCTTACGACAAGCATGGGTTACTTAAGACCAATTCTCACCCGGATCTTCACGGGTTCGCAAGACACGACCTCCAGGGGTATTACTGCGAAACTATCCATTTTCTCCCTATGAAGGATGAACCCTGTTTGAGATTTACCGAGAAAACGTGATTTTATATTTCCTCAGTGTATGAAATAAGGCCCGTCCGACCGCCCGAGACGGTCTAGATTTCTGACGGACGGTCTAAATTTACAGCTAGCCAGCCCGATAGTCTGGTAAAAAATTTAGATGTTCCATACATCTGAGTAAATTCACCATATTTGGTCTGGTTAAATCCATTTTGGGCTGGTAACATTTCGAAGTTACCAGCCCTGATGTCTTGTTGGATTTTTGGCTTATTTCATACACTGATGTCCTGATTATATTTTCCTGACTATACTTCCGGAGTAGTTACCTGCAGATGAAGTCTATACTTCCGGGTTACGATACATACCCAACATCCTAGGCTAGTGATAAGAAGCGGCATAGTGAGTGAGTTTAGTTATACGCCGCTTTTAGCAATATTCCAGCAATATCATGGCAGGGGACACCAGAAATGGGCTTCACACATTGTACCCATGTGGGGAATCCCAAACCGGGTCTTCGGCGAGACGAGCAAACTCTTTAACCACTAGGCTACCCCATTGCCCCTGGCATAGTGTGGAGGATGGGGAGGTTAAACTTTATCGCGTACCATTCTACTCCTGATAACCAGGCCGCAGTCATGTTGCTGGAACATTGCTCAGTGTGCTGTAATCAACAACCCATTACATGTATACAAGATTGCTGTTGTTTGAATCTCATGGGACCAAATTTCCTTCTCGAGTCATCGTGTGTATTTATGAGACGAATTCGTGTAACCGGTATTCAAATGATGACAACTATAACAGGGAATGGTCGGGACCGACAGGTACTTCGAGTTATGCATAATATTCGAGACACCGACATTCGACTCATCGGGATTTGACTGTATAACAAACATGTTCTGTTTTTATTTTAATGATAAGTTGCAACAAAACCTCTTTCTGGTGTCCCCCGCCGTGATATTGCTGGAATATTGTAGAAAGCGGCGTTAAACTAAACTCACTCACTTACAATAATGCTAGCCTGCGGCTCCATTCAAACAGGATGTTGATTGACAGCCCGCCGTGACCTCCAGAGGCATTATTGCATTCTATCCGCGAAGTATAAAACCGGACCTCACGCTCTTTGCAGTTTCCATGGAGACCAACTGTGACCAAACACTTTCCTTCTCTGACAGTATGATTCTGACTGGCTCCAATCTGTCGTCGTCGTGTAACATGGGCGTGGCGACAGACGGAGATGCCCTGGGCCTCCTCATCAACATCGCATCCTTCAACCTCCCCCCGGAATGCAACACCACGCTGGAGATTGTACATCCACATGGGCCTCGAATATCCGGTAAATTACATCCTGCAATGATGTGTAAACAGGATCCACTATGAAGAGAGTGAGTGTGGTTTTACGCCGTTTTTAGCAATATTCTAGCAATATCACGACTGGGGACACCAGAAATGGTCTTCACACATTGTACCCATGTGGGGAATCGAACCCAGATCTTCAGCGTGACGAACGGAAGCTTTAACCATCAGGCTACCCCACCGCCCCGTCCACTTCGGAGCAGTGACGAGCAGGCTATCATAACCACTGCTACCTTACCATCCCTTTTTCTTGATTTTAAAGGGGGTTGGGGGTGGCCTTGTTGGCAAAGCGCTTGTTTGTCACGTTAAAGACCTGTGTTCTGTTCCCTACATGGGTACAATGCGTGAAGCTCATTTCTGATGTCTCCGCCATGACATTCCTGGATTATTGCTAAAAGCGACGTTAAAACCATATTAACGCACTCACTTAATCTTCCCTGCTTCCTAGTGATAACATCCAAATTTCTGAATTGAGTATTACATTAAGCACTTCCCTCCGATTCGACAACTGTTTCCTTTCAACATTGCTGCATAAATATTTTGTGACGCCCTTGTCCACTTCCAAACTTTCCGTCAAATGAGGCACGTACGTGAACTCATGATCGACACTCGCCGGTCATAAAAATCAAGTCTTTGATGAGTTACAGGTCGTAGGTCGATCAGAAAAGGATCTATTCTTCGATTCTGCAGGGTTCAGATTCGATAGTCAGTCAAGTATTTGTAAACACTGGCTTGTCCGCCATTTCAAACTGTTGCGTAACTGTCTACTTCCAAGAAAATAAGTAGGTCAGACGATTCCATTATAGTGTGGCCAGGTGAGTACAGTAACACGGTCGTGTGGAGTTATGATTATAAAAACCAAGCCCTTAGGTGTTACATTATTGCATTGAATAAACAGTATTTTGTTTTCTTTGGACAGAATATTTTTTTCTGTTGCAATGTTAAATATAATACGAACGGCACAGGTCTACCACTCCCTTCACAGACGAGTTCAATTCGCCTCTCGTCCCATGCCGGATTACGCAGTGTCTTCCGCAGAACGAGGAAGTTCGATTTTAAATCGGTTATGGTAGAATGGAGATAAACATACCGTTGTTGGAAATTAGACGAATGTTAGACCGAATTGATAGTCTCTAAATTTCATTTGAAGCCGAACGCGTAGCGTGAGGTTTGAAATGATTAATTTAGAGACTAACAATTCGGTCTAACATTCATCTAATTTCCAAACACAGTACGTTTATCTCCTAATTTTATAACATTGTATTACAAGTGTTCTGGATTGCGTATATAAAGAGTACTATTTCTCCATCCAACAGGAAAGTTGTGTGGCACCAGATTGTCCACCAAGGTGTTCAACGCCTCCGTGCCTGCCATAAAGCTACAGTACCACTCAGACACTCCGGATACAGATGCTACCTTCAATATCATACTCACATCGCTCAAACGAGGGCCTATCGGTAACTTCATAGTTTACTTCTGTAGTACAATGGTAATAAAAACAAATGACCCCTGAACATCCAGGTTAGAAGTTATCTACCCATGCTTGTGGTAAAATTCGACTAACGGGATCGTGTGGGAAGACTCAGTGACATCGTATCCAAACTGCGTAGATCCATACTATTTACATACCACCGCCATATAGCTGGAATATTGCTGAGAGCGGCGTTAAACAATAAATAGCTGATGTACAAAAGAAAGTGCACACTTGGTGTTTCGGGATTATATTCCAAAACACAAGGAAAATAATTTGAAAAGTGATTCCGTTGTGACTTATAAGTATCAAACATTGTGCACGTATGAAAATAATCCCCAATCACATTTGTACAAGAGCTTTATTCCATGTGACCGGACTAGGTCAAATTAGACTGACAAAATTCAACATGTCAAATTCACAGTTGCACTCTAAAATGATTTAACAAAAATTAGAGATGAATGGAAAAAATCCTACTTTAAACTTAATTGTCCCTAGTCTAGCAAATGTTACACTTAGCAAAGTCGGCTACTCATTAAAACATTTGGCCGTGGGCCAGCAATGCTCTCTTACTCCAATATTGTGTATAGTTTCATGTTTTTGTTGTTGTTTTGTTTTAAGGAAGCTGCTTTGACGACGCCTTCCGGTGCAGCAACAATTTCTGTATAGCCAACACTTTAGTATGCAATGGAGTTGACGAATGCGCTGATAATTCGGACGAAACTCGGGGCTGCGACATTTCACAGTCAGCCCGCCTCTCCTCTATGCCAGTATTCACAGCTGTTGTCACATTACTTGCCTTTATGTCAAGCTCATTTGGAGGGCATCCATGATTTCCTGACCTGTACTGTCATATTTTCGACACATTGGTATTTTTGTTTTTGCTAAATATACAGTGTTGTTCCTTCTCAGTACTGTCTTACACTGTTATGTTTTAAAAGCACGGAAGTTTGCTGTTTTTTACGTTGTACCAGGGGCGGTGGGGTAGCCTAGTGGTTAAAGCGTCCGCTCCTCACGCCGAAGACCCGTGTTCGATTCCCCGCATGGGTACAATGTGTGAAGCCCATTTCTGGTGTCCCCCGCCGTGATGTTGCTGGAATATTGCTAAAAGCGGCGTAAAACAAAACTCAGTCAGTCAGTCAGTCTTACTTAAATAGCCCCCTGGCCCTGATACTCACTGCAACCGCCGTGATATTGCTGGAATATTGCTAAAAGCGGCATAAAGCCATACTACGTTGTACCAATCAATATCGTACTTGTGGTGAGTGGTCCTGCGCATTGAGCCCAAGTCAGAAATCAGTTGAAGTTAAGCAACGTTGGGCACGGAGAGTATTTGGATGGGTGACCGTGTTTGGCAACTTGACTCCTGGGAGTTTCTAGGACTTCACAACGAAGCGCATGTGATACCATCCTCGATAATCTCCAGGGTATACGTTACGATCACTCTCCACTATACCCTGGATGCATCCACGGCTTGGGGCGATGATTTTATTACCTCCCTTTCCTGGCTTTTTATCCAGTCAGTTGAGCGTACCAATCACTCCTCACTTTCGTTTAAACTTGGCAACACAATTGATGCAGAGGTACTCTGAAAGAAGTAGAAGAAGTTCTTTCATATATTCTTTTTAAAGTTTCAGATCTGTGAATTTGTCTTTATTATTTCCCCAAAAATCTGAGTGGCACTGCGAACAAACCTTTGCATCTGCGACCGCAATCTTTGTTGACACTGGCAAACTCGGTTGTAACAGCGGCTTAGCTGATTGGCTACTGTGAGAATGCGGAGCCAGCCAAGGGAGGTAATAAAATCATCGCCCTAAGCCGTGGATGCATCCAGGGTATAGTGTAGAGTGATCGTAACGTATACCCTGGAGATTATCGAGGATGATGTGATACATGTGCTCTCACCTTAGACACGTGAGTTTGTTCAAAATTGCCTCTGTTCACTCAGCAGAAAATGGGTATCCGGCGGGATAAGTCACGTGACAATATATAACCTTCTGGCGCCTCACAGGCAGCTAAGGTAATCTGGTGTAATAATTGTCAGCGCTATGAGCATCCGTTTGGTGTGGATCTAGCGCAATATAAGTGGACTAAGTATTATCATTATTACACCTATACAAATGTGTATATTTAATTCCTAGTGTTTTTTTGCGTTTCACTAATCATTATCACAGTTATATGATAAAGATAAAATATCATATCGCTAACTCGGATGTTTTAACCCCCAATCAAACATAAATACCATAAATCAGCTGAGATGTTTAGTTTCTTTGGCCCATCAGTATATTTGTAAAACATTTAGCAAGTGAGTGATTGGGTGAACCTGGAGTGAGCAAAATGGCGGCGGTCTGTAAACAATCGAGTCTGGACCAGACAATCCAGTGATCAACATCATGAGCACCGATCTACGCAATTGGGATACGATGACATGTGTCAACTAAGTCAGCGAGCCTGTCCACCCGATCCCGTTAGTCGCCTCTTACGACAAGCATGTGTTACTGAAGATCAATTCTAACCCGGATCTTCACGGATCAACAACGGTTCAACAATAGTTGATTAGCATCACATTCATTCCCACACACACCAGCCAGTAAACAGGACATGTTATTTCCGTATGTTGAACATGTATCCTCCTTCGCGATCAGAAATATTTGCGTAATGCCGGATAATATGACAATCATTGGTTTAATGTGAATCTCTTCTGACCTGATATTCCCAAGCAGCAAGGATGGTGTGATCCTCACTGAAACTATAGTCTCTATACCAGTTTTGCTATTTATGAAAATTTACATAGCAGTGAATGAGTATGGTTTTAACCCGCTTTTAGCAATATTCCAGCAATATCACGGCAGTGGACACCAGAAATGGGCTTCACACATTATACCCATGTGAGGAATCGAATCCGGGTGTTCGGCGTGACGAGCGAACGCTTTAACCACTAGGCTACCCCACCGCCCCCCTTATATAACAAGATTATCGAGGATAATATGTATCCATTTTATATAACTTGGTCCTATCCGCTATACCACAGCTTCCATTCTGAAGTGAGTATTGTTTAACGCCGCTTTTAGCAATATTCCAGCAATATCACGACGGGGGACACAGAAATGGGCTTCACATATTGTGCATATTTGGGGAATCGAACCCGGGTTTTCGCAGTGACGAGCCAAACGCTCACACCACTAGGCTATCCCTACGCCACATGCTTAACTATGGCGTGCATGCGTGCGTGTGTGTGTGTGCGTGAATTGGAGTGAGTGAGTATGTTTTTACGCCGCTTTAGCAACTAGGCTATCTCACCGCCCCCGCGTGTATTGGAACGGATCACTATCTGTGTTGATATTGCTATTATTGGTTGCGGACTGTCTATCGCATATTATATACTATGGAAACTGGTTTGTACGTTCGATGTTCAATTACAGGCCCACATGCTGCAGCTTGAAACACCATACAATCAAACAAACAAGTAGTTTTGTATATTGCATCTATATGATTCTGTAAATTACATATGGGATAAAATTATGATAAAAACATCACGGAAGCATCATAGAATTATCCAATACTAACCATAAACCTATAAGACTTATTATAGAATAATCGTTAGATTATCGTACAATAACCGCAGAAGAATATATATTGTCAAAAAATATTCGGCCAAATTAAAAAAAAAGTTAGATATGCTGATCAGGTGATATATGAATCATAGATTTGTCATATGATAATCATAAATTATCTTGAATTAATACAGAATAATCATTAGATAGTCTTAAAATTATCGTAGAAGAATATATAATGTCAGTAAATATTCGGCAAAATTTAGAAATTGTTAAATATGCCGGTCAGGTGAGATATGAATCATAGAATTATCACATGATAATCATAAAATTACCATAGACTTGTTATAGAATAATCATTAGCTTGTCATAAATGTACCCAATAAGAAATGATGATTAGATGACATATGAACCATGCTTGTATGCCCTTATAAGGAAAAAGCAGGTCACTAGTCTTATCCCGGATCTCCCAGGCATATTTAAATAAGTGGACTTGAGGTCCCGAACAACTTGGCAGGAAGATGACTGTAGTGTGCCTGTTTGTGCTGCTGCTGCCTCTGCTGCAGGCGACGGTCGCCTATGAAGTCACGGTAGAGCTTGACGAACTCGCTTCCAGTGCTGGTGTTGAGAAGTGCCGTTTACGACCACGTGGAAATGCGTCCAACGCCCAAACGGTTATCCTCTATGATGGCGAAATATTGATACATAATTTCTGTCTTAAGAAAAAGAAATTGTTTACGCTAGAAAAGCTACGATACTCCAATGACGGTCTTGCCGACCTTCTGACCTTCGACCTCGATGGCGTGGAGGTCGGACGGTGGACAACGCGAGAAGACTTTGGAGATGGTAGTCTGTGGAACCAGATCCTGGAAGTTGAACAATTCGGCGATGAAGTAAGTGTCGCTGCAGGCAATCACAAGCTGACCATCCGGGTGGCGGACGGGGATAGGTACGGGGTCGAGCTGGACTCTCTGACGTTCAGTCTTGACCAAAAGGATCCTGATGACAACAGCCTATGCAAGAACATGGGCTCAAAGGCCATTGCACCTCTCTTCGGGGAATGTGATCCAGGTAATATGTTGGTCATCTTAAATGTGAGGGGAAATGGGGTTTAACGTCGTACTTAAGAATCTTTCGCTCATATGACGACGTGCATGAGTGTGTATGTGTATGTGCGGCTGCTTGTACTAGCCCAGACTGAAGCTGTTTTATAGTGCTAGCCCACTCAGATACCACGCCGCAGTGAAGCATGAATACCCCACTCATACACATTATACTGACTCCGAGCCGTCCAGTCCTTGTTGTATCCTTTAATGCCGAGCGCCAGGCAGGGAGCAACACGTACCATATTTTACCGTCTCTTGTCGCGGTCGGGGATCGAGCCAGCGACCTTCCGCTCTCCGGGCAGACGCTCTAACCACTACACCACCGAGGCAGCCCTCGTCATCTTAAACAATTAAGGGGATCGAGTGGTCAGTCTCGCTGACCGCGTATGCGCATGTCAGCATATCCTTAATGTGTACCCGTGAAGATCCGGGTTAGAACTGGTCTTCAGTAACCCAGGCTTGTCATAAGAGGCGACTAACGGGATCGGACGTCAGGCTCGCGGACTTGGCTGACACATAATGTTGATCACTGGATTGTCTGTTCCAGACTCGACTATTTACAAGTTGCCGCCATATAGCTGGTATATTGCTGAGTGCGGCGTTAAACAACAACCAAACAAAAAGACAAAAACCTAAATTTGTAGATCGATGCTTACTATGTTAGTTACCGGACTGTCGATAATTTACAAACGCCGTCATATAGCTGGAATATTGCTGTGCGTTGCGTCCTTAATAAAACTGTCAATATTTCTAAAACATTTATATGCAATCATGTATTTCTGCGTGGAACTCACGGGCCGACGTTGATGGTTCCTCTGAGTAAGGGGCGGTGGGGTAGCCAAGTGGTTAAAGCGTTCGCTCGTCACGTCGAAGACCCGGGTTCGATTCCCCACATGACCACAATGTGCGAAGTCCATTTCTGGTGTCCTCCGATGTTGCTAAAAGCGGCGTAAAACTACACTCACTCACTTTGAGTAATACAGACAGACCTGTAGGGGCAGGTAAACCAAGGGATGGTTTTCAATTTACAGACGCAGATGTCTGTGGATCAGCCCCTACACTACGTAACGCGGACGTGTCGTACAAGGGGAGCTACGTAGGGGCGACGGCAAGGTACACATGCCGTGCCGGCTACGTCTTCTGTGGGAGAAGCTCCAAACACCGGTGTTCCAGCATTGGGGAGTGGGAAGGCCTGGAGGGGTCATGCTTCAGGTCAAGATGGCAGCAACCACGGCAGGTAGGAGGGTTTTCGAATTTCTAGCAGTTTGTGTCTTGATCATGCGGTGTATCTACCTCCATTGTATTTTGACCCGTGAAGATCGGGTTAGAATTGACTTCAGCAACCCATGCTTGTCATAAGAGGCGGGTGGTCAGGCTCGCTGACTTGGTTGACACATGTCACCGTATCCTACTTGCATAGATCGATGTTCATGCTTGTCGTAAGAGGCAACCAACGGGACCGGGTGGTCAGACCCGCTGACTTGGTCACTTGATTGTCTAGTCCAGCCTCGATTATTTACAGACCGCCGCCGAATAGCTGGAATACTGCTGAGCGCGGCGTTAAACAACAGCCAACCATTCCATTGTCTTCTGACATATTCTACTCAAAAGAACGATCTGTTTGAGTAGCACTTTATACGAAACGACGCATCGTAATAGAATATAGAAATTGCCGTGCCTTTATTGTTACGGGGCGGTGGTGAAGCCTTGTAGTTAAATCGTTTGCTCGTCACGATGAAGATCCGGGTTCGATGTCCCACATGAGTACCATGTGTGATGAACATCTCTGGTGATCGCCGCTGTGATGTTGCTGGAATATTGCTAAAAGCGGCGTAACCCATACACACTCACTCATTGCTGATGTTTGTTAGTGCATTACAATTACTAGCGTCTATTGGTCAAGTTACCATCCAGGGGCCCGTTTCACAAAGCGATCGTAGCGCTACGACAGTCGTAAGTCTATGTTAAAATATGGGAGTTACGGTCATCTTAGCGCTACGATATCTTTCAGGAATGGGGCCCTGAGAGTCTCAACGAATAGAATGGAGATACAATATCATGGATAATCGAGTATGTCGCAAATTTGTTAACGTTAACAAGAATAATCAAACTCCCATATGTCGAAGTTTGATGGGTCGAACTTACGGTGGTGTTGACGTATAGGCTTTGTCCCTGCGTATTCCTTATAAGTAAATCATTTTGCGGTTGTGTCGAACATCGGTTAACTCGAAGTATTTACGTTGGTTCCTTCATCTTCGACATAACGGTGTTTGTATACTCAGGGACAAAAAGTTACTGTGATCATATGAAATAATTAATGACTGAACTTTGCAAACTACGATGTTAATATGGGGGCTTTAGGCTTTACAGATATTGTAACTTAAAACTTATACATACTGTAGCAGAGTTCCATGGAATTTAAAGACATGGCGTTGTTTGTTTACAAGAGTTGGTTTTGGCCCATGTGATATACTGACGTGCAAAAGAAAGCATACATCTGGTGTTTGGGGATTATTTTGTTTGGCAAGATGTACATAATGTTTGTGACCTGTAAGTCACAATCACCAACACATTTTACAATAGTAAGGTTCTTGTTTTTGTATGGGAAAAGAATTCCATAGCATCAGGTATGTACCTTTCTTGTACGCCAGTATATTTCGCACAAATACGCACGATCAGACATGATTCAGTCTCAGGGGGTTCATTTTGTATTGAATGTGTACTTGAATCCATGACCTTGGTTAACCCTTTAACTCACAGGGGCGATGGGGTAGCCTAGTGGTTAAGGCGTTCGCTCGTCACGCCGACAACCCAGGTTCGATTCCCCACGTGGGCACAATGTGTTAAGTCCATTTCTGGTGTCCCCTGCCGTGATATTGCTGGAACATTGCTAAAAGCGGCGTAAAACTAAACTCACTCACTCACTTTCACTCACAGGGAATTGATTTTGACGTGTCACTACCTTGGAGTTCCACCAACCATTACTCGCTCGAGATTGTAGCCACGCTTACGGTTCGCCAAAGGTACGTTTTGAACTATTGTATTTATGCCTGCAACGTATTTGGTTCTATATATTAACTCGTTGTAAATCTGATCCATTCCAACAAGTGTGGTCACAAGAGTTTTAAATGGACTCAGTCAAATAAAAGATATTTAATAGTTTCATTTGTACTGTTACAAAATGTACTTAAAGGAGAGTCTTGCAGTTTGTAGAAATCTTGTTTCGTTAGGCTCTTGTAGAATTCTTTACATCCTTTGGTAGTATGGGATACTATTTTCAGATTATCGGGCAGAAAAGCAATATTGAATTGCTTGTGAATTGTTAAAGAATTGTTTTTAATGTATTCTTTTATGCAGTGAATCAAGCCCGTATATTCCAAGAAGTTAGTTTTCAGTTGCAATTCTGGTGTCACCCGCCGTGATATTGCTGGAATATTACTGCAAGTGGCGTAAAACCACACTCACTCACTCGCACAAACACGACCGTAACTCATGAAAGTCATGGAACTAAGTTGATTGATTGATTGAGTGTCGTTTAACGCCGCACACAGCAATATTCCATCCAAATGCGGCAGTCTGTAAATAATCGAGTCTGGGCCTGACAATCCAGTGATCAACAACATGGACATCGAACTGCGCAACTGGGAATCGATGACATAATCAGCCAAGTCAGCAAGCCTTATCACCCGATCCCGATAGTCGCCTCTTACAACAAGCATGGGTTACTGAAGACCAATTCTAACCCGGATCTTCACAGGCCCATAGCAATAAGGGCCACTTTTTGTTAAAAGCCGCACTCTGTAATATTTCAGTTTCATTGTGGATACCTGCAAATAATGGAAAGTGGACTATACAAATCAAAGCTTATGAACGTACATATAAAGGTTCCTTGGGACTTATTCCAACCCGAAGTCTATCGACAATTACTCCGGGCTACATGTCCATTTGTTCCGGTAACCAATGGCAACAAAGGTGTTGTCATTTGGAATGTAAACAATGTTAGATTCGCGGAAGTCAGTAATGCGGATCTTCTGGTTTGTTTGTTGTTTAACGCTGCACTTAGCAATATTCCGGTCTGTAAACAATCGGGTCCGGACCAGATAATCCAGTGATTGAAATCATGAGCGTCGATCTACGTATTTGGGATACGTCAGCGAGCCTGACTACCCGACCCCGTTAGTAGCCTATAACAAGCATGGGTGGCTGAACACCAATTCTAACCGTTATATGTTCTCGAACTGTGGCTTCCAAACACTCACTCTCTAACTCACTGCTCCAAGTTTGGCAACATATTCAACCAAATTAGCGAGCCTGACCACCCGATCCCCATTCGTGACCTACTCGTGCTAGTCCGGGACAAGCCGATTGGAGGTTACGGAAAGGGGCGAGTGGTGACAAATGCCCGATCCCGTTAGTGGCCTATTACAAGCATAAGTTGCTGAATACCAGTTCTAACCCTTATATCTTCTCGAACTTTGATATCAAAACACTCCCTCTCTCACTCAGTGCTGACCGCTTTCGTGGTGTAGTGGTTAGAGCGTCCGCCCGGAGAGCGGAAGGTCCCCGACCGCGTCATACCAAAAGACGTTAAAATACGGTACGTGTTGGTCCCTGCCTGGCGCTCGGCATTAATGGGTACAACAAGGACTGGTCGGCTCGGAGTCAGTATAATGTGTCTGAGTGGGGTATTCATGCTTCACTGCGGCATGGTATCTCAGTAGGCTAGCACTATAAAACCAGCTTCAGTCTGGGCTAGGAGAAGCAGCCGCACATACACATACACACGCATGCATGTCGTCATATGAGCGAAATATTCTCAAGCACGACGTTAAACCCAATTTCACCTCACTCAGTGCTCTAAGTTTGGCAACATGTTCTGTCATTTCAGGTGATCGTTAACGGAGAATACATCGGGGAACAATGCAACACGTACCCATCTATCCATACAGGCCGGCTGGTCATCAGCAGAGCACTCACACTCCAGGATGTGACGTGCACCATCTAAGAACTGACCTTGACCCAAGGTGGCTGCCTGCATGGCGGAGATACGATCCATTATTTTGTTGAAATAAAGCTGTCCTATCGTCACGAAGACAAACATGTTTTATGCTTTTGATTCAGGATACATCGGTGTAGCATCACAGATGTTTCTTTTATGGCATACATACTTAGCTTTACGATATATACAACAAACTTGACATTAGTGGGGGCGGTGGAGTAGCCTAGTGGTTAAAGCGTTGCGCGGAACACCCGAGTTCGATTCCCCACATAATAATTGATACAATGTGAGAGGCCCATTTCTAATGTACTCCTGCTGAAATTATTAAGACATAAAACCATACTCACTCACTCATTCACTCACCTGAGATAAGTGAAAGTGGAGCGAGAGCAGCACTGATAAGTTGCTGAATTGAGTGTGGTTTTAGGCCTCTTTTAGCAATACTTCAGCATGGCGGGGACACTAGAAATTGGCTTCACATACTGTGCCCATGCGGGGAATCGAACCGGGTCTTTCGCGTGAAGAGCGAACTATTAAACCACTAAGCTACCCCCCTTGCTGAATTGAAGGACACAGAATGATGCTACTCTTAAAGGTACAATTTGAAAAAGAAAGTTTTGTTAAATGAGTAAACAGACAAATGTTTCAATTCCATTGGGCGCAACACGAACACCATACAAATGAGCAATACCCATCTGATAAGGTGAGGGCGTGTTAAGGTGAGTGAGTTTAGTTTTACGCCGTACCCAGCAATATTCCAGCCATATGGCGGCGGTCTGTAAATAATCGAGCCTGGACCAGACAATCCAGTGATCAACAGCATGAGCATCGATCTGCGCAATTGACAACCGATGACATGTGTCAACCAAGCCAGCGAGCCTGACCACCAAATCCCGTTAGTCGCCTCTTTCGACATGTATGGGTTACTGAAGGCTCATTCTAACCCGGACCTTCACGGGTGCGTGTCAAGGTAGAACTACTGATACAGCAAAGTGCATGGACATATGTGCCTGCCAACTTGTACTAGTCAAGTCATTTAACACACTACTAGACGATCCGTACCCACGCAGATGCGTACCGAGCAGAAATGGCTAACTCGTAACTAACATTCTCATCAGTCTCGAGCGTGTTCTGGAGCACTCGTATCGTTTTTGGTCGATCTGTACCCAAATTCGGATGTTCCGTACTCTAATTTGGACGACTCAGACAAATTTCATGTCATATATATTTTCCTTGGTTGCGGGTTCGCATTTTTCGGTTGCCAGTCATCCCTGTGTTGAGGAAGGAGTGGGTACGTTCGAACTCACCAAAATATACTGAGTCAAAAAGAAACTTCACATTCTTTCTTCAGGGCACTATAAAAGAACAAGAGATGGTAAGATGGTTAAATTGTTATTATTTCATTGCTGAGATCTGTGTGATGTACTCGATACACTGACAGTACCATAATCAGTTCCATTAGGCTACACCGCCGTTCCAAAACATGGGTATACAGAATGTCAAGTCACAAGAATAAAAATGCGAAATTTCTCAGTTCAATATCGTGTATGGCCATACACCACTGCCAAACACCGTCTCCTCATCAACTGCCTGATGCTTGTGAACACGTGGTTGGGGATTCTGCGCCATTGCTCTTGCAAGGCAGCGCCAAGTTCCTGCAAATTCTGAGGTTGGTTCCTAAGACCACGAAGCCTTCTCCCAAGTGCATCCCAAACGTGCTCTATTGAATTAAGGTCAGGGGACCTCGATGGCCAGTCCATGACGTTGATTCCAGCGTTTTGAAGGAAATTTCGTGTCAACATCGCGGTATGCGGCCGAGCATTATCATGCTGGAACTGTAGACCTGGGCCATGAGCCGCCATGAAAGGAACGAGTTCAGGGGTGAGCACCTGGTCGCGGTAAGCAGCAGCTGTGAGGTTTCCACGGATGACCAGAAGTCGGGAACGGTTGTTCCCACAGAGAGCACCCACACCATGCAACTTCCGCCCCGAATCTGTCGACTTCCTGTACACAAAATTGGGCATACCGTTCACGACGTCGTCTCCAGACTCTATGCCTGCCGTCCGCGAATCTGAGGGTAAACCTGGATTCACCGCTAAAGACGACTCGATTTCAGTCTCTCTGGGTCCATCGGAGGTGACGTTAATGGGCCAAAAGCAGACGTTCACGTTGATGAAACGGCTTCAATATTGGCCCACGATATGGACGTCGAGAATGGAGATTGGCAGCACCGAACCGATTGCGAATGGTCTGTGAGGACAGTCCACCTTTAATACATCTCAGCCATGGTTCGGGGAGCACTAGAAATTGGTCACGTAGGTGCCCATAGGGGAATTGAACCGGTCTTTCGCGTGAAGAGCCACTAAGCTACCCCTTGCTGAATTGAAGGACACAGAATGATGCTACTCTTAAAGGTACAATTTGAAAAGAAAGTTTTGTTAAATGAGTAAACAGACAAATGTTTCAATTCCATTGGGCGCAACACGAACACCATACAAATGAGCAATACCCATCTGATAAGTGGAGGGCGTGTTAAGGTGAGTGAGTTTAGTTTACGCCGACCCAGCAATTCATTCCAGCCATATGGCGGCGGTCTGCATCGAGCCTGGACCAGACAATCCAGTGACGTCAGCATGAGCATCGATCTGCGCAATTGACAACCGATGACATGGTCAACCAAGCCAGCGAGCCTGACCACCAAATCCCGTTAGTCGCCTCTTTCGACATGTATGGGTTACTGAAGGCTCATTCTAACCCGGACCTTCACGGGTGCGTGACAAGGTAGAACTACTGATACAGCAAAGTGCATGGACATATGTGCCTGCCAACTTGTACTAGTCAAGTCATTTAACACACTACTAGACGATCCGTACCCACGCAGATGCGTACCGAGCAGAAATGGCTAACTCGTAACTAACATTCTCATCTGTCTCGAGCGTGTTCTGGAGCACTCGTATCGTTTTTGGTCGATCTGTACCCAAATTCGGATGTTCCGTACTCTAATTTGGACGACTCAGACAAATTTCATGTCATATATATTTTCCTTGGTTGCGGGTTCGCATTTTTCGGGTGCCAGTCATCCCCGTGTTGAGGTAGGAGTGGGTACGTTCAAACTCACCAAAATAGTTTGGGTTCGAATCTCATGGGTATGGATTATCCTGTTTTTATAGCTAGCCTACCTAGATTGATTGATTGAGTTTAGTTTTACGCCGCACTCAGCAATATCCCAGCTATACGGCGGCGGTCTGTAAATAATCGAGTCTGGACCAGACAATCCAGTGATCAACGGCATGAGCATCGATCTGCGCAATTGGGAACCGATGACATGTGTCAACCAAGTCAGCGAGCCTGACCAGCCTACCTAGATGCTATGCCAGAGTTTTACATGTATCTGCAACTCGACATCGTAGGTCGACCAAATGCACACGCTACAGTAGTTGGCCATAAGTGAGTCATCATTAGTGAAATTTCCATAGGCTTACATGATAATTAACTGTTGTAAGAATAATTTTCATAAATTGAGTAGACGTCATTTTACTAGTATTTTGATATTTTGCAAACATCTTGGGGTGAGGTGAAGTGAAATTGGGTTTTACGTCTTGAGAATAATATGACACGTTGCAAACATCTAAGAAATCATCTTCAGGTACCTGTACATAATTTTCTTTCATCTTTCCGTTGGTTAGATATCGAATGACACCTGATTAAGCACCATAAGTACAACTTAGTTTTAATCTACGTGTATCCCGTAGGCAGCCATGATTGGTATGTCGATATATATGTTGTTTAAATACTTGCGGTTTTGTTAATAATCATCAGAAAACTGAATGGAAATTATGTATATGTAGCTGTGATGATTTCCCAGCTGGTAGAAAAGTATTGAAAGCAATTTGACCGAAACTAAATGTATGTAAATTTATGTAAATTATTCTTGCAAGAGTTCACTAACGTGTAAGTCTATGGGAATTTCACTATTGATGACTCACTTATGGCCAACTACTGTAGACTAACTAATGCCATCTTTGTAACATCTTTAGCTGTGAACCACTAACCGTACGCTTGATGAGATGCACAAATAGAGCAAAACTGGGACACAAAGTAAAAAGTCATAACCAGTCCAAAATCCAAACATGCCCCCAAACGATAGCATGTTATTCTGAGTGAGTTTAGTTTTACGCCGCACTCGGCAATAAGCCAGCTAATGTCGGTGGTCTGTAAATAATCGAGTCTGGACTAGACAATCCAGTGACCAACAACATGATCATTGATCTGCGCAATTGGGAACCCATAACATGTGTCAACCAAGTCAGCGAGCCTAACCACCCGATCCCGTTAGTCGCCTCTTACGACAAGCATAGTCGCCTTTTGTGGCAAGCACGGGTTGCTGAAGACCTTTTCTCCCCCGGATCTTCACGGGTCATGTTATTCTGAAAACCATGTACTCACCTTATATCCAATTTCATCAGAGTACATCAGAAATGGCTGAGCAAGTATGGTTGAAAGTGACACTTTCAATATGGCCATGTCACTGGCCTTGACATTCAGTGTCGTGTGCAAAAACTGTTGGTCCTACATTGACATACTGACCAAGCAGCGAAGATAAATTCAATATCCGTTTGAAGTATTTTATTCATGGATGCATTTAAGTGCACAGTAAAATATGTGAGTGAGACAACAATACATCACTGTTCATCTGGACGGAAACACTAATGTAACAATATCTTCTGACACACCTTCAATAACAACACATAAAAATACACAGAATGGTGATACATTTCCACATAGAATGCCATGACACAAATTGTAAATAAATATAAAATAAATATTTTGTGTATGGTATTTAATTAAATTTGCTTAAGAAAATATTTTGTTTCCTTTGATAAATAAAATCAACTAATGAAAAGCTACTGACTTGCCGAACTCAAAGAGTCCAAATAAAGTTGGTTTGTTTGTTTGTTGTTTCAGCAATATTCCAGCTTTGCACTCAGCAATATTCCAGCTAGACAATCCAGCGGTCTGTAAATAATCCAGTCTGGACCAGACAATCCAGTGATCAACAGCATGAGCATCGATCACGACCATTGTGATCAGCTTAACGACAATTGTGACCAAGTCAGCGAGCCTGACCCCAGCGAGCCTGACCAACCACGTGTTGACCAAGTCAGCGAACCAGACAACGAGTTGACCTGACCCACCCATGTGTCGACCAAGTCAACGTAACCTGACCACCCATGTGCTGACCAAGTCAGCTAACCAGACCACCCTGGTGTTGACCTAGTCAACGACCTGACCACCCACGGTTGACCAAGTCTTAACCTGACCAAGTCAGCAAACCTGACCACCCACCAAGTCGAACAAGACCACCAGCGAGCCAGACCACCCACATGTCGACCAAGTCAGCGAAGACCACCAGCGAGCCAGACCACCCACATGTCCACGAAGTCAGCGAGCCTGACCACCCACGTGTCGACCAAGTCAGCGAGCCGGACAATCCAGTGATCAACATTGTGAACATCCGTGTACACAATTGGAATTCGATGACATGTGTCGACCAAGTCCGCAAGCCTGACCACCCAATCCTTTTAGTCGCCTCTTATGACAAGCATGGGTTACTGAAGATCAATTCTAACCCGGATCTTTACAGGTCCCAAATAAAACTAGAGGCAGATGGACATGTCTCACCACTGAATGCAATGTGTCTCTGCATATACATAAGGAAAAACACTATTCCATCCATTCAATATTTCCTGGTACCCCAATCTTCCATATACATTGTGTAAACATCTACACAGGATTTTAATCTCTTTTTCATAAATACATGGGCACGGAGTCAGTGAAATATCTGAGACAGAACTGATACCAGCAAAAAAAACAGGTGTAAAAACAGTTTGGTTTTCAACATTGTGTACACAGTCAAAGCATTAAACATCACAGTTTTCAACATTGTCACAAGTACACAGTCAAGTCAGTTGCATTAAACACCACTCAGGGTGACTTGGTTTTCAACATTGTCACAAGTACACAGCATTCAAACTCAGGTGACTTGGTTTTAAACATTGTCACAAGTACACAGTCAAGTCAGTTGCATTAAACACCACTCAGGGTGACTTGGTTTTCAACACTGTCACAAGTACACAGTCAAGTCAGCTGCATTAAACGCTACTCAGGGTGACTTGGTTTTCAACACTGTCACAAGTACACAGTCAAGTCAGCTGCATTAAACACCACTCAGGGTGACTTGGACTTCACAAGTACACAGTCAAGTTGCATTAAACACCACTCAGGGTGACTAGGGTTTTCTAACGCTTCTAGCAATATTCCCGCAATATTGCTGGGAACACCAGGATGTGATTCCACACATTGTGCCCATGCGGGGAATAAAACTTGGTTCTTTGGCATGATGAGTGAGTGAGTGAGTGAGTGAGTTTGGTTTTACGCCGCTTTTAGCAATATTCCAGCAATGTCATGGCAGGGGACACCAGAAATGGGCTTCACACATTGTACCCATGTGAATCGAATGCCTTAGCCATTAGGCTACCCCACCCCCCCTTGGCATGATGAGCAGACACTTTAACCACCAGGCTACCCCAGTGCCCCTAAAACCAATTTAAACAATATCCCAGTTAGATGTGTCTATTTAAGATGGGAGGTCTTAGATGTTAATCACAGGTTAATACAGGTAGGTTGCTGAAAACCCTACAAATATAACAACAAACCCCCGACATCATTGTTTCCTGGCATGCCCAAGGGATGCAACTCTATACAGTTTACAGCAAAGACGCTGAGGAAACAGCTAAAGGGTCATTAAATACCTATTGGCATTTAAGTTACAAATAATGAAGGTAGGCACGAAGATTTTCCCATTAGTATGAGTAGTGAAAATCCTCATGGAATACCGGTAGTTACTTTCAACTAAAATGCTGTTGTCACAAACCAGTCATCCAAACTAAGTTGTGTTAAAGTTTGATTTTAGCCCACCATGTCTACCCTGATTATGTCCTCCTAAATTCATGTATGCCAGAAATGATTATGTCCTCCTAAATTCTGGGTGATTGTGTATTGATCTAATAACAGAAATGACAAAACTGCATTGAACAATGCTCTCCTGCTATTGTGAGCGTGTGACTTGGTTTAAAAAAATAAATCCACGGCCATTAAGTTTCAGCAATAACTATATGGTCTGTAAATAATCCAGTCTGGACCAGACAATCTAGTGATCAACCTCATGATCATTGATATGAAATCAAATCAACCAAGCCTGGAGTCTGACCACCCGATCCTGTTAGTCGTCGACAGGCATGGGCTGCTGAGACCAATTCTAAATCCACATTTCTCTAGGCTTGTGAACTTATGTTGGGTAAACCTGAGGTGGTGAGATGAAATTGGGTTTTACGTCATGCTTGAGAATATTTCGCTCATATGACGACTTGCATGCGTGTGTATGTGTAGGTGCTGCTGCTTGTACTAGCCCAGACTGAAACTGGTTTTATAGTGCTAGCCCACTGAGATACCATGCCGCAGTGAAGCATGAATACCCCCACTCAGACACATTATACTGACTCCGAGCCGACCAGTCCTTGTTGTACCCATCTATTATTGCCGAGCGTCAGGCAGGGTAAACCTGAAGTGATGCAGGTGTCAGATGTTTACCACTTTGGTGAAACCAAGGATTAAAGTACGGTTCTCTAGAAACATTATTGTGGCAAACCATAATTCAAGCCCACAAACCTTCTGGACAGCCAAGGGACACAACCCTGCTGCACATCGCTCGACTGGGCTGATCATGTCTGACCACTTCCCTCGTATAAACACACTTGTTGATCAGGGCACCGTTTATCAAACTGATCTTAATGCTAAGATGATCGTAGCTCCCATACACAACACATGTGGTCTCATCTTAGTCACGTGACTTCGTTCAAAATTGCCTGTCATCTAGCAGAAAATGGGTACCCAGTGGGATAAGTCATATGACTATTAACCTTCTAGCACTTCACAGGCAGCTTGGGCTATCCGGGGTAATACTATCCATCATGTTATATGCGCTAAGAGCATGCCCGTGTGGTGTGGTGTGGTGTGGTGTGGTGTGGTGTGGTGTGGTGTGGTGCTATATAAATGTCCTTATCATTATCACATAGATGTATGAGAGTCTCTTTCCAATGACTATTTTGTGGAACAACCCCCTGGCAAAAGCTAAAGAAACAAAATAACTCACAAAGTGCATCAAAACAAATGACTACTAATTCAGTAAAATATATTATGAAACATGAAAATTTTGATAACGATTTTTTCCTATAAAAATATCAATGTAACAATACGTAGACAGTCAAATCATGGACCATCCTCAACTCTTGTAATGATATGAGATGAAACTGTGGCACTGCAAACCGTCATCAATCAGATACTACACGGTTAATCAATCTTCTCTCTTCTTCATCAAGCAACATCACCTCCTCCTCAAATATTGCAACAGCACCTGTTGATCATGAAGTATCTATATAAACAAGGCTTGTAATAAACCCCTCTTACCTTTACAAGCAATTTATCATTGTCTCTTTGATTGTTTAATGAAGCACCCCGAAATTTAGGTACCGTAGGTTTTCACAATGACCTATGGACAATCAAGCCTGGACCAAACTAACCAGTGCATCATATTATGAGCATTAACCCAGTGTCAAGGCATGCTGAAACACTATGAGTGAGTGAGTGAGTGAGTGAGTGAGTGAGAGAGTGAGTGAGTGAGTTGAACCCGGGTCTTCAGCGTGACGAGCAAATGCTTTAACCACTAGACTACCCAACCGCCCCTGACACACCAAGCCTGTCCACTGTAATGGCCAGCACCTGTGGCTGGGGACCTATTTTACTTCAGATTCCTTGGCGGTAATTAATATCCTGGCGTATTGGGTTTACGATCGGATAAACGTAACATATTTCGTCAACAAAAAAATGAATACAATCTTTTAACCTCGTTCAGCATTTCTTCAGACGAGATAATTTATTTCATAAACATGCATGTCATGCGTTTTCTATCATTAACCCGCCATTGCAGTCGATGCAATCTCGAAGTCTCGCCGGACGTGACGTCATGTTTTCAATCCTTTCGTTGGCTGTATATTTTTAGCGATCTTGTAATAGTAGGGTAAGCCTGTTGTATCAAAACACTCACACTGTACAGTCAAACATTTCAAATTGCAGAGATAATACACAATTCCCCTTTCTAAATAGCTTAGAACAAAACACCAGCAGAAGTAGACTTCCCATTTAATTTATTCTGTAGAGTAGCATAAGGTATGGAAAGTCCTAGCATTCCCCTCCAACTACAGCCTCATGAGCAATATATTACACTGCCGCTAACTGGCCTTTCTTGCGTTGATAACTCCTATAAACAAAATAATTTAAACGGTACTAGTTTCTGTTTAAAAATAAGTTTTGGAATTCATTGCCGAAATTAACGTGATCCATTTTGCAATTTTGGCGTGCCATAAAAATAAATCTGTCAGCGTGGTCACATGACTAGTAACGTGATCTTGTAAGGTAGCATGTAAACTAAGCAGACGAAACATTAATTGCCATTTCTGGAGTAAAGATTTCGAATTTTTATGCATTTGATTATGAGGTAGATATTGCATTAATGATCCCAGAGTTAAAATTTAGCTTTTGTTGTGTTTTTACTGTTGCTGATGCATAAAACTTTGATTCATAGTATATTGACGTCACACCGACAGCGGGGATCACCTTGCTGACATGCGGGTTGATTCTGATGGATTTTCGCTCATTAATGCGCTCTAAACGGGAATTGTAATGGGGGAACAAAAACATAAAACGATTGGAAATGTAAGACAAGTGGATAAATAATCTAATCACTAAACAAAAAACACATGCATAAATCCATTTATTCACAGAAACTACGATTTCATTTGATGGAATCATCTTATTGATGATGGTATTCATTTGTTTTGAGAGGGTATGTCTGTTTGAGTGAATGAATTATACACAGGCATTGAAAGCCAGGGTACCATAATTCTTCATACTGTTATGTTTGTACAGCCATCTTAAATAGCAGTAACTAACATTTCAAAGTACTTTGACTATAGCTCTACTCAGAATAAATCAATACTACGCTCAGGAATATAAATATACCTTTAACTGCCCTTCTATCACTTTCATTTGTTCATGTGCCCTGATGTTCACTGTTGCTGATGTTTGAGATATTCTTACCTTGCCCCGAGGGATACCTTCAGCTGATGCAGGAAGGTGGCAAACATCTCAATGACTGTAGCATCATCCTGGAATACACATCGAAGTGACTACATATTATAAGTTGTAGCATTGTGATGATGGGTATACAGGTTTTTATGCGTACCCTGCTATGTTTTATCCACCGAACCGGGAGGCACATAAAACCCAGTATACCCGAATCATAACGCTGCAACAAATGTATCTTACCGAATGTTTACTTATGTCATTATGTAAATATAACATTAAAACAAACCGAAAAGTCAATCATATATTTTACTAACATGGTACTGACTAGTCGATCCGAACAACTGGTTCATGGTTCACTGACTGCCGTGGATGCATGCTTTATCCATGGTGCGGGGTAGTAATTATTTATTCTCCCTCGCAAAGATTTATACCCTACTTGGGCGGTGTACGGTCTTGCTCTGGACACACACGGTAATTTCTTCAAGGTTATGTGAAGCAATCAGAGATGGACATTCTTACATGAGGTAGGATAAAATATATTGATCATAATGCAGGACTCCAGGTTTTGCTATACTTAAATGTACACACTTGCATGTTCCTAACCAGAGGTACAGATAACTTTTTAAGCTTAAATGTTAGTGTTTGTTATTTAAATTTGATCTGTAATATGAGAAACGATAAGAAAGACTGCAAGTTGCCAAGTTTATGTCCTGATATAGAACCCCAATATACTGCAGTTATTTATCTATCCACCTGTACACAAGCTAAGGTTTGACACTTTTGTGTGTGTAGGCGTTTAAGATCACATTTATTGAGTATTTACAAAATTCAAAGCGTGCCTGTAACGCAATAGACTTAATAGGAATTGAGTTTTCACATAAATATTTTGCGTAATTTACGCCGATACGCAGCTTATCTGTACCTCTGCCTAACCATCCAGTCACCCCAACTGTCCTAGTCGTTTCGATATCCCTTCATCCCAGCCCCTTCCTTCTACCACACCTCTCCTTAATCAACCTCTAAACCTTCACCTACCCACCCTATTCAATCAAAACTTGACACTCACCTGATCATCGTCACTCCAACTGTCCCAGTCATCTGACTCCTCTCCCTCCTTCTGACCCCCCTGAGTGTCCCGCGCCTCACCCCCGTCACTCTGTGTGCTCACTGTCCGTTGTCTACCAGACAGGCTCAACTGGCCACTAGTATTGCTCACATTCAGTGTAAGGCACTCAGCATAGAAAGCTGACAGGTCTCCACCTAGGAAACCAAAAAGCCATTAAGCAACATGTTTCTGGATTTTTGTTTAAACTCGGAACTCAGTTACATTCAAGCTATATGACGTCCATCTGAAAATAATCAGATCTGGACCACACAATCCAGGGACTGGCACCATGGAATAAAATGACAAGCCGTCAATCAAGTCCGCCAGGAGAAAAGTGACAAGACTTGCCAGGATTTGCATATATGCATTTCAACATTTCGTAACAATACATCATCTGAAGTGTACTAGGTGATGTCAGCGAGGCCACACACAAGGACTGTAACATGTAGAATGTATGGAGTGAGTATGGCTTGATGACGCTTTTAGCAATATTCCAGCAAGATCACGGCAAGGGACACCAGAAATGGGCTTCACACATTGTACCCATGTGGGGAATCGAACCTGGGTTTTCAGCGTGGCAAGCAAATGCATTAACCACCGTCCCGTAGAATGTATGGAATAACCTACTGAAATTATGGATCATCTGACCCTTGAGAATGAATGCAGCATATATCTCACATGTTCGAACACTAATGATTCATTTGGGACACAAAAACCATCCTTGTGGCTTCTTATAATTACATTCTAGCCAAAAATGTGTCTGCCTGGAGTGTGGCAGGTCATTTACTCCCTAACCTTGTCATACCAAAGACATAAAGTGTCGTACGTTTTGTTTGGATTTGGTTTTAAGGAAAGAACAACTATGCTCAGGTGAGAGTCAGTGTACGGTGTGATATGAGTATCTATACTGACCTTGGTCACAATCCACTCAGCGTTTGTAATGTTACCAGCTATCGTAACTGTATAGTTTGTTATTGGCTATGAATGAAGTAGCGCTACAAACGCTTTGTGTATTGGGCCCCTGGTATTCTCAGTGGGCCCACACTATTCAATCCCTACACAGCTTTGTAAATGCAAACATGTTGAAATCCATTTCATCTCAACACACAAAAAATGTAAGAAGACATTCCTGAAGTATGATACACTGTCTTATCAGGTAAGTCTACCTGCAAATATATCTTCCTCCTCCTCCATGTCGGCCTTGTCAGGGTCTGTTGCACATAGCAACATCGGCGACGCTTGCCACAACAAGGAAACATCCCGGTCAGGTCTGGGAGACAGGTCCATGCTTTCATGCAGGCTGGTTGACTGTGGGAAAGAAAGTGGTTGTTGAAGGAAATATGACATTTTGCACACTTTGAAAGCATCATTTCGAAGGGCAGCTGATAATGTACAGGCAGAAGCTTACCTTACAAATCTGGCCACAGAATCCCTGAGATCACCTGGATTAGTTTTGTAGGGACAGCAGCTTACCTTACTGATGTGACCCCTGACTGCCTGAAGATCATCTGCGGGTGTTTTGTAGGACAGTTTGGTGACCTTACCGATATGACCACAGACTGCCTGAAGATCATCTGCAAGGTGTTTTGTAGGGACAGCAGCTTACCTTACTGGTTTATGACCACCGACAGCCTGAAGATCATCTGCGGGTGTTTTGTAGGGACAGTTTGGTGATCTTACTGATATGACCACAGACTCGATGAAGATCATCTGCATGTGTCTTATAGAGGAAGGGGCTTACCTTCCCAATCCGACCACAGACGCCCTTGAAGATCATCTGCAGGTGCCTGGTAGGGTTGATGGCGCGACACAAACTGAGGTATATGTTGAGAACTTTCTGCAGCAGCTGTGTGTCCAGACTCTGTCAATGTGTAATATATATGATGATGATAAGAAACTACAATATAATGGCCTTTTTATATTAAATTTTTTTTTTTTTTTAACAAGCTTACATTCAGATGTACTAATGTTTATACCTACCTGTTAAGCTACCTACCATAAGTCAAGTGGAAGCGAGGTGTAAACACAAAACCACCCACCAATCTTTCCGGAGTCTAAGGCCAGAGTGCCGTAGAAGAGGGACAAAAAGGCCAAAGTCCAGAGGGGTGGATGGGTGGGACTAAACCGTACATCTGAATGTAAGCTTGTTAATACAATGTTTTTAATCTAAAAAAAACATGTGTTAGCTTACATTCAGCCGTACTAATGCTTTATCCGTCGGCAGGCGGTGGGGGACAAGGCCCAAACAGTATAATTGAGTGTGCAAATATGAACGACAGAATTCCCTAAGAACGACGAAGATATATATAGCATGTGCAGTATACCAGGTAACAACGTCCTGCGGGATCAGTGACCAAGTGAACGAAATCACAACAAGCAGTGAAGGAAAATATGGGATCGTAATACTGCCTTGCAATACGGAACAAGAGTGAATCATGTTCACTAACGTTTCATTGCGGAAATTACATGAAGTCAAGATACACCAAGTCAAGAGTCACTGACGACGGGCGGAGGGAACTAGCGGCCCAAACTGCTGGATGCCTGCAACATCTGCTGTCGAGATATCCCGCAAATAGTGAGTCAGTGAGTTTAGTTTTACGCCGCTTTTAGCAATATTCCAGCAATATCACGGCGGGGGACACCAGAAATGGGCTTAACACATTGTACCCACGTGGGGAATCGAACCCGGGTCTTCGGCGTGACGAGCAAACGCTTTAACCACTAGGCTACCCCACCGCCCCCCGCAAATAGTGAGAAGCGAAAATTTCCAAAAACAGCCCTCCATAATAGCCTGCAGAGAGCAGTTATCATGGAGAGCTAGTGTTGACGGAAGCGCCTGAACTTCGTGAGGGTGGGAAGAGGACGGCGGATCCATATTCTGCGCAGCATATGCACGGAGAATCACAGCCCATAACCAGTAAGAAAGAGTATGTCTGGTGATCTCTGACTTGGGGGTTACAGATAACAGGATGAACAAATGATGAAAGTTCTTTCGACATGCTTCAGAGCGTTGAAGGTAAATGCGAAAAGCATGCACCAGACAAATTGACAGGTCAGCACGATCTTGAGAACCCAGGACGGCGAAAAGTGGAGCAATGTGAAACTAGCCTCTTGGCCAGGAAGCCGATTCTTGGCTAGAAAATGCCACCGTAAGCCAAGATGGACATCGCCATGGACACCTGGTCAAACTGTACCCGACCATAATCGATAGCATGAAGCTCAGACACCCTAGCCGCCGTAGCTAAGGAGAGAGGAAACGCTGATTTTTGAGTCAGAAGGTCAAAAGAGACTGTATCAAGATGTTCATAGGAGTCGCCAGTAAGATCACAAAAAATGACGTTAAGATCCCACGCAGGGGGACGGATTACGAACTTGATCTTCCACAGAAAAAGCCCAAAGGAATTTTTGATGGGCAGGAACTTTCATGTTCTTGTCTCCCGAAGCCAATGTGACAACTGAACTGAGTGCAGCCAATTAAGTCGAGATGGTCGAACCCTTGAGACGACGGGATGACCTAAGGTGGACTAAGAAGTCGGCCACTTCTGTGGAGGCGTCGGTATCGTTGTTCGGGAACGTTGTGCACCGGTTGGCGACGTACAGGTCGCTGGGTAGATGATATAATCAATTGCTTCTCGCTCTCCAGCGTGTACTTGTCCAAAACTGAAGGAATGGCTCCATTGAATAATTGAGATGAAGTCCACTTTTCCCGTAAAAGCAGCCTTGTGTGCCGCTCCGGGAGCTTACACATCGTGAGAAATCCTTGTCGTCGAAGTTGAGTGACCTGCCCTGAGATTTAAAGAGTGTGTGCAGGCGCGTCTGAAGTCCACTTATGTAGGCATGACAGTAGCCATCGCCATCCGTTCATCATCTGAGGGGTCATCCTTATGCTCGAAAAATTTATTGAGACAATCCATCGCAGTGGAAACCATGGCCAATCGTAACAGTTGAAGTAGTGGTGGAAACACTAATGCCCAGGCAAGATCTTTAGAGACAGGAGCAGTATAATCCCTCCCATAGATGGGAAACTTATGGCGCATCCCAGGTTTAGCAAATGGCTGAGATGGCAACGCCAAAGCAAAAGGCGAGTTCATGTCCGCAGGAAGTTACGGAAAACATGAAGGTGGCGGAAAACGGAAAGAGTCTGGGGTGTCACCAAGCTGAAAACCCCAGCCGTTGGGTTTGATGCATCATGGGTGTCCATGAAGATTGACATCCATGCCATAACATCAGTGTCCCGTGGAGGTCGAGGTGGGCTAACATCCCCTACATCCAGTACCAGAGTAGGGGTTGAGGCAACATTCAATGGCAAAGACGGAGTCACATTAGCCACCGTAGAGAAAGATGAAGTTGGCTTAACGACAGGATCGGAGTCGCAGAGAACGACTACGCGTGTAAGTATAAGGAGAACGATGATGTGGAGAAGAGTAATCCTCCTTGTAAGAACGCCCCCTACCATAACGTGAATGCCCCCGACCATAACGTGAATGCCCCCGACCATAACGTGAAAGCCCCCGACCATGACATGAACGCCCCCGACCATAACGTTAATGCCCCGACCATAACGTGAACGCCCGACCATAACGTGGAACGCCCGACCATGACATGAACGCCCGACCATAACGTTAATGCCCCGACCATAACGTTAATGCCCCGACCATAACGTGAATGCCCCGACCATAACGTGGAACGCCCGACCATAACGTGAACGCCTCTACCATGACTTGAGCGCCCGACCATGACATGAACGCCCCGACCATAACGTGAAGCGCCCGACCATAACGTGAACGCCGACCATAACGTGAAACGCCCCTACCATAACGTGAGCGCCCCGACCATGACATGAACGCCCGACCATAACGTGAATGCCCCCCGACCATAACGTGAACGCCCGACCATAACGTGAACGCCCCTACCATAACGTGAACGCCTCGACCATGACATGAACGCCCCCGACCATAATGTGAACGCCCCCGACCATAACGTTAATGCCCCCGACCATAACGTGAAGGAGTAGCAGACCGCGACATGTCACAACATAACGAGTAAGGCGATCATATCGAGACAGACGAGAATCGTCAAACTGTTGAGACGACACAGTATCGGTTCTACCATAGTCGTCATAATGAGAGTTCATAAAGTGTTCAGGGACTCGATCCTCGGAACGCTCAGTACGGTCCTGTCGATCCAATGGGTTGTAACAATCTGTTCGTCCGTGTCAATCCTTTCGTACATATCAAACGGTATGCTCCAACAAAGTATCCTGCTGACGTGAGGAATGACCGCATGCACAATAACGATCCGAAAAGAGGGTGTGTCGACACGCCCACTAGATTTCTTCTTTGCTCGATTAATCCTCACTGCAATAAATCGCATCAACAAGAGATCGTAATTCCACCGTGTCATTATTTTCATTCAACACGGGCGCTGTACATTCCCTCTGTCAGACATCGCAACAATCCATCACTTTCAATTGTCGCTATCGCCTGAGTCGACAGTCGACAACCTTCTTCTGGACCCCGATTCCCGTTGGTTGACAGACGATGTACCCAGATCGACACAAGATGGCGATGCATCAAATGGAGACGGCGCAGTTGAACTTTTGTCTCTGGACAAAATCATTGATGACAACAGCCTCCTTTGCCTGATCTCGAGATGAAGCACGCTTCTTCTTATAATGCTGATCAGCCTCCCGCTTAGCAATAGCTCTCAAATATGCATTGAAATCCTCCCCTGACAATGTATCACACAGGATGCATTTCAGGTCAACTGAACATGGAGCATAGCCGTCCTTCGCAAGGTAGGACGGACAACTACGGTGGGGGTCAGACTTATAAAGTTTCCGTTGACATTTTAAACAAGTGGAAACCATGCTTCATTCCAACAACATGTGTACACAGGATATTGTGCAAAAAAGTGTTCAAGTTCACGGAAAAAAAGTTACCGCAGGAACAAGTATGCTTACACCAAGAAAAAAGGAAAGTAAATACTTTACTACTCCAACTCTATCAACACTTCAAAATATATAGAGCTCTATTCCACATGTCCTACAGGTATGAAGCGCAGGAAAGATTGGTGATAGGGAAGGGGAGGTAACTGCACAGGTGGGGTTTGTTTTGTGTTTACACCTCGTTTCAACTCAACTTACGGTAGGTAGATTAACAGGTGGTATAAGTATTAGTACGTCTGAATGAAAGCTAAAGCATTTCTATTTGTTTTGTGTAAGACTCTTAGTAACTATTAATACATCTGAAATAAAAACACACAGATACATGTCTCACCTTCATGGCCACTATACCAGCAGCCTCTCTCAGACAGTAGTAGATACACTTGAGGCAGAACTGGCGTTCAGATGACTCCTCCCTCAACACGTTGCTCACCACACGGGAACTCTGACTGCTTACACTGCAGATCAGGAACACCAAGGTTAGAGTTAGTCAGCCACAAAAAATTAATCAAACTTAAAATTTAACTTTGAGATGGCATGTAAGGTTAGGTGAGGTGAAATTGAATTTAACGTCGGGCTTGAGAATATTTCGCTCATATGACGACGTGCATGGGTGTGTGTGTGTATGTGCGGCAGCTTGAACTAGCCCAGACTTAAGCTGGTTTTATAGTGCTAGCCTACTGAGATACCATGTTGCCGTGAAGCATGGATACCCCACTCAGACACATTATACTGACTCCGAGCCGACCAGTCCTTGTTGTACCCATTAATGCCGAGCGCCAGGCAGGGACCAACTAGTACCATATTTTAACGTCTTTTGGTATGACGTGGTCGGGGGTCTGGGTTCTAACCACTACACCACGGAGGCGGTCAGATGGCATGTAAACTCGTCAAATGTTAAGAGTAGAATTTGTCAACCAGAGTTACTGACCTGAAGATACATTTGGCTGCTCACATCACAGGCAAAATATGAACAGTGGCTTTGCAATATATGAATTATATGCTAGCTCAGATACTACAGAATTGAGATCAGACATTTTTCCACATTAGAACTCATCAAGAGAAGTTATGTTCTAACATTTGATCATTTTTTGTGCCGATGGACTGGCATTTTTTCAAACACAGAATACTTAGTCCTCATTTCAATAAATACATTAATTTTCATTGAAAGGGAGATCACTAAATTTTTCACTCAAAATGTATTTGTTTAGAAACATTCAGCATGTTGAGTGATAAATGACAATTTGGGGTATATTTTTTTCAGAATTTTTAGGAACAGATATCATTTCCTTACTTCATAATTTAGAAAAGATGAATATGATAGGTTTCAACTTCTAAACACATCTGAGACTCACCATCGTAGTAATGCTTTGCAGATACGGGTATCATCAACGATGAGTCCACTATTGTAAATGACCAAGGGGAGATAAGCTGCTACTGTTGTCCAAGGGAGACAACTCAGATAATACTGGAGGTGGCAGCAAACAGTCTTCACAAACACCTTCTCAACCTACGAAACAAAATCATAGAAGTTTCCAGTCTGTGTTCTCGTAAACAGTGAAAACGGGATGTCGGCGTTCCATGTTGTAGGAACACCATGTGGGAACACGTTGCTGGGTTTTACTGTGACGAGGAAATATATGAAGAGACGCACAAATGTCAAAGGGTCGTCACCAGAACATCAAAAGTTTGTGATTTATGACTGACTGACTGAGTTTAGTTCTATGCCGCTTTTAGCAATATTCCAGCAATCTCACGGCGGGGGACACCAGAAATAGGCTTCACACATTGTGCCCATGTGGGGAATCAACCCGGGTCTTCGGCGTGACGAGCAAACGCTTTAACCACTAGGCTACCCTACCGCCCCTTGTGATTTATAAGGTTCTGGTACAATGTCGAACTCCACTCACTCACTCACTCTGGATGGTATTACCTGTCGAGCACACTGACTGTCTCCCTCTGGCTTCACCAAGCAGCAACTGTTGGTAAGATACCAGAGTTATTTTAAAATAGTTGGTCAGAATAAATACACTAGATGGGTATTATGTTATGCTGGTAGACTATTTACTATGCCCTCCATGTAATTGCCATCACACAAAGTCAGCAATCTAATCCACTCAGTCCCATGCTGGCAACTAGATGCCTCAATCTGAGGGTGTTTGTTTGAATCCCAGATGGGACTGAACCCAACAAAAGGACTAGAATCTGTACTTTACTGAGAAAGTGTAATCCCAAATATAATACGTTACATTTTAACCACCTTGTCAATGATACTGTGTATTCACTATTATTGTGTTGAAACTTCTTTCCGGATACTACCGTAAGTCATGCTGTGTTCCATGCAATCAAGAAGAAAACAACCTAGTTTTATCCCTGCTGTCGTAAATAAGGTGAGGTGAAGTGAGGTGAGCTGAGGTGAGGTGAAATTGGGTTTTACGTCCTGCTTGAGAATATTTCGCTCATATGACGACGTGCATGTGTATGTATGTGTGGCTGCTTGTACTAACCCAGACTGAAGCTGGTTTTATAGTGCTAGCCCACTGAGATACCATGCCGCAGTGAAGCATGAATACCCCACTCAGACACATTATACTGACTCCGAGCCGACCAGTCCTTGCTGTACCCATTAACACCGAGCGCCAGGCAGGGACCAACAAGTACCATATTTTAACGTCTTTTGGAATGATGCAGTCGGGGATCAAACCCGCGACCTTCCGCTCTCCGGGCGGACGCTCTAACCACTACTCCACGGAGACGGTTAGTTGTAAATGAGTCAACAGTGGATGACATATTCCTCCTTCCTGTCTTACCTGAGGTATCCTTCATAGGGAGATGTGAACGTCCTGGCTGGTGCCTCGACCATGTGCCGCGTGATCCGACTGCCAGGATGGGCGAAACTGAACACACGCCTCCAGAAACTCAGCACAGCCGAGCTCTGACTCTGTTTCTGTCATAAATAAGATCAGATATTACCTTCCTACAACACATTATTCTCTGTAACATTTACAATGAGATGGTCTGCCCTGTGATGCTATAGATTGATCACTGATAATATCAACAACTGCTTGAAGCTGGCCACAGTTTTCATTACTGGCAAGCTACAGCCTGGATAATGCTGACTGAGGCATAATAAACACACTGAAGTGAAAGTGACTTCCAATAAATTCAGACAGAATTATACGGTTACAATTATGAGTTGCTACCAGCAGAGGGAGAAACAGATCTTTGTTTCTTGCAGCTGTTAGTTTAATTAAGTGAGTGAGTGAGTGTGGTTTTACACCGCTTTTAGCAATATCAAGGCGGGGGGACACCAGATGGGCTTCAAACATTGTAACCATTGTGGGGAATCAAACCGTGACGTGACGAGCTAACTCTTTAACCACTAGGCTACCCCATCGCCCCTAGTGATTAAGTGTTCCTTGTTTAATACGAAAGGCGTTAAGTCTCCAGCATGTATAGGCACACACTCACGCACGCAGGTTAGATGATAGTGCAATAATCTTGACCACTACATATGCAACATTTCACTTCAAAATTTTGGACATCTATCCATATATGTCTGTAAGGTTTTACAGCACTTATTGCAATATTCCAGAAATATCACACAGGGTCACCTAAAAATGGGCTTCACAAATTGTACCCATTTGGGTGGGGGTGGGGGTGGGGTGTGGGTGTGGGGTGTGTGGGTGTGTGGGTGTGGGGGTGTGTGTTTTTTTGGTTTTTTTGTTGTTTTTTTTGTTGAACCCTGGCATAAATATTACGAAGAAAAACCCACATTTCATGAATTATCCAACAATGCCACATGACCAACTGACCTGATCTGCCTCCATATCAAACAGTCGATGAGCCATGATGATGACCTCAGCAGAGATCACGGACAGTCTGTCATAACATGGCCTCTTGAGCAGCAGGTCGACAACAGGCAGATATCGTGACGTGTTCCTCTTGACACACTCCAGTATGGTCCTGACCGATGACATCAACTCTGCAGTCTGTGTGAGCAGGGGAATACACCAGCCATTAAAAACAAGAGTCATCAGAAAATGACATATCCCCCCTGCCCCCACAAATTTGAATGAACAAATCATCTGACAGTTACTTAAAGTCCAACTTTTTTTAAACTAAGTCCAAATCATTTTCATGGAAATCGAGAAAAATAAAAATGCCAAAAATCTGTAAATAGCAAAAGGAACCACTTAAGGTTTTGTTTGGCGTATGTACAATTTTTGTTGAAAAATATTGAACAGATTTTGAGTTATGCTCCTGAAACAATATTATTATGGATGGACAGACGAGGCATGGCATTATATGCCGGGTGGATAACAAAATAAAGGACACTTTGCCAACGTCAAAAGTCTTTCTCAGTAAGCATGGAAGGAAGGAGGAAGAGAGCCCCTCGTTAAGCAACATTCCAGCAACATCAATGAAAGGAACATAAAAAATGGATCTTGGAACCAATATAGGTAACTAAAGTAGTAACAGTGTGAAATAACAAACCAAGTATGGTGAAATATATGTTTGACATTTAATTCTGGCACATTGGGAAGAATTGCCATTTTCCCACATCACGCATGTGCAGTTGCATAAGGGCAGGGAATAGGGTTTGCCTAACAACTATTGCATATGTGTGTCAGCAAGGAGGACATCTGTTGTGATTGGAGTGTCAGTGCACCACATACAGGAAGCTAGAGCTACAATGAAACACAGAGAAGGTATTCAAAAGAATATTAGACTCTGGACACATCTGGGGAATTATGCCCATGTCTTCCAAATCATGAGCAAAGTTTACACCACCATTTTATCTCACCACCACCAGCCTGTTATGGCAAGTCTGTGGATCTTTTCGCAAGTAGTTATTTACCTGTAAATGGCATTATCTTATTTCGTTTGAACTCTGCTCAATACTGCTTACCTCGATCGACTCCAGGGATTTTTTAAGAAGTGGTTCCAGTCGGATGCAGTGATAGAGACTCTCCTTTAATAGGAACACACACATGTACATGGCGAGACCGGTGTCAACACTCAGGTGCTTGTCCCAGATGTGCTGCACCACGTCACAGTCAAACCACCGGATCACTTCCGCCAGACATGGCAATACCTGAACAGAAAACACCCACGTATAGGTCACGAAACTTGAACTATCGCTGGAGTCTTGATACAATATATATCAACATACTTCACATATTAATATGATTATTTACTCTGTGAGATAAATACTTTTACACTACCTAAAGAGACACTACTTTGCCTGATTTGTGATCTGTGCCCTGTACACAGAACAACATGTCCATTGCTCCAAACCTTGTGATAACATATGAGAATTGGAGAGACGTAAGTCCTCTGACTTTAAAATCCCTCTTCAACATTATTTCAATGACATCAGGCAACATATAGCCCTACTTAAAGAAGAACACAAGTACAGGTAGGGTGTTGACCGCAAGAATTACAACTGGAGCCAATCTGGTACTGACATCGTCATGCAAGAACATATACTACCCATCAAAAGTTTAAACTCACTTAAAGCACTCACTATATGTTATGTACATACATGTGGTTACATCTAAGATGAATTTCTCCACTAACTTAGGGGAACCAACTGCAAACCATATGCAGATGAATTGCATGAGAATCATGCATCAAATTGCTGAAAAGCATATGCAAATATCGTGCATGTGAACAGTTGCGTTTTGGTGTAAAGTTTTGTTAAGAATTCACCAAGTTTCACTGAGTTTTATCATTTATTTAACTCATGACAATAATCTTTTCAACGTTACGAATTTGTTTTACAATACATCAGTTCATGTGTAAACAGTACCTTTAAACAGTATGTCATAGCATAATGTAATTTTTAGAGTAAAATTGATATTTTATACTTATCCTGACTCATGCTCTTTTTGCTTGTCTTCTTCTTCTTGCGAACATAGTGGAACACTTGTATCTCCCTAATTGAAGCTCCCTTCAATGTAAAATCACTAATTAGTACTCAGCACGAGTTACCTCCCTTCCACAAGCGCGGGAACGAGGGCGCCACCTCCACCCATGTGCCTCACTCTCTCCTCATATACTGAGCCCAACATTTGAATTTACAGGGAAATCCAAAGTGTTATGTGGGGAGGATGGGAGGGAGCTTACCTCATGAGTCAGGATAAGTATAAAATATCAATTTTACTCTAAAAATTACATATTTTCCTTATCCTGACTCATGCTCTTTTGCTTGTAGCATCCTAATGGAAAGGGAGGTGGGAAATATATAATACTTTGGATTTTAATAATTAGTGATTTGAACTGTGATGATTGTAATAACCCTATGGGAACTTCATAAAGGTACTGAACTGATGAATTCCTGCTGCTAACTTATCAGCTGCCATATAAAGGTTATTACAATGTACTTATTATGATAAAGTATATATAACATTAATACAATGCTTAAGACTAATAGACTTAAGCTTGTTAATATGCTAGTATAAACTCCTTAGAGTTTGTTAGCTAAAAAACTTTAAGATATAAACATAGTACTAAGCTTAAGATATGATTAAACTTAAGCTAATTATATAATAGCAAAACTCTTTAGAGTTTGTTAGTTAATATACTTATATGATATAGATATAATGCTGAGCTTTAGATATGAATAAGCTTTAGCTACATATATCATAGCAAAACTCTGTAGAGTTTGTTAGCTAATATATTTTTACAATATGAGTATAGTACTGTGCTTAAGATATAATTAACTTAAGCTACATATATAATAGCAAAAACTCCGTAGAGTTTGTTAGCTAATATACTTATATGATATAAACATAGTATTGAGCTTAAGATTTGAAGGAAACTTAAGCTACATATATAATAGCAAAAACTCCGTAGAGTTTGTTAGCTAATACAAGTTATAATGTAACCATAAAGCTTAAATTATGATGAAACTTAAGCCAAATATATAATAGCAAAAAACTCTTTTAGAGTTTTTGATAGCTAAAATACCTATATGATATAAACATAGTACTGCCTTAAGATATGAATAAGCTTAAGTTACATATAGCAAAAAAACTCCGTAGAGTTTGTTAGCTAATACATGTTATAATGTAACCATATTGCTTAAGATATGATGAGACTTAAGCCAAATAGCAAAAACTCTTTAGAGTTTGTTAGCTAATATACTTATATGATATAAACATAGTACTGAGCTTAAGATATGAATAAGCTTAAGCTACCTATATAATAGCCCAAACTCTGTAGAGTTTGTTAGCTTATATATTTTTACAATCTGAGTATAGTACTATGCTTAAGATATAATTAAGTTAAGGTAAATATATAATAACCAACTCTGTAGAGTTGTTAACTTATATATTGTATGATGTAATAATCATAGTACTGTGATGATAAAAGAACTTAAGCAAATTATATATAGCATGTAGCTATTTAGTACTGTTATAAGATAAGTAGAAATCTGTAAGATTGACTTATCTTCTCCGAGGAACTGTCAACTGTTGTGCGAGGACCATGGGATCGAATTGGTGGATACCTGAGACGTCCTCGGTGATGATATCTCTCAGATAATGGTTGGCAACCACCATATCGGATCTCCAGAAAATAAACCCTCCATTATTTCAAATAACATTGTGTAGATCAATGCAGAAGTTAGCTTCTAATATCATGAGTATTAAAAGCTCATGGAGGGTCGGATTGGGTCCATCCGCCTTGTATGCACGTAGTATGACAGTTCTGATCCAAACGGAGATATAGTACGTGAGATTTCATTCTGGCGCGAAGTTGATGATAGAGGAAATAATCTGTTGTATTATTCCCTTCTGTTTGGTTCGTGGAGATAAATTTACAGTGCTCTTGCTGGCCATCGTGGATAGAATCATCGTCGATCATGAAGTCCAAGTATGTCATCCAGGCGTTGTTCATAAACCTCACTTGTGAGGTGTTGGAGCACTATATTCAGATCCCCAAGTTGGAGGGTGAAACTTCCGCTTTAATTCTCCAATCAGAAAGTTTAAGTAGGTTTACTAACCATCTAGTTGTGTTAGTAGCTTGATTATGAAATTCAGCTGTAGTCTGAGACGCTGTGGATTTAGATCCACTTGTATCCCGGCCGCCTAGGTTATTCGCCATGTAAGTCCTTGACGATGTAGGTGCACAACCAGGTGTGTCTGTCCTCGCTGAAGTTTATGTAAAATTGCCTGACTGCCGTGCCCTCGCCCTAACTTGACAGGGGAGGTCTCTAACCTGAAGAAAGCAGCCCAATCATGAAGGTTCAGATTAACTGGACTGTAAGGAGGCTTGCTCGCTCACTGATATATAGTTGTCACTTGTAACGTAAGTGTTGACCTGTGAACTAAGATCGACCTCTGCGTAGGTCGCTGTCCAACGCGTCCAATCAGAACAAGGCATTTTGATTCTGTAGAATACCCGCTGTGATGTCACCGTGTAGCAGGAAAAACCTTGTATAAAATCTTGCCGCCGCTGATATTAGCATAATCGCCGGTCTTCACCGTAGCTTCCCCGGTTACCCGAAAGTGACCACGGTTTCGAGGGTTAAAGGTAAACGCGCTGAAACCTCCGCCGCCAAATACCTCGCCTGTAATATTAATGCTGGGTAGGTTATTTTCCTGGCTGTCGGAAAGTAAGTTCAGTTTTGAATATAATCGACTTTCTTATATAAAGGTACAATAAACTTGCAAGTTGTCAGCTTGTAGACTGTATACATGAATGTATCGCCATAATTGTAGAATTAAAGCTGAACTTGTTGTACATATTTCTTCTCAGAAACTTTGACGATTATGAGTTATACTCGCTGTAACAAGGCTGCTGTTCAATTTCGATATTGAATTGTTCTGCAGATCTGGCGTAATGGTCACGCATGTAGATAATCGTGATCAGAGTCCGGGATTGCATATTCTAGCAATCTATAACGAAAGGTTGATTTCTGTGAAGATCTATGCAACGCCGCTGATTAATTAATATAGCGACGCTCTGTGTTGTAAATAGCCTGTGCAATTGTCTTCGCAGAGGCTTATAGACGGCATATGGCATACAGTTGATAGACAACTTATGCGATGTCTTGAACGGACTGACGAGTAGCTATATATGACGAAAGTGGCTAATATATGGAGACCTTGGAGGAGAATTCCTCGGTGGACGCCGGAGATTTCGCTAAGCTCTCAAGCATCCAATCTAGATTTCTGTGTGAGGTAGACTTGAGTTACTTAGCCTTCGCGACCTTCGCGAAGGTATTGAGTCAGAGCCCGATCAGTATATATATTATATATGAGCTTTGCTTCGCTAATCCACCTCTGTGTTCAACAGGAGTGAGTGAGTGAGTGTATTGTTTTACCGCGACTCAGCAATATGTGGGTCGGTGAAGCGCTTACTCCTCCGCGGACGCCCCTTGTAACTGGTGAGGCTGTAGCTCCTTCGCTGAGGTGGCCTGGGACTTCCTTAGCCGGGCGTCTAGAAACCGATCAATATATGAGCCGCTAGCTTCATACAGGGTGTGGTTCTTGCTGGTTCTGCATAAGTAGAGCCGAAAGTAGATCATCCTATCATCTTCAGAAGTCGGTCACGTAAATCTGGTGATAAGAATCTCATTGATCGCTCTAGATCTATTAATGCCAATAACATACCTCTGGCGCTTGAACTGTTATGGCTTTATGGTAGGCTGTGTCCACATACTGTGGCACCGCAGCAATCGAAGTCGATTGGAGGTAAGGTGATGGCGCCTGCCTCGCCTTCCTTTATCAGGTATGTCTGCGCTCGAAGTTGCCACTCTTGGAAGGTGAAGAGAGATCTAGGTTGTTTACCATCCAATATCGTGATCTCAGCCGCCTGAGAAAATGATGCCTCCATCATTTTCATCCCAGCATCACTGATGAGAGGTTGATGCTCTTCTGATGGTGGACTGTGTATTTCTATCTCTATGTCGGGTGACGCCGGGAGACCTGACTGTAGACTTGTGTGCAGACTTGTGTGGTGATGTACGAGGAGATCGGGCGCCGTTAACGGCGCTGAGATCGTGTTGGTGAACTGGGCGCCTATGGGTTGACCTTCTCGAGACCTGTGAGGAGAATGTTGATAGCTTCGCCAAGCTCTCGCGTAGTCAGGTGTCCTTCAAGAAAGGCCTTCGAAGCTTCCTCTGCGTCCGTCCTGGGAACGGCGATTTGACCTTCGCCAAGGCTTTCGTGAGGTCTGACGGGTCTGAGTCCGCGATCTAGGGATGAAGCCGAGGAAGGTGATGATCTATCCCCCGCTGAAGGCCTTCGCGAAGGCTGTACATCTGGGTCCTTCGTGGAGGTGGTCTGCGACTTCCTTCGGAAGGTGGCTTCGCGCGTGGCTGCTACGCTGATGGGGGTGCCTCTGGGTGTCGCTCATGCGTTGGAACCTTCGCTAAGGCTCGGCCTTGGGCTGGCTGCTTCCCAGTCTGTGGTGGCCCTCCATCATGATCATGATTTGCCGCAACAGTTCATCTGGGATGGTCTGGCGATGAATTAGTCGGTGCCCTCTCTGCGATGTTAGCGGGCGGACCCTCAGGGAAGTCGCCTGACGCCAGTGTAGAGACATCAGGCTGCATGGCGATCTCTGCTGATGTCACTGTAGATGTCTCCGGCCGCTTCTTGTGGCGACGCCGGGATGATGATCAGCTGATCATCGAGGCCCAGTTCAGCGGCTGGAACAATCTCGGTTGAGAAAGTCCTAGTAGACTTCGCTGATTTCCCCTCAGAGGTCGACGCCGCCCTGGGGTGCTAAGTCTGGCGCTGAGTGTTGGTAGCGACGGACCCTCAGGAAGATCATAGAATATCATCGCTGGTACATCAGGCTGCATGTTGATCTGGCGCTGACATCACTGTTGCCGACATCGGTCATTCTTTGATGTATTATCAGGTATGATGATCGGCTGATCATCATACAGGCCCAAATCTGCGACGGGAACAATCTCGGGCTGAGAAAGTTCAAGTAGACTTCGCTGATTTCCCTCAGAGGTCGCGCTGAGATGCAGTAGAAAACTCTAGTCTTCGGCCGCGACGATGGGATGTCTGGGGAAGCAGGACGCTTCTGAGGCGGGCGGACTACGCCCCACGCTTCCACCACTCTAGCGGAACACCAGACGGGAGCCGGGTCGACCAACAGCAGTAGACTGGCGAGGGGTTCAGGTGTATCAGTCATGGCTAGACTCTGCATACGCCGACCTATCTGCTGCGCTGCCTCAAACGCAAAGTAATTATTTATTAAAGGCAGAAATGGATAAATTAGTACCGCGAACTGCAACGGAATAAAATGAACATGGCGCAGTACAACTAGGGCATATTAAATGGATCAGCAGCAGAATAAAAACGTAATCTGCAACAGAACAGAATTTTTATCAACGTAATCCACTGAAACAAACACGGCCCCGTGAATAAACAGTAGAAACACATGACTAAATATCAATATATAATTGTTGAAGGATACTAGCTAAACCTCTATAGATGTCTATACGAGGTAACTAACTAAATATAATCAAAGGATATAGTGTGTCGGGAGACACAGGCGCTCTCACGTCCAGCTCACTGGGCGAAGAAGGAGAGAGTGAGGCACATGGGTGGAGGTGGCGCCCTCGTTCCCGCGCTTGTGGAAGGGAGGTAACTCGTGCTGAGTACTAATTAGTGATTTTACATTGAAGGGAGCTTCAATTAGGGAGATACAAGTGTTCCACTATGTTCGCAAGAAGAAGAAGACAAGCAAAAAGAGCATGAGTCAGGATAAGGAAAAATTAATCTCCATAAACCACTGGTCTATAATGTTTGTAAACTCATTCCTTGGTAACACTTTACCTGTTGAGCAATTCTACGGAGCTCCCACCGATCGTCAGCTAAACACTCCATGGTCTGGTACAGGATTGTCACAAACAATCTGCGGCTACTCGGACAATCTTTGGTTCGTACTTTGGTTTGTGTTTTTTCTGGATATTGGCTTGATGGTATCCTGTGCAACCAGAAACAACAAAGTAATCTTTTATTGACACAATCTCATCAGACCTCCTTCTCTGCTACAATACCTCTCTCAGTCAAGATTGACACAGATCAGTTTCATCCTTCATAGACTTTGAGATGACCTCCAAATGTAAAATCCAGGGCACATATGACCCAGGCTTTATTTTTTCTTCTTTCAGAACTGCCCTTTGAGTGTTAAGATACAGAAAGTCGGATTATGAAGGAGAGGGGTATCAAATAAAAGTGAAAGATATCACTTTAAATCAGAAGACTGAACACGAATAATATATGGCTCTAAGAGGTTAGACTGAGTGCATTACAAAATCTGTGATCGATATTAAGAGCAAAGTCTAATGCCAGCAAATACATTGACACAAAATGAAGTCACTGACTTGACCTTCTGATCCATATCGTCAACACAAGCATAGAAAGCTTGGGACCAATTCTAACATTTATTCGAAAGGAATCAGTTCTTTTAACAGACATCTGGCACTTTCATCCCATTCTGTAAGGCATTTTCCACGATCAAGAACCTACTCTCCAGCTCCATGTCGGGCACAAGGGAACTTGTTGGAGATCACATCAGAAGTCCCAATCTGCAATAGATATATATGTCAGATATATAGTAGCTACTTTCATAATTCATGCGGGGGCGGTGGGGTAGCCTAATGGTTAACGCGTTGGCTCGTCACACCGAGGACCCGGGTTCGAATCCCCACATGGGTACAATGTGTGAAGCCCATTTCTGGTGTCCCCCGCCGTGATGTTGCTGGAATATTGCTAAAAGCGGCGTAAAACCAAAGTCAGTCAGTCAGTCAGTCAGTCAGTCATAATTCATGCAATGTTATAAGAGTGTGAGCATGAGAAAAAGTCAAAATATGTAAACTGGAATCAAATTCCCAGTTTCATGTATGAAACTAACCACATTTTTTCCCCAATGTACATGCCAAGGCCATGTCATACAGAATCCTAAACTAATGAGTACTCACATGAACAAGAGACTTCAACATTGTGGGGTTAAAGACAGCTTTGTTCAGTGCTACAGAGGAGGCTGGGACAGCTAAGGGAAGTAACTCCGCACAGGTCAAAGGCACCAAGCTACTTGTCAGTTACTTTGCGTTATTTTGAAAGTAGCAGTAGGAGACAAGAGGCCGGCTAACATGGCAGACATTATAAATTGTTCACTGGTCACAAGGGGACATGGGTCGAAGTACCCTCGATGTTTGTTTATATTCCCTGAGCCCGAAGAGCGAGGGAAACAACATCAAGGGTACATCTTACCAAACACTTCAATGTTAATTTTGAACTGTTTGAAGCACGGGTATTGGATCATAATAAGGTGATGTGAGGTGAAATTGGGTTTAACGTCGGGCTTGAGAATATTTCGCTCATATGACGACGTGCATGCGTGTGTATGTGTATGTGCGGCTGCTTGTACTAGCCCAGACTGAAGCTGGTTTTATAGTGCTAGCCCACTGAGATACCATGCCACAGTGAAGCATGAATACCCCACTCAGACACATTATACTCCGAGCCGACCAGTCCTTGTTGGACCCATTAATGCAGAGCGCCAGGCAGGGACCAACAGGTACCATATTTTAACGTCTTTTGGTATGACGCGGTCGGGGATCAAACCCGCGACCTTCCGCTCTCCAGGCGGACGCTCTAACCACTACACCACGGAGGCGGTGGCAAAGTTTCAAATTGGATCAGAATTCTGAGAGCAAATTTAAGCAAGACCATAGCCTAGATCATATTTGCAAAGTGACCTTGTGCTTTCAAAGATTAACGAAAAAAATAAACAGACCTGACCCAGTCCTTGTTCTCTATTTCAAGTGAGCTACAAAATACAGATTCCAAAAACAGTTTGAGGCAGTCTAGATTCTGACCTGTCCCTCTGTCCTACTGTGCAGTCTCAGGGCTGCTATGACAGAAAGGCTTGGAGACTCCTGATTGCTGTCTGTCTTGGCCTGGAGAACTGGGACGGCCATGTTGCCTCCTTCCTCGGCCACAGAAACACTGCAAGAATCAACACCCAAACATTCTACATGTTATTATGTTGCACTTCATTCATGCCCTAAAACACTATAACCTTGATGTTGGGGCAGAAGGGTTCGATTCCCTGTATGGATACAATGTGTGAAGCCCATTGCTGGTGTCCCCCAGCGGAGCTAAAACCATACTCACCCGTGAAGATCCGGGGTAGAATAGGTCTTCAGTAACCCATGCTTGCCACAAAAGGTGACTATGGTTGTTGTAAGAGGCAACTAACGGGATCGGGTGGTCAGGCTCGCTGACTTGGTTGACACATGTCATCAGTTCCCAATTGCGCAGACCGATGCTCATGCTGTTGAGCACTGGATTGTCTGGTACAGACTCGATTATTTAAAGACCGCCACCATATAGCTGGAATATTGCTCACTGGTGTCCCCCGCCAGTATAAAAGTGGAATAAAACTAAACTCACTCACTCACTGGTGTCCCCCGCCAGCATAAAAGCGGACTAAAACTAAACTCACTCAGCCACTAGGATAAGTGTTAATTCAAATTACATTAGTCCTTATGCAACATAGATGGATGGTCTGCGTTCAAGCTTTCATTGATACTTCATTGTGGGTAGTCACGATATGGCTGAAATATTGCCGATGTGACGTTAAATTTTAACTCACTCACTCATTGTGGGTAATAGAGGCATGATACTAGGTCACTAGGAAGCACTACAGGTACTCAGGTTCTGCAAACAGTTTCAACAACTACCTACATATATTACTTTCTACAAGTCCCCGGGAACCTGGGTACAACCCAGATAGACGTTGTTTTGCCAACATTGCCAACGTTGGGCCAATGTCCGAATGCTATCTGGGACTGACTGACTGACTGAGTTTGGTTTTACGCCGCTTTTAGCAATATTCCAGCAACATCACGGTGGGGGACACCAGAAAATATGGGCTTCACACATTGTACCCATGTGGGGATTCGAACCCGGGTCTTCGGTGTGAGCCAACGCTTTAACCACTAGGCTACCCCACCGCCCCCCTGCTATCTGGGAAGGACACACCCTGCATACTACCATCTGATCCACCTAGTAGCATCAGGTTTGGACTAAGCAAACCAGTGGTTGATATTATGAACAACGTCCTACTTTAAATGATACCATGATGACCAATCAAACAAGTCACCAAGCCTGACCAGTGATTTAGCAGCATTAGTGAGTGAGTGAGAGTTTGCAATATTCCCACAATATCACGGTGGGGGGACACCAGAAATGGCCTTCACACATTGTGCCCATGTGGGGAATCGAACCCGGGTCTTCGGCGTGACAAGCGAGTGCTTTAAGCACTAGGCTACCCAGCAGCATTAGTAGCATAATCAAGACTGGACCAGCCAAACCCGTGATTGATATTACAAACAACTCCCTATTTCATCATGGTACAATGATGCGTAATCAGCCAAGTCACTGCGAATGACCACTTATCACATTATTCATTTAGTATGATAACCAAGGCTGGACTGGACAAACCAGTGGTTGATATGAGGACCATAACATGCATGCAAGGGACAATGATATGCATTCAAGAAAGTCTGTCTACCAAATCCATTTTGCTGCCTTTATAACAAATATAGGACGCTGGATCTCTGTTGTCAGTTGAAATGTTTGAAAGGGTACTGTAAAACAATCTTCTTCTTTCATAATGATAGGTTTTGTGATAAATAGTCCTGTGTCACTATCTATTATGGCAATGACATGTTTCTACCTGTGGTGAATGACCTTGGTTTCAGGAGAAAGGCGATCACTCTCCAACTTGATAGGTTTCCTTCTTGAAAACATCTGCCTGATGTGATTCTTGATGAGGAAACTGCAGATGACCTCAAAGGCAAACATACGACCTTCCTTAGCCTCCCAGGAGAGAGTCTGTGAATCTGGATACAAAATGAAACTTGGTTCTATAGCAGAGGCAGCAAAGATAATTGGCATGGCTGGAACCCCATGGTTAGAGTCAATTGTTGATTTGGATCAGCAATTACCTTTAAACCAGTATGTACTCAAAAACAATGTTTGTGAAAAACAATATACTGACTGACTCACTGAGTTTGGTTTTACGCCGCTTTTAGCAATATTCCAGCAACATCACGGCGAGGGACACCAGAAAATATGGGCTTCACACAATGTACCCATGAGGGGATTCGAACCCGGGTCTTCGACGTGCCGAGCCAACGCTTTAACCACTAGGCTACCCCACTGCCCCAAAACAATATACACTAGAAGTCAAGAAGAAGAAGCAGTGCTTGTGGGATATAGTTCTGAACCATGCATTGCTATTGTGATGTAAATTATATAGAGAATCTCACCCAAGTGTCTTCTGTTTTAAATATATCAACACGAGTTGATTAAAGTTACAAATATCCAACTCTTGCCTAGGATATTTTTACTGTAATCAACAAGTGTTGAAATATTTGATATCAGAAGACACGAGGGTGAGATTTTATTTATCATCCAAAATCATTCTTCATCAGTTATCAGTAAAATTGCGATATATTGCAATGCAAAAGCATGTATTGCAATGTGTATTGCAATATATTGCAAGATGTTTTTATTACCAAAAAACTACTTATAATCGAGCTAATGTTTGATTTATAAAGCAAAACCACAACAAAATCACTATGCTTGATTCACTTAATAAAAACATTTTATGACGACAAAGTAGAAATGTAAATAATATTTGGCACAAATGACACAAGGAAAAGAACTTAACAATCCAGTTAAATGTAATTTTCACCACAATCATTCCCACCACCCTTACCACAATTTCCACAATCATCAAGATTTCCGAGTGTTACGAAGTTTTCGGAATGCATGTAAATATACCGGTTTTCGATCAGTGTATCAGAATACGTATCGTCTTCATGTGTGAACCGGTTATATTGCGCAGTCCTATTGAGCAGTGATCCCAGTGATCCCAAAACTTTGTGAGGTCACTCACTGACGATGTATTACCATCATGACAATTCAATTGTTGCAATATCTACAATGTAGATATTTACTGTGGGAGTCAGTTTTGGATGACAAATGTTCTTTGTCAGCTACAGATAAAGCCAAATTTCAACAACTTTATTCTTTTCAAAACATGACATTTTTCAATCATAGTTTCTGCCAAAATTATATTGTCACACACACTTTGAATCACATTGTACAACCTGGATTAAACATGACATTATTTCTAAATGACTTAAGACAGTTAAAGACATTAAATTTAATTCGTATAACTATTAGCTCCAGCAGTGATCCACATGCAAAATCAGCCGTTTCAATCTAAGGTGGTTTTTGAGATTTAATACCTGACCAATCAGAATCAAGTATTTCCTACATAGGTGAGGTGAGGTGAGGTGAGGTGAAATTGGGTTTAACGTCATACTTGAGAATATTTCACTCATATGACGACGTGTATGTGTATGTGTATGTGCGGCTGCTTGTACTAGCCCAGACTGAAGCTGGTTTTATAGTGCTAGCCCACTGAGATACCATGCCACAGTGAAGCATGAATACCCCACTCAGACACATTATACAGACTCCAAGCCGACCAGTCCTTGTTGTACCCATTAATGCCGAGCGCCAGGCAGGGACCAACAAGTACCATATTTTAACGTCTTTTGGTATGACGCGGTCGGGGATCGAACCCGCGACCTTCCGCTCTCCGGGCGGACGCTCTAACCACTACACCACGGAGGCGGTCCATTTCTTAAATAACGGTTGAATCCTCTTATTTATTTATTTGTCATTACAATAAGTAACTTGACTCCAAACCGAAGACCATTTTTCTGCTGACAATGCTGCAATGACGCACATTACATTTACACATACATAACACGATCTGCTTTCCCTATCTCAGGTCTTCACAAGACTGACAATGATGGTTTATTGCAATGGTGATGACATCTCCTTCCTGCCCCCTAGAAACAGTCTCACATTGACTTGTCGCAACACAGAGCTACAGACTGTATAGTGCTTTCCTAATCGATTCCATATCCAAATCCGCATCGTAATTTATATGCTTGAACTAAATGCACACATAATGATCTAATGACAAATGCAACCTGACTTGTCTCCTAAACTAATAAGGTCAAATGTAACTCAGTATCTTCTGCTAGGTGATCTCATTTGATTATTGATTATACTGACTGACTGAGTTTATTTTTAGCAATATTCCAGCAATATCACGGCGGGGGACTCCAGAAATGGTCTTCACACATTGTGCCCATGTGGGGAATCGAACCTGGGTCTTCGGCGTGACGAGCGCACGCTTTAACCACTAGGCTACCCTACCGCCCCTTATTGATTATACACCAAGGTTACCAAGCTGAAGTATCACACCAGTAACACTGTCCAATATCTTTACCTGGTGCTGGAGCTCCATCACACATAGACGTGGTCCAGCCTTCAGTCAGGGTGTGCAACACCTGGCACAACAACACAACATTCTCACTGGATTTCTGGACTGAAACACAACACATCAGACATATCACCTACATGCAGTGTTTGAAATAAAGCATGGAAGTCAAGGAGTCAAGGTACATTTGAATGATACATGTCAACCAAATCTGTTGGTGAGTCAAACGTAGCAGTATCTGACGGTGAAAAGCATTGGTGAAAAGCATTGGCAAAAAGATTAAAAGTAGCATACAGTTACTTAGGGAGGTATTCTAGCCATATGGCAATTGGGATACGATGGCATTTGTCAACCAAGTCAGCGAGTCTGACCACCCGATCCCATTAGTCGCCTCTTAAGACAAGCATGGGTTGCTGAAGAAAAATTCTAACCCGTATCTTCACGGGTCTATGTCTTGATGAAGACATCCTGGACTATACTTACCCAAGAGTTTGAAGACGGAGCTAGCTGACTGACGTACAGAGGATGCAGGGTGAGCCAGGTGATGGAGGAATGAGGAGAGGTAAGCACCCCAACATGGCAGCAGAGAGGGCAACGACAGACTCTGTAACAGGGGAGACAACTCAGGGATAGAGAAGCCTGGATAATCTGGACATGCAACCCTGTTTATCTGGACAAAACCCTGTTGATCTGGACATGAAACCTGGTAATGATTAAGGCTGTTACGATTCACTCGCATATTCAGTGAATCGAACCGTAGCCCTTCATGAATTCAATTCGTTATTCGTGGCCACCAGAACCGAATATTCATGAATATTTACAATTTTTTTAAAGGTGTCCGTTTGACTTGAACCCTTATGTCCTTTTTCAAAATGAGATATGCAAGAATGAAATATGTACTAGCCTTGTAGTACCGCAAGTCATGTTAGTTTTCCAAGGCCGCACGGACCACCTCCGTGGTGTAGTGGTTAGAGCGTCCGCCCGGAGAGCGGAAGGTCGCAGGTTCGTTCCCCGACCGCGTCATACCAAAAGACGTTAAAATATGGTACTTGCTGGTCCCTGCCTGGCGCCTGGCATTAATTGGTAAAACAAGGACTGGTCGACTCGGAGTCAGTATAATGTGTCTGAGTGGGGTATTCATTATTCACTGCGGCATGGTATCTCAGTGGGCTAGCACTATAAAACCAGCTTAAGTCTGGGCTAGTACAAGCAGTCGCACATACACGTACACACGCATGCAAGTCGTCATATGAGCGAAATATTCTCAAGTACGACGTTAAACCCAATTTCACCTCACCATCACCAAGGCCGCACATGTTACTGTCAGCTATAACTATTAGATACCAAATTTGAGTGTCATGAGATCACTGGTTATTGCTGTGACAAATTAACACTGTCAACATGGGCATTCAATATTGTGCATCAATCACTTAACTTCAATATTGTATTCATGAATAATTATTTGTATTCGTTACCCAATATTCGTGATACGTATCATATTCGCCACATAGTGTATTTGTTACAGCCCTAGTAATGATACCTCAGTTAATGAGTACATTGAACTCTCTCGATCTGGACATGACACACTTTCAATTTATACAAAAAATACAGATAAGTGTATATAGCAAACCCTGTTAATCTGGACATGAAACAATTGATTTGGACATTATACAATAATAATGTCCCTTTGTAACTGTTGCCCACATCATATCCATATGGTAAGACTTTGGACATTCTGGATTTCCACATAAATGCAAAGGACAAAATTACAACAAAACTATACATTAAATGTTTTGAAGCCAAAACACATCATAGAGGTGTACCAGTTGCGTTTGATGTTTGCCCAATGCCAAATTCCATAATATTCCAATCTTATGATAGCAGCTTGTAAATAATGGAGTCTAGACCAAATTCTCACCTTGATCACAGACTGGCAGACATTCAGCAAACCCTCAGCTTTGTAGGCACCAACAAACTCTTGACTTCCCTGGCAACAGAAAAACATACTAATAACTTCATACAAACTGGAATGGTATGACTGGTGACCAGAGTTTCAGGTAATGTTGCAGTCAGGGCTCCAGATAACGGCCGTATCGGCGTATGTACGGATATAAAATAAGCATGATACGGTAGGAAATAATTTAGAAAACGTAGCAGATACACACCACAGCAATGGTGTACGGTAGTAGAATCATTTACAGATGTATTTATCTGAAAACGTATTGTTTTATTCTTTATTGACCTGTTTACACAAGAGTAGCAATGTTGTGGTGCATATATGAAACGAAACGCAAGATTACTGATACTCCATTAAATTCCATTCAGTACTCTAAGTGTACTCTTATTGTTTTCCAGTACTCCTATATAGAAAACGTAAGGAGTACGTACTTCTGATCATGAAAACTTATCTGGAAGCCTGGTTGCAGTGCAATGAAGATATTTGAGGGTCAAAGCTCCTTTCATGCATAATTCTCTCATGCATTACAACGTCAATAATGGCTACTTTATCTGTGGATATTAAAAATCTATGAAAGGATGGTTAACTTCCAAACCATAAGAACTGTTTTTCATTTCGTAGGAATCCATCAAAGTTTATCAGCATACAATACACAATTTTCTTTAATAATTTCAGATAAAAATAAACATGAATAACAAGAAGACAACATCATCAATATCCCCCATAATGGCAAAATACTCTTCATGAATATGTCTGCTAGTTATGATTATGTCAAATGTTTTGGTGTGTATATGTCAAAGTGGAAGGAGAGTATTGAAAGATTTTTAAGTTGTGCTCCAGAAAGGAGCTCTACCATCAAATTCAGTCTGAGTTGAACTTGTTGCCATGGAAACACAAAAAAATATTTTATTCAGAGTTCCAAAACTATCAAAAGGCACCAATACACCACAAGACCTATCCATGTGCCAAGTTCGATGAAGAAATAGTGAACGGTTTTGGAGTATGCTACAGAAAAGATGAATATGGACGGATGCATGGAGCCCATTTAATACCCCCGCAAAACCCGTTAAACGCGTTGCAGGGGATAAAAATGCAAGCTTTGAATGAAGTGGACCTACTAATTGCCAACAATCAAACAGAAACCTGGAAAAAAATATTTTCAAACTAAACTGACTAGAGTTGGAAACGAACCTGGTCAACATGTTGATGATTTCCTCTTCTCAACAGGTCTAACGTCTGCCCCAGGATTCTTAATGATTCCTGAATAATACAAGGCAGAAATGTAAATTTCAATAAGGCTGTGTCAATCCATAAAACTGAGAGGGGCTTTCTGTATGTAGGTTTCTTCTTTCAACAATATTTGTTATAATTCTCTTCTATTAAAGACAAAACCCTTAAAATTACCTCACATTCTTTCTCATTTTGCTCAGATGATGAAAAAATAGACCTACCTGTTTGTCTACTAGACTAATGTAGGCAGACACTGCCTTCACTGCCGACTCTCGTATGGGCAGCTGGGAATGGGAGATAACTCCAAACACTACTGTGAGAATATCTCGCTGTACAAATCCAGGAATAGGAGGAATCACCTGTCAAAGTGAAATTTCCTAATACATAAAGAATTTAAAATCTGTTTTATATAACACATGGAATTTTAAAGGGCAAAATGGAATTGCCACTGACAGAAGAATTCACAATGTGGGTTGAGATAATGCTGTTTGCACCAGTCTTTCTGATATTTCACAGTTTCAGCTTAGTGTCTAACCCTAAAGATCTAGGTTAGAATTTGTCTTCAGCAACTGATGCTGGTGGTCAGAGGTGACTAACAGGATCAAGTGGACTGGCTTGCTGACTTGGTTGACATATGTCATTGTATCCAAATTGCATAGATCGATTCTCATGATGTTGATCTCTGGATTGTCTGGTCAATACTCGACCGCCACCATAGCTGAAATATTGCTGAGTCCGGCATTAAACAAAAAAACAAACAAAAACAGCGTAGTGTCAAAGGAAAGCCTGAATGAGACTAGGGCCTAAGTCACAAGGTGTTTTCAGCACTACGATATTTGTAAGCCTATGACAAACTATAGAGTTACAAGATGTAATCTTGTGGATCAGGATCCTGGACATAGATTCTAACCAACTTGGTGTATTTAGTGTTTGCCATAGGCATAAAAATTCCCTGGTGTCATGAGAGGGATTCATGGACATGTTTTGGGGAGTCAACTTCGGTTTGGAATTTTCATAAAGATATCAACTAAGATTGTTTAATAACGACAAAAAACAAGGTAAGGCAGGTCAGGTATAAATTTTAATCAGCACTGAGCAGTTAACTGGCAAACATTACACTAAGTACAGTCAAATCCCGATGAGTTGAATGCCGGTGTCTCGAATATTATGCATAACTCGAAGTATCTGTCGGTCCCGACCATTCCCTGTTATAGTTGTCATCATTTGATTTCCGGTTACACAAATTCGTCTCATAAATACACACGATGACTCGAGAAGAAAATTTGGTCCCATGAGATTCAAACAACAGCATCTTGTATACATAAGCCGAAGTTAATCAATGAGAAGTTAATTGGTGTAGCAAACTGATCCAATTAACAAACCAGCGTGGCTTACACCTTTCCGCCTTTGACGGGTGAGTTCAAAAGGCAGATTAGTGATTTTAGGAAAATCACTGTCTGTGCTAATCAGACTGGAACTGATAAGGTGCCCCTATTAGTGATAGGAAAATCATTAGATAAACAAATGCTTTGGCGGAGGAATTAGGATTGGATCATCTTTTTTTCTACCCTCATAGACATAGCTATGTCTCGAATACATCGATAAGTCGAATTTATTACTTGGTCCCCAGAGATTCGACTCATTGGGATTTGACTGTAGTTTTAAACAACAGAAAAATTATGGACTATACAAGTTTAGATTATCTGAACTGAGGACCCAGTAGCATTGCATCAACAGTGACGCAAGCTTCTAAATTTACTGCGCATTTGAGATAATTTTTGCATCAAATACGCAGGTTTTCTGTGTCAGGGCAAACACTGTGTATTACGAGCATGGTGCTCATAAACCAATGGTCACAACCTGGATGAAACTGGGATTGAAACACTGGGCCAGTAGAGAGAAATGTCATCCATGTCATATCACAGGACAATAAAACATGGCACTTCCTGTTACCCTGCTTTGTGTTTAGCATTATAGGAATAAAACAAGGAATGTCCGTCTCTGACTCAACAAAGACTCATCGACTCATACTGTGTCTACCCGTGAAGATCCGGGTTAGAATTAATCTTCAGTAACCCATGCCTGTCGTAAGAGGTGACTAACGGGATCAGGTGGTCAGGGTTGCTGACTTGGTTGACACATGTCATCGTCTCCCAATTGCGCAGATCAATGTTCATGCTGTTGATCCCTGGATTGTCTGGTCCAGACTCAATTATATACAGACCGCCGCCGCCATATAGCTGTAATATTGCTGAGTGTGGCATAAAACTAAACTCACTCACTCACTCATACTGTGTCTAAGTGGGGAACATATGTTAAATAGACGCATTGTATGTATGAAACTAGCACACACACCCTTAGAAATTACAGACACTCACAGACACAAACTTTCATGAGACACTATTTAAGTACAATGATCATGTACTTATAAATTACAACCAACTCACGTCACCACGACCATAGGAGAAGAGATAAAAGTGTCAAGGGGGACAACTCTCATCAACCTTGACCAAACATGTACAAGCAGAATGGGTGATAACAGTAAGCTCACCTGGTTGGCTGTTCTGTCTGAGTGTAGATGCTGTACTATAGCAGTGATGCCTGGAAACAAACATTCAGAAAAAACATAATAACTGAAGACCAGGGGTGGAAATAACTTTAAAATTGCTAGTGTACTCCAGTACAGTGGCACATGTTAAATCACTTGCCCTGAAAATGTTTCCACTATACCGGCCGTTTTCTTGTTGGATTTTTTAAATAAACAACATAATTAACATTGGAAAGTCAACTGGACGCCGGTACAGTGTGATATACGAATTTGCTTGCCCGACAGAAAAAAACACTGGACTCGGACGTCGGGCAATGGGTTATTTCCACCCCTGGAAGACAAATCAAAGTAATCAGGGAAGTCTCCAAAAATTCTTGCAAATGCAGAAACAGTGCTTCAACATTATGTTTTAAACAACTGAAATCATTTCAACCACCAGATATTTCCAGTCTGATGCCATTACCTGGTGGAATGTATGTCCTCTACAAACTTCAGTACATTTCCCCCTAGCTAGTGTAATGAAGAACCTCAATTCCTTTCCATGCTAATAATATCAACATGACTTCAAGCGTAATGACTTTACCTTCTCATTAAAATCTGATCTTTGTGCTTACTCCTGCTTCACAAAAGGCTGAACAAATACCGTTACAGTTTACATCAGGACGTTTCACAAAGTTTGTTACCAATGAAAGGAAGTGTATAGTAGCCCCACGGAGACAAGTCAAAAACTGAATACTTCCATTCCAGGCTAAAAACATCACACCTGTAATATCTGTGTTTCATCAACTACAGTCCGTTTGAGTCAGAAACGGACCGATGATTTGCAAATCAATGATGATAGTTTCTCAAACAACTTTTTTGGTGGAGTCCGGAAAATTTTCAAATATAAGAAAGCTGTTGGGTATTGGTAAATGATAAACATGTGTACTATTTATATTTATGTGGCAATTTTGTACAATGATAACATTTGCAATTCATCGGTCCGTTTCTGACTCAAACGGACTGTAGCGGTACTATATTTCGCATCTATTCTCATAGAACAAAATACAAGATACTCAGTGTAACTAATAGTTATGTCACATCAGATTTGATTTGACAAGACAAACATAGGCTAAAGCATTCACTGCTCTGGTGAAAGCCTCAACCATGGCATGGTGCTGATCATAACCATGTCAAATCTGGGAATCACTCCCACTTACTGCAAATCCTGACATGGCAAAGGGACAGAACTGTGCAGCCTTAGCAAAGTGCCCTAACAAATACATAGTTACATAATATAATGTAATCCTACCTAACATAGCACCATCTACTGCTTGCCAGGTTGTGTCTTCATCATTACAAACCTGTGGAGGAAATGTGGTTGTTGATCAGAGATGAAACAATGCAGATGATGATACCTGCATAACATGGTTATATACATCAAACCTGACAAGGCCCTTATATACCCATCCTTACAAGGCCATATACAACCATCCATACAAGGCCATATATACCAACCCTGACATGGCCATATATACCAATCCTTACAAGGCCATATATACCCATCCTTACACGGCCATATATATCCATCCTAGCAACGCCATATAAACTCACCCTTACAACGCCATATAAACTCATCCTTACAAGGCCATATATACTCATCCTTACAAGGCCATACATATCCATCCTTGCAAGGTCTCCTTACAAGGCCACATATACCCATCCTTACAAGGCCATATATACCCATCCTTACAAAGCCATATATATCCATCCTTACAAGGCCATATATATCCATCCTTAATACAAGGCCATATATACCCATCCTTACAAGGCCATATATACCCATCCTTACAAAGGCATATATATATCCATCCTTTGAAGGCCAAGGCCATATATATCCATCCTTACAAGGTATCCTCCTTACAAGGCCATATATACCCATCCTTACAAGGCCATATATATCCATCCTTTAAAGGCCATATATATCCATCCTTGCAAGGTCTCCTTACAAGGCCATATATACCATCCTTACAAGGCCATATACTCCATCCTTACAAGGCCATATATATCCATCCTTACAAGGCCATATATATCCATCCATACAAGTCAAAGGCCATATATATCCATCCTTTTTGCAAGGCCATATATATCCATCCTTACAAGGCCATATATACCCATCCTTACAAGGCCATATATACCCATCCCATAAGGCCATATATATCCATCCTTACAAGGCCATATATATCCATCCCATCCAAGGCCATATATACCCATCCTATAAGGTCATATATACATATCCCATAAGGCCATATATATCCATCCTTACAATAAGGCCATCCTTACAATATCCATCCTTACAAGGCCATATATCCATCCTTCCTTTAATATAATTATACCATATATACCCATCCATAAGGCAATATATACCCATCCTAATCCATCCTACAAGGCCATATATATCCATCCTTGCAAGGCCATATATATCCATCCTTATAAGGCCATATATATCCATCCTTACAAGGCCATATATATACCATATATCCTTACAAGGCCATATATACCCATCCTTACAAGGCCATATATATCCATCCTTACAAGGCCATATATACCCATCCTTACAAGGCCATATATATCCATCCTTACAAGGCCATATATATCCATCCTTACAAGGCCATATATACCCATCCTTACAAGGCCATATATATATCCATCCTTACAAGGCCATATATACCCATCCTTACAAGGCCATATATATCCATCCTTACAAGGCCATATATATCCATCCTTACAAGGCCATATATATCCATCCTTACAAGGCCATATATACCCATCCTTACAAGGCCATATATACCCATCCTTACAAGGCCATATATATACCCATCCTTACAAGGCCATATATACCCATCCTTGCAAGGCCATATATATCCATCTTTGCAAGGCCATATATATCCATCCTTGCAAGGCCATATATCCATCCTTGCAAGGCCACATATATCCATCCTTACAAGGCCATATATACCCATCCTTACAAGGTAATATATACCCATCCTTGCAAGGCCATATATATCCATCCTTACAAGGCCATATATACCCATCCTTACAAGGCCATATATATCCATCCTTACAAGGCCATATATATCCATCCTTACAAGGCCATATATATCCATCCTTACAAGGGCATATATATACCCATCCTTACAAGGCCATATATACCTCAAGGCTATATATACCCATCCTCACAAGGCCATATATATATATCTACATACCATAAGGCCATATATATCCATCCTTACAAGGCCATATATATCCATCCTTGCAAGGCCATATATATACCCATCCCTGCAAGGCCATATATACCCCATACATTACAAGGATATATATATCCATCCTTGCAACGCCATATATACCCATCCTTACAAGGCCATATATATCCATCCTTACAAGGCCATATATACCCATCCTTACAAGGCCATATATACCCATCCTTACAAGGCCATATATATCCATCCTTACAAGGCCATATATACCCATCCTTACAAGGCCATATATACCCATCCTTACAAGGCCATATATATCCATCCTTACAAGGCCATATATATCCATCCTTACAAGGCCATATATACCCATCCTTACAAGGCCATATATATCCATCCTTACAAGGCCATATATATCCATCCTTACAAGGCCATATATATCCATCCTTACAAGGCCATATATACCCATCCTTACAAGGCCATATATAACCATCCTTACAAGGCCATACACCCATCCACCATGACAAGACCATATATTCCAACCCTGACAAAGTGATATACACATTCTTTTCTAGCCACACACTCACCCTGACGAGGCTGTTCCACACCACCTCTTGATGCACATCAGACAAGCAGCCTATGATATCTCCCAGCTTGTTACAGCCGACTTTACGTATGGCTGACCAGACGTCTGTCAATGCTGCTAAGATGAAGTCCTGAAAAAGAAAGATAGCCCATTTTAGAAATTAGTCCCGAAAAAAAAAAATTGAAAAAATATTTTTCAAAGACATACAAGCCCTAAAGCCTGAACCAACATGATGAAGATCAAACGCCTATGGTACAAATTAATTTGTTTGGTTTTACACCGCTTTTAGCAATATTCCAGCAACATCACGGCGGGGGACACCAGAAATGGGCTTCACACATTGTGCCCATGTGGGGATTCGAACCCGGGTCTTCGGCATGACGAGCCAACGCTTTAACCATTAGGCTACCCCGCCGGCCCTATAAATTTAGAAATAACTTAACTCTGATCATCAATGATTGAAACAACTGGTATGAGGCCGCAAAATTGAAGGAACATAAACGAAAAAGGATAATTTGTTACCACCATTTCTGGAGAGGTGGGTGATATTCGAATAATTTCTCGCTGAGCTTATTGCCTACATTTACAAGTGGGAGAACGCCTGCTCTGTTTAACTGCTCCCCTGTCCCTTGTAGCCAGGTGAGAGTGTGGACCACCGACCTGTTCCTCACTATCGGCAGGGTTGAGGCTGCAACAAACATGTTCACAACCAATATAATAATCAGGGGTGGAAATAACCCATTGCCCGACGCCCCAGTCCAGTGTTTTTTCTGTAGGGCAAGCAAATTTGTATATCACACTGTACCGGTGTCCAGTTGACTTTCCATATTAATTATGTTGTTTATTTAATAAATCAACAAGAAAACAGCCAGTATAGTGGAAAAATTATCAGGGCAAGTGATTTTACATGTGCCACTGTACCAGAGTACACTAGCAATTTTAAAGTTATTTCCACCCCTGATAATATACAAGCTGGACAAGTTGGACAGGCCTAATGTCCAGTATGATGTACAAAATGCAAGAAAGAAAAATGAACATCAACAGGGACCAAAGGGGAACTACTCTGTCTTACACTCCCTGAACCATTTCTGCAGCGCAAAAACCATAAATGAAGCAAGTCTAGATTTTCCTCTGAATCACCCGTCTCTGGGGCTTCTTTTCAGTTTGTTGTTAACTTGTTACTTGGTTCTATCAAAAATATATTGTTCCCAAGACTAAGCCTTAATCTCAAGGGGAGCTAATGTCACACAATTTATACTAGTCAGTGTTCACGAATAGCGTCTGACCCTCTGACAAATCCAGCAGATTTGCCAACGGTCAGACAGAAGTCTACAACCCGCCGGCCCCAGTGTCTGACTGTATATTTCACAGTGACTTTGACTGAAGTTGTTATATGTGACATGTGACACTTGTTTGCTGTTTATAAATCTTATGTTTGTTAATAATTTCAATGTCAATTATAAGCAATGTTAAATCTGAAATGTTTATTTAATTTTATTCTATGGGTCCTGTGAAGTTTCAATGGGTCAGACAGACATCTGAAACTTACAGGACCCAATGTCTAGTTACTTTGAAACACCATTCGTGAACACTGTACTAGTGACATCCGATTATGGGCAAAAAGAACGATAACTAGATCCAGTAAATATTTTAGATTTGTTCCATGTGACTCACCTTCTTTGACTAGTTTCAGGAAACTCCTCAGTAACTCTGAACACACACACTGCTCGGACAGCCTGGAGAAAACATGCAAGATGGTATCAAGTAGTGTTGGGAATTGGTTAATATCTCATAATTGATGATTGGTTCATTACAACCAATCAATCATCAAAAATAATTGGTTAGCGTCATTTATGAAATTTGTTAATGCACATAAAAATAAGGGAAAAAACATGTAGTTTTGGGGGGGCTTTTGGGCAAAATTTACATCTTTAAAGGATGACTAGTATGTTAGGAACATAAATTTCTTGGTGTCTTTAAGATAAATTCAATCATGACTTGAAACGAGCTTGTAGTGCTTACAAAATGTAACAGACAAAACCAACCATGTGAAAAATATTGTTAATGAAAACAAGTGTTCCAAAATTGGTTGTGTTCGATTATGAGAAATTATGATCGATTGCTTGGTCGTTTAGTCACTACGACCAATCTTCGATTATTTCAATTAATCGGACCCCCACTAGTATCAAGGATAACTTGCATTGTTCATTTGATTAGTGGTATGCTTTTGTCCAAAACTTTATTAGAGTTATCCCCTACACCCAGAGTTATCTCCCTTCTAATGACACCAAGTTCCATCCAACATGACATGTTACCAACCTAATAACACTGGTGCCACCAGTAGACAAGGTGAAGAATCTTTAAAATACCCCTCGGATCCCAAATGTATTGACATGTATATTTGTGATGGCTCCCCAGCACAGTACTGAGTTGTGACTTCTTCTAGTAGTAGTAGTACAGTGAACACTATGAGCAGTGATCACTGCAGGGAGCTTGCTACAGATAACTGCATGCAAACAGACTTAAGTCTGTGAGATTTATTTCAACAGAGTTTAGAAGTCTCCAAGCAAATTCATAGCATCAAGGTCCAGTTTAAACATTTTTCACATATTATGAAAAGAAAAGCTATGTTATTGCAAGGCATGGTTCATAAAATTAGCAAGAATTCAAGCTTCAGTCATCATTTGTAAATCCATATGACTGCAGTCCAACACAGGCTGATTGACCGCTCATAACTACTCACTGGTTGATTCCCGAAAGGAATTTACATTACCGGTATACACACACTCTGCATTCTACCACTGCAGTGAGGTGAGGTGAAATTGGGTTTTACGTCGTGCTTGAGAATATTTCGCTCATATGACGGCGTGCATGCGTGTGTATGTGTATGTGCGGCTGCTTGTACTAGCCCAGACTTAAGCTGGTTTAATAGGGCTAGCCCACAGAGATACCATGCTGCAGTGAAGCATGAATACCCCACTCAGACACATTATACTGACTCCGAGCCGACCAGTCCTTGTTGTACCCATTAATGCCGACCACTGCAGTGAAAGATACAGAGTGCGATTGTCTTACTGAGTGTTTCCAAATATGACAATGTTTCCCCCACATTATCCTTGATTGCCAATAGTTGTACATACTATGCTATTCTATTTCTCAACAAAAAAGCACATTTTCCACTCGTCACGGTATATTTCTTCAGACTAAGAAGCTACTTGCTATTCTGAATTCACCAAATCCACAAAGGACTTGTCAAACATTGAAAGTAAGGTTGCAAATCCCACCATTCAATGATTGTATCCAACTGTGAATCCAACTGTTGTCTGTGAATTTTGGTGACAGACTTCACTTCTGGCACACCAGTCTCTACCACGATCTTTGCATCAGTCAGACTCAACCTGACCCCTTCCGACCATCCATACCTCCGCACAAATGTATATATCACAAAATTGTCAATTTCTGTTTGCGTAAGACTGAGAAGATGAGGATCACGCTTGGATGCAACATGACCAGCATCAGCTGCTTCTGTCCTGTGATTGGTCAGCGTGAAATCCTCCGTTTCTTCTGTCGGAGTAGTGAGACTTTGATACACCTGCTCCCACAATGACAGCTCTTTCTCCAGAGACGTGCACTTGAAGACCTCTGTGAAGGTACTGGACAGTACACCATTGTCTCGTGACATTTTTACTGATGTCACACTATTCTGCCTTTCTGTTGTGGATATGCTCTCCTTGTCATGTCACATCCTGTCTGAAAGTAAAAGAGTGAGTGAGTGGTTTTACGCCACTTTCTGTAGTATTCAAGCAAAATCAATAATCACTGATTGAGGGACACCAGAAATGGGCTTCACACATACCAATATGAGAAATCAAACCTGGATTTTCAGGACAAAAATTAAACATTTAACCACAAGAGAGCCAATGCTCATAGTGTACCAGCCACCTACACGTGAAGCTTGCAGACAGTCAGTGAATAGAGACATCTATAGAAAATACTTACCCATAAGCTGAAAAAAAGGAGTAATTATGCAACATGTCAAGTTTCTTAAATTTTAACTGGTCGGCTTTTGAACAAAATATGGCAATATAGTTTTTTTCTTCGTCGTGCACGTTAATGTTATCTGTGAACACAAAATACAGAAATAGCATCTCACTCATTGACAGGGCTCCAGATAAGGACTGTATCAGCGTATGTACGGATAAAAAATATGCCCCATATGGTAGGAAATAATTTAGAAAACATAGCAGATATGCACCACAGCAATGGTGTACGGTCTTAGAATCATTTACAGACGCATTTATCAGAAAAAGTATTGTTTTATCGTTTATTGTCCTGTTTACACAAAAGTAGCAATGTTGTGGTGCATATATGAAACGAAACACAAGATTATTGATATACCATGAAATTCCATTCAGTACTCTAAATGTACTGATGTTAAAAAAGTATCTGGAGCCCTGCATTGATACATTATTGTAGCATGTTGCAGCTATGTGTTAGCAACCAAGTAAATGTCTCACAGAGCCCCTGAAACAAATATATCCAAGAAAGCCCATTCAAATCTGTACTATGTGGCAAGTCTAGATTAATGCAGTTTCAAAAAATGAAAAGTCTCTTTCATTATACTTTATTGAGTTAACATAAGAAATGGTTTTCTGTAGGATGTTTTCAGTTCAGAGGCTAGATGTTAGCCAATTACACAGCTATTATGTAACAGATAAACCAGTCAAAAGGACAGCAAAGTTTTACGACGTAAAGGTTTGATATTGTGTAAGAAACATAATAAGTTACTATATGTATTATGTACCCTAAATCCAATCAGGAAATTCATTCAAGGATGATGTTTCTTTTAAAACTAGACTGACAAAATGCAGAGGCCCAGATAAGCTGCATATCCGGGTAAAATACGCATAGAAAATTTCAAATTACGCATTGAAAAATAATTGTTGCGTACCAATTACGCATTGAAAATGTTAGATACGCAAAATGTTTTAAACAATTGCGTACAAAATATATTTATAAAAAATCGCTTGTGTAATGAAAAAGACATCGATTGCTATCAAGTTGTACTGTTAGTATAGGACAAGTGTTGTATTGTCAGTATAGGATGAGTGATTTTTTTATGAAATCATTTCCATTATACTAGTATTTAAGTTGGTTTTGATTAGGTATGACGTAAGGCAGAACATACCTGCTTAGTAAACTTACTCAATGACATAATACTTAGTTGAGTAAAATGACTGGAATACGCACATATTTGAAAGCAGTGGGTAACGGAAAATGAAATACCCACTCAACATTCATAATACCCACTCCAAAAAAATACAGTGGATACAGTACCACATTAGTCTGTCGTACAGACCCTGAAGCAAATATATCCAAGAATGCCCACGCAAGTCTAGAAAATGTGGCAAGTCTAGATTTCCTCAGCTTCTGAAAATGAAGAAAGTCTCAGGGCTCCTTTTCATTATTTTTTTTTTTTTTACTGTGAACTTTTTTCAGTAAAATATGTTCATTTCAGAGACTAGTTGTTAGTCTATACCGACATGAGCTAAATCTTATCCGGAGCTCTGAAAATGATTTATGAATATTTTTTTTCGCTTTCATTATCTTCCTTGTATCCATGACTACAGCCTCAGCAAGCCACAGCTAGGTCATTAATCATTCAAATATCCATGCACCCAGTTATAATCCAGCTACACTGGAGCAACCTGCAAATACAATCTGGAGCAGAAAATCCAGTGATTTTAAGGCCATTTTGTATGAAACCATTCAAAATTAACTAGTCTAAGGGTGCACCAAATGTACCCATTTGCATAGGTTATTGCAAATCTGTCACACCAAGGAAACCAATAGCAATGACAAGATTTGTATTTTATTACGTTACGGGTAAGGTACTACGCTTTTACACATGAACCGTAGCTGAAATGACTGACCTCAAAACATTTGTGGGACAAACTTTTATCAGGCTACTGTTACGCTGAGAGGTGTTGTTGCCACGCTAACGGCAGTGTAAACATTGGCGCAGGTTAAACATTGTAAACATATCAAAGAATCCTCAAAATATGTGTAGTGTTCTTACTGCTGTTGTCGGCTCTGTTAATACTTGGCTGTAACAAACGACATGACACAAGTTGAACGGCATATGACATTGGCCGGTGAAGAGGGAAGAGGTGCGCGATACATTTATCCACTATACGATGCAGTTTACCATTATAATCAATCGAAGCCATCCACATGTCCTAATTTCTCACATGGCCACCATAAATATTTCCGCTGACATAGCCATGATAATATGTGAGATGGCCATTCACCAAACGATGACAACTGAATGTTTTGACATCCCCGCGAAAGCAAAATATGTCATGACGTCACTGGCAATATAATCCGGACATATAAATTCGCATCGAAATGGGTAGGTTAAAAAGTAGAAATGGTAAAGAAAATGGAATAAGAAGATAAAAAGCCATGCGAATTCAGTCACGGTCTGGATATCATTAGTGCATGTGAGATGTTATATCTTGGAATTATGTTGATGAACCGCTGTCAGATTATACACTCATTAAGATTATAATAGATAGAACGTTTGCACTGTGAGCTCTTCTTTTAGACCAGCATGATAAATTACACATGCGAGATCAAATCATTTGTAATTGATAAATGAAATGAAATCAGAGTGAGTGAGTGAGTGAGTGAGTTTAGTTTTACGCCGCACTCAGCAATATTCCAGCTATATGGCGGCGGTCTGTAAATAATCGAGTCTGGACCAGACAATCCAGTGATCAACAGCATGAGCATCGATCGTAATTTCTTATGGAAAGCGTTCTTTCAGTGTTTGTGTTCCATTGCTGTGGAATGAACTGCCCCTCGCCTTAAAACTGTCCCCACCTTTTGCTACGTTCAAATCACATCTTAAAACGCATCTCTATCCACTGCACTATTAAGTCTATTCAAACATTATGATCATTTTGTAGCGCTTTGAGCACCCACTTAGTGGTTGGATTTAGCGCTATATACATTTTCATTATTATTATTATTATTATTACCTGCGCAATTGGATAACATATATAGTAATTTGTCAGCAAACAAACAACAAACGGTAAACATTTCTCGTCTCAAAAATGGTATTAGGCATCGATAAATTGCGAAAGAAACAAACGTGACGCAACGCAGATACTGCCTAGAAACCAGTCTGTGTAAAGTGAAGTTCTACTTGACAGCGCCTACGTTTATTTAAAAGAAAACGTCCAAATTAAGTCATTTGAAAACAAGTGACCCAACATTTTAGTGAAAATGACCCAAACATATTAAGAATGTTAAGATTAAAAGAAACAAAACTGACACAAAACTGACATAGCTTATAAATGTAAATGTCTTAATAGTGTCTGGTTGTAGCAACGCCAGGACTTGACTGGGAAGGATGGATTACTCACCAAAGGCTGCCCATCAGTATCCTCCACCACAGGCCCTCGTGTCTTTGCGAGGATTAATGATTTAAAAAATATTGTTTTTGAGATGACCCCCGACTCGAAATGCTTCACAGTACAATACATTATGACAAGGCCGGACACTTCGGTACACCCCACCCGACTGCTTTGCCGATCGCTACGCTACCATCGCATGCAATCGATTAAAACTTAATGTAAACATGATCATGGATGATCGGCCTATCGATCACCACTCATGACACCTACCAATTCTTTATTGTTATTTCTGCAAGTCGATTGAAACCCAATTTTGACTCTCAACTAAACGATCTTGACACAAATGCATGGCTGACGATATATCCGCACAAAACGGGGATGTGGTCGAAGCAAGCCCTCTGGCATCACACACTTGTTAGTGTGATGCAAGATGATTGTCAAAATTAATGGTCTCACTCTGCAGTGATTTATCAACCGTCAAAATCAAGAATAACACCCCATGTGTATGGAGCTACTGCGTTGTGCACGTGCATACCATGCGTTGTGTTTAGGGGTGGTGATAAAGAGAAACGGTGGTGCGTTCATAAGATGTCTGTCTTTTAAAAGTTTGTTAACGCTTATACTTCCTATCCAAATTGGAAGTTCAGGTTCCCCTACTTTTTGAGAGTATAATTTGGACCCTTTTATCCAATGTGGGGTCATCATTTACATGGCTTAATTTAAACATTTATAACCTGCACTGGTGAAACCCGAAACTGTAAAATGCGATTTCATATTTATACCAACCTACAGTCAATATTCTGAAGTGCAAAGAATACAAGCCTTACAGCCCGTTCAGCTTGACCTGAGCTACTCTACATATGCATGACCCGGAAGGTCAAATGGCACAAACGGCAGGTCGACTTAACTTCATTAAATAGGGGAGCAAAGAATATTCGTTCGTGCACAACATGCATGCATGGATTTGTTACAAAACAACACTTCTGAAAAAAAACAATCATTTCATGTTTTAATTGAGTTGTTTATACAGTCATATGCTATCTAGTTTGGTGTACTAACTTTACAACGTACAGACGTCAGTTACTTTCACAATCCGATTCACTCTCGCTGTCACTCTCTACACCCAGTTCAATTATCACCTTTTCTATTTCATGTTCAACTGCATTATGTTTGTGGCTTCATTTTTAAAGAAAGTTAGGATATTGCTGACGATTTCTCGACACAATTGTGAAGCGGCGACCTTGTCTCGGCTGTTCGGACATGTTGACAATCAGCCGACAAAGGTGCACCCCTTCCCAATAATAGACCCAACCAGCTGTGACACGGTCATGCAATTCATTAGTATTCACTTGATCAGGTCAAGCTGAACAAGCTGAAGCTGGAGAAGCTAACGAGAAGCCATCCTCGATAATCTCCAGGCTATACGTTACGATCACTCTCCACTATACCCTGGAGATTATCGAGGATTATCGAGCTGGCTTGCAGCAAAGATTCTGATGGTCACACGGACAGATGGCTGTTTCTATCCATGTCGTGAAGTTTTATGGAGTAAGATAAAATGACGTTATCAGATCCGGTATAATTTTGTTGAAATGATGTTCCAAACCATCAATACCTAAACTCAAGCATTGTATATACTAAATAATATTGGGCAGCAGGTGCAACATATTTTGTCTGGTGCAACCAGGTTATTACCTAAATTACTGTCGGAAATAGAAAAAAAACCTTTTTCACATTTATATCCACAATTTATGTAGTTAATATGTGAAAGTGTGAAACATCTGTTAAACTAATTTCGGCCTAACTACAGTCTCAGTGGTAAGGAGATAGGAAACGTAAAAACCGGACTTTACACTGGAGAGACTTAGTGCAGAAATGAGCAATGTAGTTTTTTTCTAAGTCCAAGTCAACTTATTTGGAACAGACCTTGGCTTTATGCAAATTAGTGTGCGATGATTTTGTATTACAAATTACACTTTTCAAATGCCCATTTTGAAATTAGACTTAGTTTCATTAGATTGCTGAAGTACAAAATAATATTTTTACTTGTGAAACTCTTAAGGATGTAGCTACCATGGCGTCTCACTACCACTATAAAAACAAACACACATGGGGGTCGTCTCAAAAGCAAAACCAGGTCGGGTGTCGCAGACAATGGTTGGGGTCGGGGGGATAGAGATATCAGCTAAGATAAGATTATCCTTTAGGGGAATTAAACTGGGCAAGTAACAATTTACAAATAATATCCAGTCCTGTCGATCTTCGGGTGGCCATACTACCTATATATTTTGAGACATTTAATACGATGGCTGATTTAAGCCTTTCTATGGGTATCATACTGTTTTACATATCTCAACATAAACTTTATGAAAAAAAAGACAAGTAAGATGTTTATCAATATTTGAGACATATTCAACACACAAGAAAACGCACAGAATATCTTTGAGATGGCCCCTTGTGCCTGTAGGCAGCACGTGCATTTCATGCTCGGTGTGTCGACGGTCTGTCGTCATACCTGGTCGAGCGACTAAAATGTCATCTATAGTCTGATCTATTGTTTTAGCAACTATTCGTATTTTTCTTGGTTTTGCCCGATGTTACGAGTAAACATGCTTTTCTGGATATCCTATTACGCATCCCACTGAACGCCCAGTTAGGCCGATGTGGGTTACATGTATTTCATATGCTATTTGCAATTGTGTAAATTTTAGGGATACAGAGTAACAGCTAAAAAACAGGGTTGATTCTATTTCCGACAGTACTTTAGTGTTGCACCACGTGTAATTAGGTTTCATTTCTTTAAAGAAATCTTGGTGTGATTCTCGATCATGAGCTTTCATTCGATCACCATGTTAATCAAAAGCTGCTTCTTTCATCTGAGAAATATTTGGAACATACGCCAATACTTAACCAAGGACTCTTCTGTCATCCTTGTCCTGTCTCTGGTGATGAGTAGACTGGACTATTGTAATAGTCTCCTGGCCGGTGCTACAAAATCTCAGATCTCCAGACTACAACGTGTCCAAAACATTGCTGCTAGAATTGTGTCACTGACTCCAAAATCTGATCACACATATCTCCAGTTTTGCGATCACTGCACTGGCTCCCAATTGAGCACAGAATAACCTATCAACTACGTTGTCTTGCGTTTAAGAATGGAATGGCGCCAAACTATCTGTCCAGTCTCCTCGATATCTACCAGCCCACTAAATCTCTCAGATCAGAGAACAAACGATTTCTTGTTGTCCCTCGGGTTCGGACCAAACGATTTGGCCATAGAACATTCTCTTATTCTGCTGCTACTGCCTGGAATAGCCTACCCATTGAAATTAGACTCTGTCAAGACTATTCTTCCTTTCGTTCTTATCTCAAGACCTACTTCTACAGACTCGCCTGTTCCAAATGATTCCTACCACTTTTCTGTGTTCCTAACTGTGTGCACCGCATGCATTGCGCATGGAAAGGCGCCTTATAAATGGACTATTATTATTACAGATTAAAGATAATATGCAGCAGAGAGGGTTCGGGTGATCCTGGCACAGTCAGGCTGGTAAGGTTCATCATCAGCTCAGGGCCCTCGCCCCCTCTACACGCAGCCCAGACAGCGAATGGGACTTCTCCCAGGAAACACTGCCTAGTCGAACCAACCAAGAACTTTCCAGAGAATATGATGGCTCCCCAACACTACAGCCTTCTGCATTACCCAGAGTGTCAGAAGGGCTGTACTCACGGTGGAAAACCCGGGCACTCTCCTGATCTGCGCCAAGAGATCAGGAGGTACCAAACCTAGGGCACCGAGAACAATGGGGAGCCTGATGACAGTGTACTTGGGATGCAAGCGAGACATTTCAAATTATTATTATTATTATTATTTTTTTTATTATTATCATTAGTATTATTATTATAAAGAGATGGGAGGTGGGGTGGCCTCGTGGTTAAAGCGTACAA